GCATACAATTGCCGTTATCAACTATAAGAAAAGATTAGATTATTTTGGTACTTGATTTCAATCAGGGTGAATTATTACAACCAAGAAATACAAATTAATCAAAGCTAAACTGGAACTGATCGCTCTTAGTTGTCTGAATACACTTTTTTTGGCCACGAATTGGACTCTGCCTTACTTTTCCGCGTCTTTGGTTCCGTCGCAATCTACAACCTGCTCAACAGATAATTCCGTCAGTGGTTTTCCCAACTTAGCCCACTGTCCTTCAATATTCTGAACTGCACTGAATGCCCAACAGGTACCTGCAGACCCTGAAAAGCAAATCAATTGTCCATCATGCATTCTCTATACATACAAATGTTTCTGTAGAAATGTTTAATTACAGGAGTCCCGGCAATAACCAACTGATTACGTTGCTTATCCGTCACTCAGGTACGAAACAGACAGTTATCGTGGTTCAATTATCTTTGCACCATGTACATTTGCGCCCGTAAATTGCATCCAGGACATTTGCTCCTGCATACCTTTGCATTGCAGATTGCACCAACAAACAATTGCAGCCAAGTACTTTGCACCCACGTACATTTGCATCCATAGACATTTACACCTGTGTACATGTGCATCCATAGTGCACCCATTGATTTCGGTACCATCAGACATGTGTACACATGGGTATTCGAATAATCGAATCTGTAAATATGGACACCACACCAGTGTTCGAAGTAAACTTTGAGATCTGATTGGCAATTGCACGGGAAGTCAGTGAAAGATAACATCATTGTGTAACACCACAAAATAAGATGCGTGTCTTAATTCAACGCTTTCTTTTTTATATGACGCATATCGACATCTTTCGCCCCGAACAAGGCCCTATACAAACAGCCTTACTCGATATTATCTCGGTTCACCAAGACATCATTTCTCGTTCTGTTTTTCCCTTATCTGTTACTCCTTATCGGCGCACGCTCCTCCAGTCTCGTGCAATTGGTCAACTCCGACGTGATGATCATATTTGTGGTCAGCTTCCATACGCTTGATGCTAAAGTGTGTACAACTAACCAGACACAACCGAGAATTCAACTACGTATGCGTTATGTCGTTGAAATGAAATGACAGACGAAAGTGGGACAAGACTTGAAAATTACTGTAAAACAATTAGCGACCGTAACCAGGAATGCACCTAACTAATTATTTATAATCTGAGTTGCTATACTATGAAAATCTGCTTTATAAAAAATATACTTAGTTTTATAGCTATATCGATAATGACTACCTTGATCTTTCACTGCTGTGACAACACCTTTTCCTTTCCAGTCAAATGACGTTGGCAAATAGCGTAATTTTTGTGATGTCTGGTGAGAACTTGCGCTCTCAAATGTCGCCTAAAATATTTCGAGAATAAGAAAACCGGTAAGACTCAAATTAAAGTTTGCAAGTGATGTCAAAAAAGAATACCAATACAAATTGGTGACAGAAAATATATAATGCTTTATACTAACCGGAGATCTCCTAGGAAACAAATGAGTAGCTGCAAATTCTTTTTCTGTCATATCAGCAAATGAGTTTTCTTTGAAAACCATTCCGCGTTCTTGATATATTTCGTTCAGCCCATCGATCATAGCCATATTCTTTTTGAAAATACCAAATCTGAACATCTTCTCGTAATGATTGCTGTACTCTCTGCCTATGCCGGATTGCCATTTTCTAAATAGATGTAAATATCAATGATATATCGGAAAACAGTGATCAAACTGCTAAATTAACATTGCGATATATTCTGCATGATAGTCAACAATATTTGCGTTATTCATCGATGGCGAGGTGTTGAAGCGTTGTACGTAACTATGTTATCTATTTTTTCATAAATATTATATTTGTCATTTTTATTCAATGGCTGGGAAAATGAACTCGAGTAGTAGCTTTTTTATTTAGACTTACTCAAATATCTCCTCCACTGAGATTGCTCCTGTTGTCCCGATTAATAGCAAACTGTAACAAACAAAACTGAGTGATATTTTGTTTGAAAATTAGTTATTACAAAAAATAACAAAAAGATTCTATGCTTTTTGTAAACGAGTTGACTGGTCAACTAATAGATATAAATATACTGTAAAACTTTTTGTGTGCTCGACAAACATCTAGAATTAATTTGAAAAAAACAGTGAGTATCGCAATCGTCACAAAACATTTTTCTTAATGTATCAGCGTGAAACCGAAAAATATTATAAATCTTCAACAATTTTCTGCTGCTCAAAACACTTCAATGACTAGGAAAATTGTTTCGAATGAATAGAAGTACAATGGGAGAAAAAACATAGTGTATTTATTCCGACCCTAGCATCACTATTCTTGTCGGGTTTCGGCGACTTTGAAAGTCGGAGCGTATAGTCATTGCTGCGGTCTATAGTAATACCCACTGTAAGTCCCATATCTTACCATAATAAAACAAGGCTATCCATAACTTGAAGCATTTTAATCAGCTGAAATTAAATTTGCAGGTATTCATTGAGACAATTTAGACTGTAGCCTAACATCGCGCAGCATAATGCATTTTATGCAATTATTTGCTTCAAGTTTTAGTTATCTATTAGCGTCTCACGTGCCTTATATTCGCTCAACAACTGATGGCAGCCTTGGGTTTATGGGGTCGAGTATTGACATAATTTGTAATACAAAATGCTTTACCATGATAGTTACAGTCGGGGGAAATGTCGGGAAGATTATGCAGTTAAATTTGATTGACAATAACGATATAGACCATTTTGTTCCAATAGGTATTCTTTTTCGGTACTTGACTTGACGCTATGTGGTGTTGTGCAGATGCCTATTGCTTCTTCTGGGAAGTTTATTTTATACAGCCCCGAATGCAGGCCCCAATATTTTATGCGCTGTTTGCCTCGCGAGTCGCAATACACATCCAACGTAACACCGCCATATTATTGTTTTCGCAACAGTAAATTATAGTTCTTTCCCGTATTTCCAAATATTGTATATACATAATTTAAATTATCATCGACTCAATTTTATTTTGGTCCTTGCCCATGATAGTCTTTGTTTGCAAAATGTATTGAAAATAAAAATGTATGAATCCTATTAAAAAATCATTTTTGGAAAAAAAACTTCCATTATCGTGAAAATATACCCCTAAAGATGATCCTAAATTAGTGTGATATCGTGCCTGATTATGCCCATGGACATTGGCATAATTTAATTAGCATTTACATGAAAGAAAAACACCTGTATTTCTATTCCAGTATATTACGAAACTAGACATGTTTATTTACATCCATTGACATGTTATATGAATGGGTGGTGATAAAGATAACATATTACAAATAGAATCTCGAGACATTCTTGCGTTAATTAACAAATCGATGACAATTTAGGTGAATAATATTTTTATTAAAGCAATTTTTCCCATAGCAATTGGTCACATGTACTCATTCAGAAATAAAGGAAACTGATCTCTGGGCGAAGTTACGGGCGCCCATTGAGGTGCCAAGAGCTATACTAAGCTAATTATAAAAATCGTTTGCTTTTTTCTCGGGATATCCACAAAGACTGCTACAATACGCGTGACAGTTGTGCTATTCTATACCCATAGACCCGGATCTTTGTCGCTAAATCAAACATTCTTTTGAAAACTGTTTGCCGATAGGCGCGTTAATTTTTTTTTCCCTCTACGAGAATCTTCTAAAATGTTGACTTTTTATATACAAAAAAAATCAGGATAGTGACAACGGAATATTAGAAAAATTATTATTTTTTCGTTTGTAAGATTTGTCAGGAATGATGTCTTTTCATACAGTGTCAACAAACAAGAGATAAATCTGAACGTGTTGCAACATAACACTTCACAAATATTTTTAGATTATTAGGTCATCACTGACAATTATTAAGGAATAAAGTCTTGACATGCCCCTTTATAACCACCGTGATTAAACCGTACAAAACAAACCCCTTAAATCTTGCGAAAGAATTGTTACATTTCGGAATGTCAGTAGATATATATTACATGAAAAATTGATAGAAATACAGAATAATTTTTGAATTTTGCTGTGCGGGGGTGTTGAATTTTTTGTGGTTTTTGAAGAAAACCAAAACATTTTTTCCCAAAACACAACCCGCAAAAATTCCCATGTCTTTAATGACTTTATGTTGTTATCAGTCATCATTGGAAATAAAAAAAGAGAGTGGGAGAAACTGTTGTGTGCATTTATAAGTACCCAACATCCCCCAGGGTATTGAAAACAATTGCGTGCCTTCCTTATATTCGTTTGCCATCATTTGTAAATACGATGCTGTCACATAGGGTCCATTTGTCAATAATTTTTATAGCAATACGTAATACCCGTGTAAGAAGAAAGATATTGCCCGCTCCCTCTTTTTATGTGCTGTATTCCTTGATGCAGCATACGACAAGCATATATCTATGGCTCACGTTCGACAGTAAATCATTTCTGACTTGAGCAGATTGTCATTTGCCATATACTGTTGTTAGCTGGATGTTCCACAATGCCAAACATTATCCTAAAAACAAACACGCTAGTGCTGTAGAACTTATCATTGGCCTATGCCAAATTGTACATGAAAGACGATTTTACCTAACGGGAACAATTGGTATTAAATGTAATGAGTGTTACCTAAAAACGCAGTGTATGAAAAAAAGTGTCTTATACAATATTTCCAATATGACTGCAAAGATCACAAAATGCGAGATGATTAAATACACAAATATCTGTTTCATACAATCCAGTTCAGGTAATTCTATCGAACTTCCAAACAGCGTTATCTCTCAGCCCACACATGTCAATGCATGCATAGAGATACTGTTTTAGAAATACCCGCCATAACTGTGTTTGTACAGATGCTCTGTTGTTTTATCACATGGTAAATTAGCTACACAAACATTTAACCATAATATATATAGATGACTTTACAAGCTATTAATTTACTACTATTTGGTTTTTTTACGACCAAGTTATTATTTTTCGAGATTGTCGATGCCTACTGTATTTCTGAGAGTTGAAGCGATGGGGCATATACATAAGGTAAGGTCCGTGACTTGTGGCGATTCCGTATTAACACACTTTTTGGTAATTTTATTCGTGCAGTACAGTTTTATTATCCCAAAATACGACTTGTAATATTGCTGTTTTTGAGTTTCGTTGAGCCCAAGCATCTAAAAGTCAACTTTTCCTCATATGCTTATTTAGTTAATAAATTATTCGTTGTTTTTAGATTCTGACAATATTTCTCCTCCTAGCTGTCACTGAACGTGGAAACGGAAACCCGTAAGAGTATTTGATAATTAAACCTATCCACGAATAGGAATATATTACGCTATAGAAATGGGTATATATATGTTGGGTCCTAAGTAATATTCGAATTTACCAAACCTAATAAATTGAATACATTGCTGGACAACTCAAATAAATTTAAACAACTAATTAAATAATAATATAACTTCTTAAAATTCTCAAATAAATTTTATTTTCCTGATCGGAGATAGGATTTTCATATCAGGATAGATAAAGAATCTTATCCGTATGACAAACTACGACTTCTCATCCGATTACCAGTATAGATCGGTTACGACGACCGTTTACTATTCATTGATAAATCTTAGTGCACAATTTCAAACGCAAATACCTATAGATAGACAGTATTCATTTTGAGAAACATTTTTGCATTTGAAAGATCACCAAGCACTACCTGGATAAATAATTGGATAAGAGACAACAACTGCGAGTCAAAAAAGATTGAAATTCGAGATGGATTTGCAAAGTATTTCGAAAAAAGGTAACTTTTCAGATGTGATGAAAAATTAACGTATAAAATGGCGGTCAAGAGATAACTTCACTAATTAATTACGCAAACTTACAATTTTCTTTCCAAACAGCAGTGTTTTTTTTCGACAAAAATTGTTTAAAATCGTCTTGAAGTATCTAAATGGCGCTGATTCTCAATTTCTGTTTTCCGTCATTTTGCTTCCGCACCAAACAGGTTAATCAAATAGTAATATTACTTATCAACTAGTACAGAACATACGAGTAACTTTCAAGGTTACATGGTAACGTCAAAAAGATCTTACTTTATGAAGTTTCGCGAGTTATAGACTGCTTTCTAATCGTATATATTTAGCGCAATGTTCGATTTGCTCCATTTATTTTATTTTATATTATTTTAATTTTTTTTGTTTTATGAAGCGTGATATGTGAACCAGGAGTTACTAGTTTCACTTATGTGGAGGAATGTCCAGAATTATGTTGGGATCCAGTCAAAGCAGAAAAGCTCGACTGGCGGTATAAGGTCTTACCGATTAGATCTGAAATTAAAATCGACGGACATGAAATAGAAGTAATCAAGTCATGCACGTGAGTAAAAAACAAGCGTCGATCACTAGAATTTGAATTAGAAAGACAAAAGATTTTCATTTTCCATGAGTATTTGCCCGATTTTATTCTATATAAATATATATATCAGACTGACTGTCTTACTGAAGTATAATAAAAGTAAAGCTTTATAAAACCGCCTGTTGTTTTTGTTGTCAATAAGTTTTATGGCGCTTATATCAGTGATCTTTTGCGCCAAAGGAATTTTTATCAAGTAATGCAATAAAAATTTGGTAACTGAGTAATGAAAACATATTCTACATTACGTTGTCCAAATAAGTTGAAAGTATTTCTTCCGTGCTAGTTTCAAGTTCATCATATTATACAAAATATGTTTTTCTTCATTTCCTATAGTTGATGATATATATATAACATGTTGACCGTGGAACACGGAGGACGGTTCAGTGTGACAAATTTGAGCAAATATCAGCCGTGAAAGGCTACATCTATAAAATATACTACTTATATGATATATTAATACATACTCCACTGATTTCAGGTGTTCAGGCGTCCTAAATAAACTGGGCTCCGCAGCCAATAAAATGAATAATGTCGTAACGTGTTCTTCAAATATGCTTGATGATGTGAAAAGTAATCACACCGGAAGCATCAAAATCATACCAAAAAGTGGCCACACCATCGACTGGTATACAAATGTTGTGGCTGTGTGTCTACGACATCATCACGTGGGGTAAATGTTTAAAATATTCAATACAATTTCATGTCTGATGCTTAATTCAAAATCATGCACTTTTTGACATCAAACACTGATACTGTTGTGCCTTTATCACCAACCACCCTCACTCTGTGCTTCCCCTAGGACTAAATTGGAAATTTGTTCGAAACAAGTATATATAACAGAACAACTTACCGGCATGATCAGGCAATTTTCTTCCTGGGAATAGTTCTTATTGGTTCATTTTTTAACTACTGACACAGATGACAGAACACGTTTATTATGCAGTAGAAGTTCTATTCAATTCATGATACTTGAAGCTGTGCAAAATGAATGGAATATTTTATATACAGAACTATTGTAAATCCACTTACAACATAGTTGCGCTTTCCTTCAGTGGTTTTAGACAAGCATCCAAGACTAATTTTATGTTGTTATGTAGATTTCCTAAACTAATTTTTAAGAAACGCCTCAGAAAATGGAAGAAAGTGGCCAATTTCTCGCATATCGCCATTTATCACTTAAAAAAAATTAACCGATGTGATGAATATCAAGATTCATAGCTGCTCTGAAAGTACATGCTCTCCATTTGAGAGAGTATTAATTGATCGTTCGTTCATCAGGAATCCATGCGTAGACCAATATTCTTCTAGCTAGAGATTTCAAGAATAACTGGCCGTTATAACGAATTATTGTCAATATTAACAATGAAATTTTTTATTAAGTTGCAGCAAAAGAGCAATCCGCGGCAGAAGATTGATAAACAGACACGGAAGAAGACGTTCAAATAAATAGACATGTACAATGAAGTTTCTGTGTAGCCTTATTTATTTTTTATTGATTGTAAATTGGATATATATACATATATATTTATAGATATTTGTTATTTGATTTGTTATTAGATTTTTTTTATTTCACTCAGTTGTTTTATCGTTATTGAAAAAAACGGCGTGAATATGACTTTTTGTATATATACATGATAAAAAAAAACTGCTTTGTCTATATGGATATATATATATTTGATATCAAAGTCAATATATAACGATTATAAACCAATTTCAGAAAAACTTGTCCGGATGTTGCCCAAAAATCTAGTATTCTTCTAGTATGGTGAAAATATTCTAGTATTTCGCTTGGTCACGTTTTAACAAAGCGAAAGTAAAGTCATCGCAGGGTTGCCATAATTATGGACTTTCCCCGAGCATCATCTTCCTTGTTTATTTCGTGACATTCAGCAAGCTGCAAAAAGTGACGTAACAATGCTCCCTTTTCGCTCCCGCTCAGACACATTTCTCACACAGACCCAGACACATTTTCAGGTGTGGTCCCAAACATTACCTCGTTTTCGCGTTTTTGACCACTATTCGTTAGTTTTCAGTTGTGTTTCGGGAATTTAAATATGAATCAGATAATTCAAGTATCACTCTGTCTTTTTAGGGATTTTAATTTAATTGCAGTAATAAAAAATTAGTGTAGAAATAGCTGTGATAGACTTTGCTAAAATTCTTTACCGGTACTTTTAAAAAACAGATTGTTGTATGCGATGAATCATAATGATGGTTTGAAATACCCCATTTTACAGGCACCAATTCGTGAAATCGCTCTAAAATTAGCCCCGAAAATTTTGCAATGGTTAAGTATAGGAGGAATTTTTCGAGGTTCAAAGGTCCATCGGCTTTTTAACGCCAAATTTCACAATTTTGGCTTTTTTGAAACACGTTTGGTGTCAGAATTTTGTTTGGCTTTTTGATAAATATCATTAAAAATGCAATGCCGGTATTTATTGTGCAACAATACTACTACTCAGCTAATCTTTCCCTTATGCACAATCAATCAGAAATAGGCGAACAAAGACATAACATGTGCTATTGATTAGATCGAACCAACGACTAACATACCGGATCGAACTATGTATGTCTGAGGAAGTCTGACACACGAAACGTTACAGAAATATATTACTGTTAGTGTGCAGCAAGACTTCTGAATTACTTATAGTGACATAACAATTGCAGTTTTTACAGCCGCTCAGACCATTGAGGTAACAATGCTCAGACCAAAGTCCGTATCGCATACACCCGGCTCAGACAGCTCAAGCAGGCTTCGTTTTCATAGTTTTGCGTGTTACAGTGTTATTCGTCAGTTTTTTTGTTATGTTTAAAAAAATAGTTGTATGCCTTAATTCAGTAATTGTCATTTTGCCTTCCGAGGAGCTGCAGTTTGGTTGCGGTAATCAAAATTCTCGCAAACGACGTGATTAGCTGGGCTAAAATTATCTTTCGGACTATCTGTGCAAGCGTCACGTCGCGCGTGGTTGAATAATTTTAGTAAAAACGATGCCTTCAAAGATGTGAAGATTATATTTATAAAAAATATATTTAATAGTAAAATGTCGGGAGATTTCTTTGAGGTATATATATATATCGCAAGTTCAAGTAGAAACATGTACATTTATCCGACCTAAAGCGGTATAGATCGTGTATTGCATATATATATACCGTCATGTATAGTGAATTGAAAAAATATTGCTGTCCGCTTAATATTTCATCACTTTTAGTGGGATTTAGCATTTGGTGCGTCTCACTAAATCAACTGATGGCTCTGTTCCGGGCCACTAAAAGGCTGCTTTTGGCTCACTTCCCATGACGATCGTTCTGTGTCAGTTTTGTAACACTTCCCGGTTCACACCAAATTTCGTCCGGATCGGCCAGCCAGTTCTCTGGAAAGTGGTCAAAGCTTTACCAGTACCTGTTGCTGTAGGCCTGCTATTCGATTGTGGAACGGTTCTTTTCTGGCATATTAAATTCAATTTGCTCTTATCAAAATTAACAAATACGGTAGGCTAGATTTGCAAGAAAACCTACACTACTGTAATAGTAAGATCGCGTAATGAATGGGTCAATTTTACTGTGGGTACGTTAACTAGCAGAGCCGTAGCTGCAGGCTTGATCCCGCAACCGCTTGAATTAGGTTTCAAAACAGTGTTCCCATGAGTAAATTTAAAAACAGCGAAATTTCGAATGAATAATAAGATTTCATAGAAAATTTACGAATAAATAATAGAATAAATAAATAAAAGTAATAGCCTCCTGGAGAAAATTTTCATCTTCAACCACTATAAATTTCAAAGCAATTGGTCCAGTATTCGAAGAGAAAAGCTACTTTTTAAAAGTGTGTCAAAGAACAACAACATAATATTGAAACGATCGCTATGTCCACTACGTGTCCAAAAACCATCCCGGCCGTCTTCATTGACCACACTGTAATCGGAAGTTCATGCGCTGTCTTCGAAAAATAGTAATAAATTTACGTTAACGTTAGGAATACGCTCGCCACCGCATCTCTGATTACCCTTTGTGGGATCGCAGGTTCGATTCCCATGCGGGGATGATCATGTGCGAGAGGATTGCTGGACTCCTCGCCGCCGTAGGGTGGTTCACATAACCGCTGGTCGGTTACGGCTTCCTCCACCATCAAGTTCATGCTTCCGAAAACAAATACCTGGCTAACTAATCCCATACCCGACCTGGACTGGTAACCGGACGAGAGGCCGTGGTTCGCCATATGATTAAGCCGTCTTATCGGCTTTCCTCTTCCCCGGGATAAATATGTAAATCCTATCCTATCCTGGCGTACAGGGCTTACACGTAATAAAGTTGCAATTATCCGCTAACAAAACAAAGAAACAAACAGCATCATGCACCCACCTCCAGTAAGAAGGCTAACGGTTAGTCTTGCGGATAAGATGTAAAATCATGCACTTTTGGATGCAAGCATGAAACTTGGCAAACATGTACAGTAGTATCCATTGATCAATTTTGGATATGGTGTCATTCAAGAAAATACCTCTTTGCCATGGAAACGAGGCATCATCCGTATTGCTATTAAAGTGAAAGAAACATTACCTTAGGAAAGGATATTTTCAAGATAAGTAAATCGGTGTGTATTTAAGAAGTAAAGAATATGATCAGAAGTGCATTTTGACAATTGCCCTTGATAACAGAATACCTTGTTACCATGGAAACGAGGTATCGTTATCGACCAAACACGATTATTTATCGCACAACCTAACCCTTGGACCGGAATACAAATACTATGTTAATGTTGTGCGCCACCTTGGTGCAAGAACGAAATAATAACAAAACGATCCATATGTACACTTGGTTCCCAATAATTGATTGAAGTCCGATTGATTTAAGTACCTCTAAGACAGGGTGGGCAAAATACAGCCCGCGGGCAGGATCCAGCTTGCTGATGTATTTCATTAGACCCACTTGTGCCTGTAGAATTTACGACTACAGTATATATAGTTTTTATGGATATGAATTTACGTTGAAACTAACGAGTCGTCGGCCAAGATATAGACATGTATAATCTGCACCAGTAAATAATGTGGAAAACCATCCACATACATCTAAAACTCATCCAAGATGACCCGATTGCTACATTATGCTGTTTATTATATAAACCTTAGTCTAGGTTTGGACCTATTTTTCTACCAACATTCTGTCTAGTCTCTGCAGCTGCCGTAACTTGCCAGTCACTGTAACAAATCCATCAGTATGAGTGGGAAATGCAATGTAGATTCCGAATGACGTTTTTTTAACAAGAAATGGAGAGACGAATTTTTTAAAGACAATATTCAACTGCTCGCTTAATTTGTAATGAAGGGTTTTCGGTGTTCGAAGAATATGACATTGCGAGACCTTTTTTGGACAAAACATATATATATAAAACTCTCGTCAACAGTTTTCGACAAAAGAGCTTAAAATCAGGGCAGCAGATACGATTATAAAGCTCACTTCACTTCATAGCCCACTAACTAAGTCTATTATCTGTAACTGGACCACGTCAGGGAAGTGGTTTCCCACACCTGCTGCTGCTGGGGTAACATAAACTACGCCGAGTAGAAAACATTTCCCTTTTATTATTTCGGTCCACCAACCTGTCAAGATATAAGCCATAAAAAATCAATTCCCATTAGGAATGGCCAATTCGAATAAAGTATTCGAATATCTCGTCATTCGAATATCAAAATCAGCGTTCATAGAATATCGGATATTTGTGTGACGTCACACATTTTCGACGCCGCTTTCAAGACGTTTCCGTTAAATGAAAACATTCTCCATAGAAACTTGCGAGAGATTGCTTTCATCAGCGTGACATGTTATTTAGGCCGTAAACGCCTTTACGTTTGTGTTATTTTTTCTAAAACGCAAATTTTTTTCTCAAATTTGTTACTCGATAACGATTATTTCATTTTTGTACCCGCATGCACGGGATTGTGAATCCGGTGAATACGTTCATCGACGTCGAGTTTCTAAAGAAAACGCAAATTTTTTGATTGAAAAGCGGCAGTACAAAATACCGAAAATAAAACCGTAAACAAAATATGTACTATTATTGAGGCCCGCGACAGTTTAAAAGACGCTTTTCTAGGCCGTGAAAATCGCAAAATTTCGTGTGCCTTTGCAACACATTATGTTTGGTCCGCGTTCAGAAACCTATCGTCACTAATTTAGGGTGGGATTTGCCTGATTATCCATTACTTTAATTAAATTTCCGTCGAAAATTTTTGTGTTAACATTATACAAGGTTTGAAACGCGACTTTTTCCCGGGTTGTGAGAATGTATATAATATAATTAATCTAAACTAAAGTATATTCAATCAATTTTTATTGTGCTAAAAAATTTTAGTCTTGAGATTTTACGGCACATTTATGGATTTTTCGAACGGTTTTATCTTAAAAAAATATTCGAGTGGCGGCATTCCGATTGAGCGGAGTCAGTGTTACACATCTCAAATTTGCCGAATTCACAAAATACGGATCAAAACAATATATAATCAGGCAGTTTACCACACATTTTTTTCATACTAACCCTAACCCATGAATTTTGGCACCCTCATATGGATTGAGCCCGCGGATACACGGGTGCAAATGTATGGGTTCAGATGTACGTGGGTTCAAATTAACGATCACCCTTTTTTGCGCGTCTCGTGACCACCTGCAGGGTCGAAACAAGTTCACATCTTACTAGAATAATATACTGTTTTCTGGTTTAAACAAAGAAACATGCATACCGTTTATACGGATGGTCAAATAAAATAATATTCTGAATATTACAGAATTGTACCGTATCACTACACACTAATATATTAGATTTTATGTAGCAGCGTAACCGTAAGACTCCTATACCAGGATAGCGTGATCTAGGGATCACCAAACCTTTTTGTCTGCAGGCCAGGTATGACTCAAACTGTGTTGAAACGGGCCGGACAAATATTTTTGACAATGCAATACAATAAATTCCCAAAAGTTGGGAAATCTATTCAATAATATAAATTCTACATTTCTGAAGTCTTGAATATTAATTTTCATATCGCAGAATATAGATCAAGAACATCATAGCAAAACAAATATATATACAAGATCTATAGACAACTATCCTGAGGTTAGCTGTTAGCAAAACAATTGCTGTCATGAATATCCGCATGTAAGCAATACAAAAGTTAATGTGACTTGTACTATTTAGCGCAAAATGCACGTTCGACGTTCATTTCAGCACGAGAAACGTCAGAACGTTGTTGTGTCCCTGACACTGACTAATGAACCATACACGAATCCAACTTGATAGAAACATCAGTTTAATGAAAACAAACAATACCACCGCTTAGCAGGCAAACTTATAACAGCGTACTACAGCACTAATACCACACTTAACGCCAACTAGTGGAAACATGGAATATATGAAAAGTCAATACACAACAAACGTACATAGCGGCAACAGTTTAGCGGAAAGCATGTGCCAAAATTTTCGATTTTTTCACCATTTTTTTCGTGTCATTGTGGGCCAGACGAAAGGACGCCGCGGGCTGTAGTTTGGTAACCCCTGGCGTAATCTCAAGTTAGACCTAACTTTTAAATACCGTATCTCAATTGCTAATCCTATTGCTTCATTTAGCTAGTCAAACAAAATGTCCCAAATCTACAAATCACCCAAGATATGTATCGTTGGTTGCGGAATCATGGGATTATCATCTGCTTATTGTCTTGCAAAATACTACCAAGGGGCGGACATAACTATTTATTCCAAGGATGTTCCTCCGAATACTACCAGGTTTGTTTTCAGATGATGAATCTACTGACCCTTTCTCATTCATCAAGCAATGACTAAATGAAGCTTGATTTTGACATGACCCTTTTTACCAACACTCACTGTTACTAAAAGTGTAACGTGTAACCCCGTAATTTGATTAAAATTAGGATTTGGTATGGAGGAATAAAATAGTTCTGCATACTGAATGCCAGTGAAAATCATTAGGCAGAATTCTGATATATATAATCTTTATTTCTATATGTAATTGTGTTTAATATTTTGTTCACATATAAATTAAGTTAATTTACATATTATTTTTGCAAGCAATGCAGGATATGGCATTGTCTTCTGTAGAAGCTATGATTCCAAAATGTATAGTAAAAAGATTGGAGAATGGAGCAGTGAAACATCCAGATATTGTTCAGAACTGTTGAAAAATCCTGACAACGCTTCAAAAATGGGGATCAATCCTGTAGATGGATTTCTTGTTATGACCAAGAAAGAAATATTGGAAGTTGAAAAAGATCCAGGTATGGTACCGCATATGATTCAAGATGCTTCCTCATGAGATCTTTTACCCCTAATTCTGACGGTAGACTAAATGTTATACATCTATCTAGTATATTTGATCTCAATCCGAGGCAACAATTGCACTTTCCCATTGTCATAAAATTATTTCTCTCACTTGTACTTCAATAACCTACCGTATGGAAATAAAAGTTTAAAGTTTCCATCTGGCCTAGATTGAGTATTCAGAATATCCTATTTAAAAGTAAATTACATAATTTCTTTCCAGATAGGGAAAGCATAGTGCATTCTCCGAGTCTTCGCTCATCTTGTACATACTTTCGTGAATGTACTCCTGGAGAAATACAGGATAAATTTTTATCAAAAAATGCTCAATTTGACATACTTCTGGATGTTCCCAAAGCTGATGCTCAGTTCAATAATCTTTCATTTTATATATATGGCACATTCATCATTGATACTGATTTATATCTTCTATGGATGCAAAATGAAATGAAGAACATGGTGGAGAGGTATAATACTTGCATGAATGGGTTTTTGAGTTATCAATTGTTGTTTAACAAAACTTTAATATAATAAGCAGTGTCATATGCTTAAAGTTACCCAAGACTATCAGTCACTGCATAACTAGAGCAAATGCACTTTAATATTAGATATTTGCCTTATTGAGCTGAATAGAGCTCTCGTGTAAAACTGTAAAGAGCCATTTTAGTTGTAGGGAATTGTTGGATTTGGAAAGGACAAAGTCTCAATTCACTACAGCATAACCAATCCCTATACTTTATAAAGGCTGTGGGACTGTTATAGGGTTTTCGATTCAAAGCTTTCAGCTTAGCTAAAAAGTTGTGCACAATTTGCCATTTTACCAAAATCATATTACAGTTTCTGAACTGTCTCTATGTTTATCTTGCAAAATGGGAAAGTTGAAAAATTTCAGATTAACTTTTTACCTTCAACATTCAAAGCTCAATTGCTGACAAATTATTGATTGATAGTTGGCCAGAACAAGAGTGCCTATTTTTATAGAGGGCAGCTGGGGAATTTCAAAGTTGAACAAAGGCACGTGGATCATCTCTCTGATTTGTGTAACAAAGATTTTGATCTTATTGTGAACTGTTCTGGGCTTGGTGCTGGAAAACTTGTGGGTGACCCTCTTGTCTCTGCTATTAGAGGTAATTCATTTTGTTGAAGTAATTTTATTGTTATTAGGCTTCCCGCTGCTTGTCAGCAGGGAACCTATTGTATTCCTGTGTTTTATTATTATTATTATTATTTATTTTTATTATTTTTTTTTCAAATTGGTCCTACAAACTTGAAATTCACCTCAAATGTGCAGAAGTTCCCAGCTAGCACTAAAATGCAAATTTTATGCATTACTGACCACGCTTTCACGCTCCAGTGAGCAAAACGCGTTTTCAGTTTTTTTGCGATTTCTCAAAATTGATACATGCTATTGGGTTGAAATTCATAACAATGATGGATGGACATGTTCCGGATGCAATATGTCAAGGATACGCATGAGTGACTTCGGCGATACGCTCCAGTGAGCAATATAGGATTTTACATTTTCATCTTCTTCTCGAGAACGACACTACTTAGAGACTTGAAATTTAAATCACATGCAGATAATAAGTCCCCCATCATAAATTGCAAATGTTATGCATAACTGACCACGCTTTCACGCTCCAGTGAGCAAAACGCGTCTTCATTTTTTTTACGCGGGAAGCCTGTTAAAGCTGCACGCAGCTCTAGTTCTATATTGAATTTAACAATTTCCAAACAGTGCATATGACTACTATGTGACAGTTTGTAATTATTTCTTAAGCTGTTGGTTTTTACTACATGTTCAGTAAATCAAGATGTCAGCGATTTGAAATATTCGTCTAAACCTGTTCAAATAATTTACTGTTCAATTTGAAATTTCCAGACCTTGTCACGGGTTAGCTTTGTAAATCTTCATTGTTCTTTTTCCAAGCACAGTGGTTTCTTATAAGAGCTCCGGAAATAACTAATCTGTATTACGCTGGACGAACTTGTATATGTCCAAGACCTGGTAGAGTGTCACTTGGATCTGTATTTCAATGGGACAGATATGACACTGAAATTGATCCTGTGGTTACCAAAGATAATTGGGATCGTGCAAAGTCTTTATTTCCTGAAATACAAGAAAATCAGGTGAGCTCATGCGCTAATTGCACCACTACCGTATTTGAAATGAATATGTATGTATTATTCATATATCTGGGATAATCATCACATTTGCCAGAATGAGGCCAACCTATTTTGGTGAATGTCCAATAATTGAAATTATATCTAAATTTGAGAAAAACTGCTCGAGGTTTTTACGAATGCGTAAATACTTGTCTTCTAGAAATTTCTTCTTTGCAGCATGCATTCACCTTTCGCACTTTTCAGTCTATGAGGATTTTGGAAATATACAACCGTACCATTGACATCATTTTGCCTTCTTCAATTTTTTATTGTAATAGAACATCTTTTAGAAAGTTTTTTTTTGTTCAATAAATGTTCCAGATCATGTTTTATCAGACATAGGAGCATAGAATCATGATTCTGCTATTTAAATTTTTAGATTCTGGGAGAATATGTGCGTTTGAGACCTGGAAGGCGTGGTGGCGCTAGATTGGAGTTTGAAAGAATGACAGGTTTGCTGCATTTTAGTCAAATTATATAACGGTTATCTTACTCTGCTTATGATCAATAATATTAGTCTCTGATCAAGTACAAATTCATAGCTATCTTTTATATATTTTGTGAAATGCTGGCACATTTAACATTTGGTTATTTAATCCATCTGTTCATTAATTTAATTTTGTAGCATATGTTGACTAAAATTTACAATGCTATTCATGCTTACTTTCATTTACTTTGTTGGATGAGTTTGTTCTCCTCAGATTAGAATAACTCTTTTATGGTGCCGGTACTGTATGTACAGTCAGTAGCAGTACCGCTGCTGTTTCCATGCTTACCGACTTACTTATATATGTCGGTGCTTGGATTCATTTTTAAGTGAGAGTTTTATTTCTTCGTAAACCTACATAACGTAGTAATAAAAATAAGTAATAAATTAGTTTGGTGTAGATGGGGGAGTGATACAGCGGGACTATCATCAAAGTCATCTCCCCCTTTCACGCTATTATCTTTAAGATTCACAATTTCAGATGACTAAATAGTAAGGTAGAATATTCTAGAATTTACAATTATATTTACAAAATGGAAGAATAAAACTGGGGAGGGGAATGCTAGAGTAAATCATTGTGTATGTGGAGTGGGGTTTCAAAATTTAAAGAGATTCCAAAGGGTTGCCACATTCTGACAGGGATTTCACAGATTATTACACTGAACGAATTCAAATAATTTATACCGCATATGTGATTAATTGACAAAAATACTTCATTTCATGGCAGAGGTACACATTGAGGATATAACTAATGTGAATTTACTTTGATTTGCCAAGTTGAGGAAAACAATAAATCATTCGGGCAATGTAATCAAATTTCCCAAGAGTTAGGCCTATTATATATATTCATTATCACAAAATATGCTTAAAGAGCACCATTGGCGAGATGAGTTGTACATAAATATACACATATGAGAGAGATTTCTAGGGAATCACGAATGTCAAAGGTTACGTATATAGAACAATTCAGCCTAAACACAACTTGCAATGTTAAATTATTGAAATATAATTCAGTGCTAGGTTAATCATAGTGGCATACAACTTCAAATATGTTTTATGATTGAGTGAATAATTAACTTAAAATGGATACTACGATTTATCATGCCCCAGTATATTTTTATTCTATTTTTTTTTTTACATATTAACAGGATTTACTGTAGAGTTAATAGTACTCTAGGACTATAATGATGAAATATGAGACCTGGAGGAAATATTCAATGATACCTAAAACCATAGTAACCCTGAGCGAGTCCTATAATATGTAAATAATATGCTTCACAGGAAGTAATCAAGGCATATATACTTAAAATAAAAGTATAAGGTGCAATATACTATGCATCAGGGCTACTCAACTATTTTTACCGAAGATCCGCATATAAAACAAAAATATTTGGTTCCGGTCTTTCCAGAAATTATATTTTGGCATTCTTAAACATGCACTTTCTCGGCCGACTAATGATTATTAGCTAATCAAGATTGTGTATTATGGCGTTATACCTCCTTTTCATATATATTTAAATCTATAAAAGTGATTTAGATAGATAGATACCTAGATAGTTTATTTCAAAAACTCCATAACAAACATAAATTAAAAATTGAGAATTCTGGAGAGCAATCAAAATCTATAAAAAAGTTTAAAACACGAGAAGTATCTCATATTATGACTGCCCACCAGCACGCACACAAAAACACAAGCCCAATTAAATGAGGCTTGGGCCAAGGAAACTTCAAAAGTGGGGCTAATGATCCAAAATAAAGAATTGAGCGCGGTCCGAATCAAATACCGGTACCTGAAAGGTTCCCCAACTTGAGTAGCTCTGCTATACATAATATATGTATTAATATGGTACCAAGGACCCGTCTCATCTAACAATAAATCAAATGGCAACAAGTGAAAATATAATCACAGCTTAAATTTGATGTCGAAGTTTCACCTAGGATAACTCTGAACTGTGATTGGGGGTCTTCTGAAAATCCAGGTTGCCTCGACGTACTTTCATTTTGAATAATTATTTTTCTACTTTTTTCATGCTAGCACGGGTATGCAATTCGTCATGTCTATACAGGTACCACCAGCCTTCACGACTTCGCCTGCCCACTGGCGCGGAACCACCACAAGTTGCGCAATTTTGGTGGCGTTATCGCACACAAAAACAAATCCGCCCACAGACATTTTTGAAGTAAATGTAAAATACAGGCCTAAGACCAAAACGATCTAAAAACTGACGACTAGATGCTCAATATTGCACATGAAGTGTGTAATAACCTCTTCAAAATTAATTGAAGTTATTTTTAGTGGTTCTCACCCTCTCCCCTGCTGTATAAGGTACCGGTACCGGTACTGTACGGTATGATGTAAGGTAGACTGCTTCGTTTTGGCCTTGGTTGTCTAAATATTTGAGAATCGCTCTCTTGTCTGCCGTAACGGTGTCGATCTTGCAAAGCAGGGTTTTTGAATATGTTAATTCTTTTTCTTAAACTGTTTGTAGATGATTAAAAAATACCTGCATTCTGCATTCTACAGGCCATGGTAATTCGATGCCAGTCATCCACAATTACGGACATGCTGGTACTGGAATCGGGCAGCACTGGGGATGTGCATTAAATGTGCTAGAGATTTCCAAAGGTGTCTTATTAAATGGTAAAAGCAAATTGTAGTATAAGTTGACATTTCGTTGACTGGAATAATTATTGATTTTTTTTTCATTAAAACTGCAATGTATCGTACTATAATTTTTTACGTTGCTGATCTTTTTAATGTAATTTATACAGTACAAATATTTTATTAAAGCAAGTTTCTTATTTTAAACTTAGATATGAAGTAATTTTTATTTCTATCGAATGCAAGGTTTATTCTAATCACTTATTGTTTTTATGCTCTGCGTGAATAAATTATAATTTTTTGACCTAGTTTCAGAAGTAGACCATCCGCTTGGTACGGTACTGTTGTTTCGACGGGTAGGAAGTGGGAATCGACTAGTGGTTATTATGTGAACCACCATGCGTCGGCGAGTCCGGCAGCAAACTTATACTCCACGGGATTCCGAATTACATCTTAAAATCCTTGGTTGATAGTTTGTATTGTGTAGTTTTAGGCTTTACACACGCATCACAAAACAAAATTTGAAAATACTCGTGTCACGACTCGAAAGTTCCCTGGCAGCGGCTTAACAGAATGTTAGTACGTTTTTGCATCAAATCTGAATTGGCGGGTCACCAAAATGCGCGGGCTTAGGGAAAGGTCACACCTGGGTCACACATAAACGCAAAAGTGGGTGCAGATGCCCAACTTGTTTCTGATAAAATCCCTGTCGAGATGGGTGTCGCCATGTTGCAAAATATGCTGGTATATCAAATTTATAGACATGATCGAACCGGGGGAACTATGATTTGTAAACTTCGATTTATGATTTTATATTGCATGCACACGAGGTTTTGAAGTTTAGGAACTATTTCACAGTTGAATTAGCCCGAAATGCCTACATTAAAGGCAGTGGCGCAAATACCCATTGGATCTTTTGGTAAATCCAGGGGCGGCAAGTTGCTGGCGGGCGGCAAAACGTTTTAAACGAAGCGGAAAAAGACCTAATTTATCAATGAAGCCATAAAAGAACACAAGATATACGTCTAAACCAGGTGTTTTATGGCTCGTGGCCCCCATCCAGCGCCTATTTGCACTCGCGGCTCCGTGTTCGCCATTTCAAATAACGAAACGTGTTGGATTGTATTATGTGTTAACGACCTATTATGGAATGCAAAAGAAAACCACAGAAAAGAAAGTAAACGCTTTCCAGTATATAATCAAAGGGAGTATTTCGCTTAGGACATTCTGACAGGTTTATCGTATTAGGCGCAGTCTTTTTTTATAGCTAGAAGAATGTCAACATCAAGACGGTTTATAAATTTTGTTTTTGTGGTAATAAAAATTGGCTTTTGCTTACACAGAAACCCGAACTTAGTCAATGTGCGTTCCTGTCAAATCTAACTCGCTTGGCAGCAAAGAAACCGATGCCAACGTCTTTCACCGGGGGTGATTTTGTCGCGGCATTTTGGAGTTCAGATGGATGTAACGATTTATTGCTCATTACATACGACTACGAGCAATGCCAGCATTAATCACATTCTCTGGCATCTCAATTTACTTTGGTAAAGTCAACGGAACTGTTGTTGTTAGTACATCTTTCTGTGCTTGAAGGCCCAGGAACGCAGCTATTCAAGTGTTCATCCAAAACGTAACTGTAGTTCCATTTTCGTAATTGCGTCTATAATACGCTAGCGAAGGGTATTTCGCAGTCGAGTGGAACTGCCATTCTGTAGGTTAGACCAGACCATATATGGGCTTTGGACCAGACGGCCTACCGGCGAGCTATTTTCATTGGTAGATTTCGAATTCCATAATGATCAAACAATTCACGCACAACTAAGTGAATACACCCTGGGATCGCAAATAATCCTATTCAGGTAATGGAACTGCCGTGGAAAGTACGCAAACGAAGTCGCTATTTAATAAATTATTAGTCTTGTGTCGTGGCCCCCCTCGAACTGCTTTGTGACCCCCGTAGAGAGCCCCAGGATGAGAACCACAGCACTAGTACAATCAGGTGATTTTACATTTAAAAATGACGCTACAGCGCTGGACGTCCTGCAGTGGTTTGCATACATCGTTTATGCGAATTAACACCTTATTTATTCATGAGTCTCAAGCTTTACCTCACTGTTGTCGTTTCGTTCACAAGCTGCGAATACCGAAGTCAAAACCTAAGTTGATAAAGTTTTACTTGAGATCGACTATGGAAGAAAGAAGGCTGTCTGTGCCAGCAATACTGCCCATTGAAAGTGATTTAGTCGAGACATTATCTTTTGACGATATAATTTCCGAATTAGCTTCAATGAAAACTAGACATTGAATTTGGAACTTTCGATAAATTTACTATTCACTGCTTTAATTCTTCTGTTGTGTGGAATGATATTCAGCTTTTACGACAGTGGTGAGGGGGCGGCATTTCGCGCAAAGATCCAGGGGCGCCACATTGCGTTGTTACGCCACTGATTAAAGGTATATATATAAAGGTTGAATAATGGATCGCTATTTCCGAGGACCGCCTACGCAATGATCATTAGCATTTGTTGCTTTCCACTCCTTCGTCATATGGGTAATCATTCATGTACATACATTCTCAACCTTATTTTAGGCTATGCTCGTCGTCATGTTTTGTGGCTGGTACCAGCAATCGTTTTCATATGAAGTGGAATGATTCCAGAGAAGGATGTAATTCGAACATTTCAGCATCATGTCTTTTACACCCGTACTCGTAGACAATTGCTTTTCATGAGTGATTTTCGAGAATGATTTAATCATCATCGTTAAAAATCTATATTTCGACTTTTGCTTCGTAATGAATTACGGAATTTTGAAGTATGATTGGGTTTATATTTATTCAGTCGTGTGATATTGAAGATGGCAACTTTGACAAACTTGTCTTCGTAGTAATTCAATATTTGTCGTCAAGACCGGGAAGTTTTAAGAAACATTTTCAATGTATTCAGTGACAATGATGAAAGAAACTTATATATATATAAAAACTTAGTCGGAAGTCTCATAGACAACGGTTTGTGGCCACAGTAGAGCATTTAAATACCAAGGCCACATGTCAATAGTCGTTGGGAATGAAACTCACCCATTAAAATGTCAACATCCAAATAACGCCAGATAGCAATTTGTTGATCGACATTTTTGGGAAATCGTTTAATTGAATTTTAAACTCAAGTATGCCAGATTAAATACCCCCAGCTTTGGTATGTACGTATCGAGCACAGCCTTACCCGATCATACATGGTCATATTCGTATAATTTTCGAATAAATGACGGATGATTGATGCATGTCTGATTGTCTTCAATGTTCCGATTGACACTTGATATTGTTTTTAGGCTGCGATGTCGCGTCAGCAAATGAATGTTATATATATTAGCATTTCGCAATCTTTTGTCTATTGTTATTATTTTCTATAATTAAAGCATTTGGGAAAGTGACGTTTCAAACGCCATCTATCATAATTAATGAACTCGATCAGATCACATTTGTGTATTTTTGTATGCGCGTAAATCTTTTATTGTATAGTGTGATTGCGAAATGCTAAGTTGAATAAAACGCCGTTAAAAGTATGGCAAGAAAAGTTGTTGGTCGATGTATCATCTATTACCATGTTAGCCTTCATAACGCGGTATAGAAACAAACGGCCGCATATCGTGCATTTCTGGTATCTGCAGTATTAAAATAAACGAGCGCTTGTTGCATGTATCAAGTTTGCGTCTTTATTTTGTTTATACCGTAAGCCTGTTGATAGTATATTTACGCGCAGGCGTTAAGCTCTTCACTCTTAACAAAAAGGTGGCCTCACTATGCACGCGCATCGACAACGTTCGAATAAACAAGCTGACGCAAAACAATAAAGGAAAAAATGGTGTTGTGGTCACCTTAATAAACGAGAAGAACGCTGTACTGGCTTTTTTATCAAGGCCAATCCGCTTAATCTTCTTGTTTTGTTACTCGAATGTAGTGTAGCCTACCAGCATGCACTATGGCGGTAGAAAGGTAATACGGTATTAGAAACATTTATGCGGTCTTCTTCGTTCAGCAATATAGTTGCAAAGTCTTAGGCATTTACTGAAATAGACTATCCTTGCAACGTCATACTTTCTTACAGTAAGACTGTTGTCAGTTATGGAGTTAAAGGCAAATGTGTAGTCGTACATTTGACTTGTGTATTCTTCGCGTTCTTTCAGGCATAGACATTAATATGAATATTGATGTATACAAGTAGAATTAAGATACAGATATGGAATTTTCAGCGGCTGTGTACCGGAATGCCGGTAGTGGAGTTATCACTCCAAATATTACCTCCTTGACAACGCTCGTAACGACTATTACAGTAAATTTCAGCGAAAATGTACTTCATGGACACCCGGCTTCTCACAATGCTCAGGCAAGTAGATTTCACAAAAACAAAAACATTTCGGGTAATTTGGTAAATATCTTCAACTGTACGTTTCAACGTTTGCGCACAAAATCATCGCATCATATTGAAGACGAGTTTCTGAATTTAAAATTGGATTAATCCCTGCAGAGTTTTTTTTTGTAATTGCTTTTGCATTTTTGTGATATTTTCATAATATCAGGTACTGCATCAGGTTGCAAACGAGTATTTTCATCTAATTTCACCCTTAGTTCTAGCGGGTCTTTCTTGACGCCTAACTATTCCTGAGTGTTGAAATTAGCTTATTTGATCGATATATTATATATTTGAAAGCATCTTAAATATAACAATTTTTATTTACATAAATTATACAATATACCAAATAAGATGACAGACAAGATGTAAATGTTTACATGGGCTTCTAGATAAATAGTGTATACAAGGAGAATTTTAATCGATTTAATTACATTTGTTGTAACATATTAAATACTCGAATATAGCACAAGGATGAAGCTCTTTGTGATCAGTCATTTTATCATGTATTTAGGCTACTTAACTTTCCAAATGTCTCCAATTCCGCGAAAATTTGTAGTTATAAATATTGTAGCATGTCAAATGCTAGTTACTGTCACAAAAATCGAAGTGAAGCCACTTATCGTACGCCTACGAATTTTCTGGTCTCCTGAGCAATGTTAATGCTATATTAGGAAAAGAAACCATCTCTGGTTATTCACACTGAATTCGGACATAATGCACGTTGATTTCAGGCTTCATGCACGTTACAGAAACCTGTAACTATTGCATTGTTGCCGACGGATTACTCAGTTCAGAAATATCAGTTTTGTCTTTTGTGTAGTATTTGTTTCACCGTTGGTCGCAATCGCATATTTCATCTTTGATGTTTTCATTCACCATTCTTTATTATGCTCTGTTGAGTTTTTTTGTGCTTTCGACGGATTTTCATAGAAAACTGTCCACTCCATCGAGATAACAGCGCGGAAATTTGCTCATCAGTCTGTTTTCATTATACACAACACTGTGATTGATATTCCATGATGAAAGCATTAATTGAGTTGACTCTTGGCAATGGATACGTCAATACATATGCAGAATGGAGTTGATTATCATTTTGAAAGTAGCTCATTGTAGCGCTTGGGGTAAACAGTAAGGACAGATTATTCAATTTCCACATTTGTCTTTACTCGGCTAGGTTTGCCTTTGAAGAAAGAGTCAATTTTTTATCGAAACAGTGCATTTATTACGCTTACGAATAAAAGTTCACGCTATACATTGTCAGCCAATTTCCACAAGGGTTCACTGAACTGAAATTGCCCTTTGAAGTAAGAGTCTATTTTTGTACAAAACGGAAAAGGTGGACATAGCGTTTCTTACGGTTACGAGTAAAAATTGTCCCCTTATAGTCACCCGGACACACTATTGAATATGAATACATCGGCGTATGCAGTTTCGATACAGAAATAGGATAAAGTGGACATACAGTACATCGTTTACTTTGTCAGTACAAAACTGAATGAGAAATTTCCTCAATGTGCATCATTTTGTTGAAGTGTGCATTTTCGAGACGGGAATAGGTAATAATGAATTGTCCTACTTTTTGACCACATAAGTTTTAACTGGCGACTAACTACATGGTCATCATGACATACTATGTTCTGCGCTATTCAAAATGAATCCGGGTTTGTCATCTTAATTAGTACACGATTATCGAAGATATTAATTGCAATCTCCTATTTGAGTATATACTATATAAATATCTCTACATATTTACTCGTATAAGTACAAATCACAATTCAGTTTTTTTTTCAAATAAATCAAAGTTGTATTTTTCATTTCAGATCGTCATCACAGTTTTGATTGCTGTACTTGGACTTTGGAGTACTATTGGAAATTTATTAACGATATTAGCAATATCTATGCACAGAAATATGAGAACCAAATGCAACTTCTTTATATTCAGCCTTGCCATTTCTGATTTATTATCGGGGGCTATCGCATCGCCCCTATGGTTATATAGACGGTAAGTTAAAAAGATTTACTTCGTAATAATGCAGTCTAAAATACGGACCAGCGTTATTATTGTGGTAACAGCAATTTTTTATGCGCTACACGCACAAGCGCAGCGTGTTCATCATTAATGGACTTCAAATTACCGAGAAAACTCCGGACAAAGTATAATTTTTAAGTAAATTAAAGACCGCTATGTTAATGCAATGCAAATTTCAGTTACAGTTTGAAGAAAAATGTTTATATTCGTTCTGGTATGCCTGATCTGGTGCGGTCCAAACGTCTATTGCCCACATTTCTGATTGGTAATTTTGATCATTCAGTTGCATGCTAATTTTTTTTATTTGAGGACACATATTCCTTTTAATCCATGGATCATGATTTAGCGTTTGGAAGCGAAACAATATAAAATGTGCGATTATATATCGTAATCTAAGTAATATTGGAAAGTTTGTGGCCAGTTCACACGCAATAGCTTTCGAGTTGAATTCTACTACAGAGTATTATTCAATACAAATATGGAAATTGCACATTAGAATTATCTTCTGTAAACTTTATTCGCCTTGACATCACATTTTTATTATATTGGTATATAAATTGGTCAATATTTGGTTTCTGATTAGAATAAAAATTATTTTTTCATTTTGAATTAATCTCTTAAAGTCAACAACAGTGAATAAAATTTAAGTCAATGTCTGATGGTTCAAGTTTGAAAGTACCTGCGAAATTTGCGTTTTGATAAGTTGAAATACTTCCGAATACACAATATAGTTGGGATTCATTTGAAGGAGATCACACAAAGCGCTTTTTCAATTCCATGCTTTCTAGATATTGGGTCAACTTTGACATTATTTACGTAGCAATATGTCGGACGTCAAATAAATAGTCCTAAAAACATAGCGCAATTTAATAATGATTAGGAGAATCGTACTACGAACTGTAAGTTCGTTTTTCCTATAGCCCATACCCATGATATCTGAACTCAAATGTATCTTTGATGAATCATCCATCTTGTTGACGAATAATTGGTTTTGTATTATTCCGCTCTCATGGAATATTATCCTTTGAATTGAAACCGAAGGGTCCGATGGTTACCTATTTTCGACAAAATAAAATATCAAAAAAACAATAGGTTAGAATGACAGTTGACATTGTGTTGTACGATTTAAAGTTGAAGGCAGCTACAAACTAACGAAAAAACCTAACAATATGGGTTTTACTGACGTCAATGAAAATTTTTTTTAGAAAAATACGGGACATATAAAAATTTTCGTAATATCTTAAAGAGAAACTAATCACATATAAAAATATTATATCATATTTAGGAGAACATTGAAACATAAGTAGGAATGAAATATTTTTTAACCGTGTGGAATTTCAATTGTTTTTCTAGTTTGGATATACTGTAGATCAAAGGTTGTACCTTATATGTGAATGCACTAAGTTTGTTCTTGGCGTTATATTGGAGTAGTGATGTTTCAAATGCTTTGATTCGATTTGTTCATTTATTACATGTTACATTATTATTACGGTTACATGTAGTAGAGAGTTCAAGTGTTTATCGAGAAATAAATTCTTCAAGCATTGTAACATACCACACCCGACTGTCAACTTTTGTTAAATGTCGTGTTCAATATGCAAACTATTGAGTCAAAAACTTGATATTAAATTCTATTATACAATTAATTTTTTTAATCTTAGAACATGGGGATTTCAGCAATGGATGTGGGGTGAATTCCCATGTAAACTATTTTGGTTTGTCGACGAGTCTACATCCTACTGTACGGCAATGCATATTGCATCATTCGCTGTGTGGCGATTTATGGGTGTGAGATGGCCCCATGTACTAGAAAAATTAGAAAAGTGGTGAGCATTTTATCTATTCTAACTTGTAAAATTGTGATTTCTTAATGTCATGGATAGCTGTTTTAGCTTTTCCTAGCCCACTATCTCCCGGTAACAAAATTTGTTCTCGTGTACAGCCATATTTAGAACGCTGACCTCGTGAAGAATATTACTTAATTATTGTTCATTTCTTGTCATTGTTTGGCTTCGTTCAGACGAAACATTACATACATACATATTCGCTATTACAAAGGCACAGAGGAAGGGTAGGGAGTTAGTCTCTCGTAACCCTATCTAATAATAAATTTATTTTCTCTCTAATTTTACAGGAGTGTGAAAATTTGGCTCGGAGTAATATGGGTAATAGCCCTCGTTTTTGGAGGAGCAATTTTCTGTACTTTTTATTCAGTGGAGGATAGAAGCCATATGTCGTTGGAGTCCGACTTTGCAAGATGGCCAGCTTGTTCCATCAAGACCGAAGATGGGGGGTAGGTTTAATAATATGTTTTATTATTGTAGCTTCACTTCAAATAAAGACGATATTACTGTGAGAAAAACGTTGATTGTACCTATTTCATATTACGCATGCGGGGTTTTCGTCGTGTTACTTTTGAACGAAATACAAAATGAAAAGATATTTATAATAATTCAAAAAACGATAAATGCTGATTTAAATTTACCTTTAGTTTATTGTCGCGTACAAACGCGATGTGTGAATTTTTGTTTTGTAATGAATCAACATTTTCATAAATATCCCAAATAGGAGATCACGTTGAGTCTCGATAGAAATGCCACACACACATCAAATATTAAGTTCACCAATCAGTCCAGTTTGAAATGATACAGTTTATTTAAAACGATTTATGCCTAACCTCATAATGATGTTTGGATACACGAGCCTGTAATTCCGTGAACTAATATAAGCTTATCAAAAATGAAAACAAGTTTTATATGCAATCATATGCAGGACATTGGTCACTTTGCCAATGGAAATGAAACAAAACTAACGGAAACTCAGGTATATCTGCAATGTTCTCAGTGTGTCAATTTTAAACTAATTCGAAATCTCATAAATTTTATTAACAACAGCTATAGGATCGGATTGTAACTGATATCAGTAAACCATCTTTGTTCTTATACCATGGGATATGCAACATATTAAACCACCTTATCCAAGTGGGAATAGACATTGAAACCCCAAAAGTGGTGTTTCATGTTATCTCTAATTGAAAAGAGTTCTATTGAATGTATCGCGAATATATTATAAATTAATTTTGGACAGGGAATAAACTAAGTAGGTTTTTGCATTTATGTCGGTTTCAAATCACTCTCTGGGAAATCGTACAGATGTTATTTCATCGTGTGTGATTTCATGGTAAATTTAATCGAATTCTGATATTAAATTTCCATCAAGCGTGGCCTCAGTATGGCCAGCAATGATTTAAAACTGAATGGTTTTACTGTGAATATTCAAGTTTTATTGGATTACAATAAAATGAGATAATAATTGGTTAGCATTGTGTGTCCATGGCTAGTTTATTCAGGCAAGGACGTTTTCTGTTGGTCGAGTGAAATTGCTACAAATAATCGTCCTGTTAGACTAATATATTCATTTCGATCTTTCAAATATATATTCGTTTTTCCAAAATTTACTGTAAATATTAAGTATTGAAACGGGATCAAGGTCGAAGAAGATTGGGAATATTCGTTTTAACGACAACATGTATTTTTGAAATTGTATAAATATTTTAGGTACATGCGCACGCTTTGGAAAAAAAAATAGAATATTCTGATTCCAAAAATAACCCGATTCCGTTATAACAATGTAAACAAATAATTTGCATCTCAAGTCGACTTACGGTTCCAGTAAATAAATAATTTTCAAATGTTCAAATTATTCCAATTACATATATATCAAATTTCTCACTTTATTTTGTTTTCGAGTTGGTATAATACATTTCACGGTATTCATTTATTCAAGAAAGCAAAATTATCCAATATTCATAATTTGCATTGAAAACTCGTAATATCAAAATAATTCAATTATTGTGAACTCGTCGAATATACCCAAAGGATTTGCATATTCCAATTCACAAGTCTGAAGACATAAAATGTAATGATCTAATGGAAAAACGCACCGTACTCCTTGCTATCTATTTACACAAACATCTTCTTTCACTGGAAGATTAATTATTATTGAAAACAAAAACTCCAATATATTATCTGTTTACAACTTTTTGCGCGTTGTTTCTCAAAAGTCAATAAATGAGTTGAATATATGATTCAGCTATATTAATCACACAAAAATATGTTTGTTTGGTCGGTTAATAAGAAAGGAGAATTCGATTCCAGTGTGTTAGAAGACCCCGAATTTATTCTGCACAACATGCATTTCAAGAATGATTATTTTGATATCGTATTGACAGAATAAATTCGATAACTAGAACACGTTATGAGAATATGTGTAAATCCCAGTAGATTATACATAAGTGCCGAGGTGTTGATAGACTGCGAAATAGTCATCTTAGATATTCTCCTAAATTATTCAAAATGTGTGTCAAAATCAACGTGAATTTTGAAGTAATATATGGGTATCGTGACTGCATAGGTACATGCACTGTATCTTGTTTGTTATCTTCAATATTTTTGTAAATTATTCAAAATTGTTGTCAAAATTAACTTGAATTTTATAATATTACGTTTGTATTGACCATAGCATATTTCGGTATAATTAACCAATACATGGTGTTCATAAAGTCGCTTTACAATTTCAATTTTGTCATGGAGTCAGTTCTCAATATATCTTAACCAGGTTTTGTTTAATCAGTAAATGTACAAGTAATTTTACTTCATTTAATTTATCGATAAACGACGACACCCTATATAAATCCAATCATTTTCTATTTTCTATAATGCTTATTTTGACCTTTTTATTAAGTTGTTTGTATGACATCTTTGCTCTAAATGAGGATTTTTCTTATCGCTACGTTTGGGTAAAAAATGTTTCGATGTATCAGGTTTTAATTAGCTATTTACAAAATAATAGTAGTTCAAAGTAACCTTTGAATATCATGATTACGTTATCTGACCAAACTGAATCCGATACTGACAGTCGCGAAACTATGGTCCGGCCGATTCAACGGGCATCTTAAGTTTGTTATTTTCGAATAAAATATTCACATTTGGTCAGTAATAGTTCTTTACTTACACAATTGGCAGCATTGTCAACTTGGAATAATCTGAACGCGTGTGGCCATTACCAGCACAAAAGATTTTAGATGATTAAAAGAAAACAGTCTGGTATTATGGACTAATCTGGCCATGCTGTATTACGCTGTCTTCAAATGGCGATTGAGCCATATATCCATCCCTAGTTCCACTGTTCAGTCAGCAGTTATTCTCACCAATATGCCTAATGGTTTTTACACTTAAATTGTGCCGAATATATATAATGTTATTAATGTATTTATTATACAATTGCGTTTACTGTAAAACAGTGGTGCCCAACCTTTTATGGTTCAAGGCCCCCTGCGGAAGCTTTAAGTCCCCTGTTTATCATTCCAGTGGTATTTGTAGTGTTAGTTTGATTTGTAGAATCCAAACCCCATTAGGTTCAAATAATTCATGCTCAACAAAGTGCAAGTATCCCGTGAAATAACTTTATCAAGCAATGAAATTAGGAAGATCAGGGAGTTTAGAGTAAAATCAGTCTTGCTGTTGTAAAGAGTTGGGAACCGCTGTTGTGGAGAGATGTACATGAACAAGGCCGTGAACAAGCAGTCAATAAAACGTGGTTGGCGTGGAGTTTGAGTATATTGTACCCTGTATCGATCTGGGTTAAAATTTTGTTTTCAAAAATAAATTGGATATAAGTAATTATTTCCTTATGTTTTTAGTGTCACGAAACACCTGATCTACTACACATTTTCATCAGCTTGTTTTATGTTATTGCCGATGTTGATATTGTTCATGTCTTCAATATTTATTATACGTGAATTATTATGGTATTCCAAAGTCAAGACATCATCCAGAAAATCTAAAGGTTTGATAAGATTATCATTTCACTTTATTGATACGCTGCATGTTACCAGTGACCGTACATTTGAACCCACGTACATTTGAACCCGTGTCTATATCCGCAGGTTCAATCAATATGCGGGTGCTGAAACCCATGGGTTAGGGTTAGTATGGGTTCAACTATCCGTACAACAAAAAAATTTCCATAGGTGCAATAGTATACAGGTGCAATTGTCATGGGTTCAAATGTACGTGGGTTCAAATGTAATGGAACCCATGTTACCATATGCAACTTAGTATTAAAACTAATACAGCGATATTCAGAATGGGTGCATCTCTTTGTTTGAGTAGCAAAACTTTTTTGCCATGGGAAACAATGGTAATTATTTTAATTCGTTCTTACGCATTTCAAAATATTGCAAAAACTTTATTAAAACGTGTACCTAATTAATTATTTAAACATGTACATAATAATGATTAAAGATTTAAAGATAGAAATTTAAAACATTCCAAAATACCCAAAAAACTTTATTAAAACGTGTACCTAATCAATTATTTAAACATGTACATAATAATGAATAAACATTTAAAGATAGAAATTTAAAACATTGTGACAGATTTCGACTTGAACCCCCAACACTCCTCGGATCGAAATACGACTCCAGTTTCAATTATTTTTTCGGAGAAAAAAACATCCCGAACTCCAGCTGCCCTAAATTAAGAGATATCAGCTTGCATTGGACCAAATTATAAGCTCTATGTCTGCTGTCATATATCGGTATATAATTTTATCAGATTAAATAATGCGGTATCCATACTATCAAAATAAAGCTAAAATTTGACTAATCCATTACAAAAATCAAGCAAAGGATATTCAAAAAGTTGGTGTAAATGAAATGAAAACATGTAGAATACCGTAATTTAGTTCCAGAACAAATTCAATAAAGTTGGTTTCAACACTGTTTTTTTTTCTGGAATTACAAACGGAGGCAGTTGGCTGTTATACATTGGGCGTTGGGCTGTTTCACGTCGGGTGGACGACGTACGTCTTGACTGCGTCAAACAATGGCAGAATACCGTAATTTAATTCCAGAACAACTTTGATAAAGTTGGTTTGGATACTGCATTTTTTCTGAAATTACACATGTAGTCAGTTCTCAGTTGGCTGTTAACATTGAAATTGTTGACAGTCATTCTTTTCCAGTTCGGGTAGAACTTGTTTATACTTCAAGTGTTTGTTAGTTACGACATTTTTTTCAACCTTATCATATCAAAGTCCTCACCAATTGTTGATATCATTGTTTTCAGTTTCCTTATGCACCTGGCTACCATGACTTGATCACGCAGTATTATATAAAAATCACGTGCCACGTCTCATATTTATTTCATAAATTACCGGAGGGTTTGTTTGTAACAAAATCCTGCTTCGACCTTTTAATTTTGTTATTTACGCTAAGAATAAGAAGCTTAAAATCAATTTCATAAATTTAAATCTAGCGATTTGAACCACAATGCCATAAAAGCGACTTTTCACCATTTTTTCCTTAAGCTATAGAAATTTGAAAATCTTCAACAAATTTATGCTAATTATTTTCTTTTGTTTTAACGATTTAAAGCGGAAAATGCCCAGAATGTACAAAATGTTTCAGCCAAGTATAGCATTCTTAGTTAGATTTCCTATTTGCGAACATGCGGCTATTTTTCTGTTATTCATTTTCGAAGATCCTTTCAACGACTCGCATTATTGTTTCAGAACGTAAGGCCGTGTGGCAGCTTGCACTTATCGCTGCCTCATTTTTAGTCGGATACATTCCAATGACAATCTATGTGATGTGGACGACTCGTACTAAACACGGAGATTACAGGTACGACTTGCATGCTTCATGTCGAAATGTACACCGATATCGATCTCGCAATCACAATGGTTTTGCTAAAGTTTGCTCTCTAGTTTCAGATTTCAAATCAGATCGGAATAAAATTTGAGATGCATTTGTTAATATTTTATAAGGTAATCCAATACTGTTTTTTAGGGGGATGTCCTCGCCACTTACTTATCATTAAAATGATAATATAGACCTATTGAGATATATTCAGCAAAACGAGGTCCATAATGAAACTGGATGCTACCCAAACCCAGAAAATACAAAAAAACCAATCAAGTATTCATTTCAGGTCCAGCTGTATGCTTAACAATTCAATAGAGTTACGAGGGTTCACATACCCGCCCAAAAAACTCCAAATTAGAGTATAGAGCGAGGGTGGGCAAATTTTTTGGACCAGGGAATAAAAATTGTACCCACCTAGACTGTAGGGCCACGAAAGTGTGACGTAAAAAGTTACATTTTATGAACAATATTTACCATGTTACAAAAGCAAAATTGGAAAACAATAATTCTCGCAATTTGATCGCAATCTCAACACATTTCTTGGGCTCTTTTTCACCTAAAACATCAGGCGAGTCACGTGTTGATGATTTCATATTGTAGTTTACTGATTCCAAAATAACCCAGGATGATTTTTAATACAGTGCAGTGCATGTACGTGCGTTTGTCTGTTCCTGCTAAATTAGAGAGAAGTATAAAAACGAAAGAATCGCTATACCCTACGCCTACAATAATGCCGTAATAATACTCGGAATAGCCGAACAAACAAACACCCTTGAAATGAAAATAAAATCATGGAAGGTTTCATATAAATCGTATATGATCATACGACCATCTGAATTTTTATTAAGTTTTATCCGTATCGTACTTCGTTATTCGCGATCAAATGTAAGTTAGATATTTCTTAATTTCCTGAAATACTGTGGTAGTATTTTATATAGCCCGATTATGTACATGCACCTACAAGGTATACCATGTTTGACAAATGTTTTTATCAGGTCAGTAAAAATGGTTTGTGAAACAGTTCATTTCCTACTATTCCTGGCATTGTTCCATAAATATGGAGTGAGGAATATGTTGCATAACCGAAAATTGCATGGCTATTCATTTTCACTTAGAAATTTCGAACGTCCATATGTTGTCAGGTTGACGTACACAAGAGGTCAAGAGATCAAAATATGGTTTTCAATCAGTATTACGCGAGAGAATTTTTCGAACACGTGTTGATAGTATACTTAGTGAAATACGTGCATTCGACGGCCGTGATGATGTCGGAAACGTCCTATCGAGAAACAAACATCCGGTTTCTCGCAGCAGATGTTAACTCTTCGGACATCTTGCATTGTCTGATTATATTCATTTGAAATATGCCTGAACAACAACTTCTTTATGAAGACTCACAAAAATATGGAGTTTTTCCAATGGTAATTTTCCATTGCGTATTTGAAACGCTCAGCATTTTTATTGTTTCATTGTGGATCGCGGTTCGTATTCAGAAGCCCATAACACCCAAATAACAGCTTGCTTTGTGCCTTGTTTCGAGCAGTGATGGCTGAGTTCCACAAAAAAAATGTTTTTTCGAGTTTAAATTTCTAATCAACTAAAAAGAAACATTTTTCTTAAATAGATTTTTTTATTCAAAACTTGAGTGATATTTTCATAATATTCACAACACCAAGTACCCCTCGTGTAAGCTGCACTTGTTTGTGTCGGTATCGACAATTCATTTTAAATTCATAAAATTCACTCAAAACAAACAAATGATCTTATCGATGTTTTATGTGAATTAAATTTATTTTTCTCCCGCATATTCGCGGATGTATTGAAGATGTGCAATTGTCAATCCTAAAAACTGTATGTGTTTATGTTATGCGTTATACAAAACGCGATAATGTTGATAGTTTTTCAAGACTATCATTTAAAAATTGATAATAAAGTACATCGGTAAAAATTCAGTAATTTCACGAAAAAGCATGGTTGATTCTTCAGACTTTAATTTGAAACTGAATGCCCAAACAACTACACAGAGTTATGGATACTCCCGTAGTATGTGAACCAAGATGGGGTACACCGGAACGTAGTATGTGTACAAGGTTAGGGTTAGTCCATAATTTTATTCCAATTCGCTTTATTTTAGTTCTGTTACGAATTTGGGGACTAGCCAAGTGACTTCCGTTGTATTTGTAGCTGAAATTATGCCCTAACCTGGTACACAAACCACGTTCCAGTGTCCGTCATCTTGGTTCACATACAACGGGAGTACCGAGTTATGAACAAAACCGACAGTTAATGACATCACATGTGAAAAAATCTCGGGTACATCACCTTAATCAGGATGTAATAAATGGGTAATAATGTCGAACCCTTAAAATTTTGGTCTTTCCCAATTGAGGTAGCTCTTTACATATCTGGCCGTTTTGTGTAGAGCCTTGTTCGCAAAAGCGTATAGATACGTCGTATGAAAATATTTGCTCAAATAAACACATGCTTATCCAAAAATAAAATATACTTAAAAAATATTGTTTTCATTTTCTTGGTATTTGATTTCTTTGCTTTAGGTTTTAACGATAATTGTTATTAGTGTTATTTGAAGGAATTTATAATGCTCTCGACTCGAAGCCGGCCTTGGATATTTGTATTTTATGTCCTAAAGTAGGTCCTATATTTGTAATTACCCAATCGTATCAATCGCTTTTAAAATTTTTGGTCTCGATTGTGACCCGTTTTTCAAAATTTATGACTTAGAAAACGAAATGTGGACCCATACCCTACTGTACAACTAGTATTGGTGCATAATACAGCACATAATTTCAACAAAGTATTAATGTAGGGCAGGCACATAGCGAGTTCATCTAGTCGCTTTTCTGCATTGCCCTGTTTCATCCATCACTCATTTAATTTGTTAGCTCAAAAAATCAATAGGAATTTAATTTCAATTTGCGGGTGTACATCTTCGAAGACAGATTTTTTAATTGTGTTGGTATTTACTGTCTTGAGGCAAACTCCTATAACTGTAATATTTATTCTTCCGTCTTGTAAATTTTATTTACTGTATTAATTGATGTACATCATATTTACTAATAAGAACGATATGGTTCTACCAATATAACTGATCGCGAGAAGTGCTTTGGCGAGTACTTGATCTTGTGGTACAAAGTGAATTCTTTGTTGTTCTACCACATTTAGAAATAAATCCGAAAATTGGCTACTATCACTTTCCACGTTAATTTGTCGCAGGAGAAGTAGTTCATACATACCATTTCTATGTCTAAAATTTTCGTTCAATTTCCTGAATTATTATCCATATACTGCAAAAGATTCTCGAGGTTTTGTCGCCTGTCATTGCCGAGTGCTTTGCGGTTTCAATGATTAAAACCGATTTTCTAATTTATCGGGTTGTTCATAATGGCCATAGATTTTAGAGGCACCATACATATGGAATGCAAAGTCAGTCAAGTTCTAATACAGGACTGTTGTAACGAAGAAGTATCCCACCACCCTGACTCCTGTCTACCAATTAAAAATTTTCCCGACCGATTTTCTAATTTATCGGGGTGTTCATAATGGCCATTGATTTTAGAGGCACGATTGATATGAAATGCGAAGTCAGTCAAGTTCTAATACAGGACTGTTGTAACGAAGAAGTATCCCACCACCCTGACTCATGTCTACCAATTAAAAATTTTCCCGACTCCTCAATAACCCGACCTTGCTCCCAAAAATTCGGCAGAAATCCCGACCTCGACATTTCCAATTCAGAATACTCAATTGTGTCGCCGACTTACATATTTTGATTACGGCTTGGAAAGTAAAACTATAATTATCGATAAAATTTATATTTCAGGCTTGATTACTGGATTCACGTTGGAGCGTATTTTTGTCTGAGAATGTCAGAATGTTTTAATCCAATAATATACAATATTGCGTCAGCAAGTATGAGGAAAGCTTCGAAACGTACGATACATTTTATAAGGTAACATTTCTTATCAATCTTTATAGAACATTAAATCAACACTCTATCATACAAGGTGCACAGTATATCGACTTTTGCTGGGTGATCAGGCCTTAACATAAGCAGAAATTGGGACTATTTCGTTTTTCGACGTCAAGATTGGGCTTGGGGTGTTTTCGCGGACGGGGGATAGTGGAGTACTGGGGCAGAGATCCTTTGTCAATCATGAGGGACAAAACCAACGATTTGAGTAATATTCCCCACTTTTTGTTGCGATTTTTGTACTGCTATTTTCCTGTAAAATTAAATTTTCTCTTAGGGTTTGCAAATGTTGGATACAGAAAAATAACTTACCAATAACATTAAATTTTACTTAGTTTAGTTTAGTTTATAATATTTATTAAGACATTTTGGAAATTTATTTACCACAGTCAGTCAAAGCTCTAATCTGAAATTTATTAGTTTCAGTATGTCATCATCATGGTATTAATTAAGAATATAAAATACCAAGCTTGAAGCATACTTTGTATATTATGTTTAAGGAACTGTAGGAAAAGAAATGCTGGAAACCATTAAAACACTCTTAATATCAAGTTGTTCTTTGGAAGAAAAAACTGAAATAGTACAAATAACATATTAACGGATTTCTGGCCTTTTCAAATTGATTTCTCAAGCCAAGAAAAGGCGGGTATTTGCTTGTTTGTCCGCCCACATCCTGTTATATTCACTGTGCCGAAAAGCCAGAGAGAGCATTCATTCCGCTATTCGTGTATTGCTGTTTATCGTGTGCGAAAATTTTTTCTGTAAATGAGTGTTCGAATTGTGATTCTCGTGGTAAATTTTGGAAAATTCATTGTAAAATGCATGGCAACATAGAGCCGACTAAACAAACATATTTCCCATATTAGATATTCGAATCTCTGTACCAATCTTTTCGACTTTAAATTTTAAAATATCACAAAAATGACCATTAATATAACAAAAGATTTCTTTAAGGTTTTTGATTCGATGGGTTTACAAAGTTGCAAATTTTAAAATAGTACAAAAATGCGGGTTAATTTAACAAAATATTTCTTTAAGGATTCTGATTCGATGAGTTTAGAAAATTGCCCGTTTAAGATGGTCATAAATTAAATAGTTGCATTAGTTTAGTGGTTGATATGTATTTGAATGAAACTTTAGGTTTTGTTATGATACGGTTCTAAATGTATTTACATTTTATGATATAAACTCTATTGGTTGATTAGAAAAGTGAACATTCGAATATTTCAGGATTCAATTTGATTTCAATAATTTGTCAACCATATATGTAACCATCACTGTTCCATATGAATATAAACATGACGAGATCTAATTTTTGGTAAAAATGCACGAAAATGTGCACGTTTAAATTTTCAATATCAGTGCCATATTCGTGCACATCTGTCAAAGCACTAGGGAGATCAAATAAAATTTCAAGACAAATTGAGAGCGTGCGTGCAATACGACATGACACTCGTACTACAAATATGCTGATATTAACTGTCATGGCCAAGTTCTGCGTTACTCAAATTAACCATGTGATGTCATTTTGGTCGATAAAGGGTCAATGATAACATAATAAATTTCCCTGAGTAAAAGACTTCAAGATAAGTATTGTCATAAATATTTAATGCGGGAAATTTGTGTGGTATTTTGGGTATATATATTGAATATGTATACTGGAATTGCGTTAAAGTGCTCTGTGGGACGGGGCTAATTGAACTGCCGTAAATGTTTTCCAATAAGTGTGTATTGAATACCAATTTTATCTCACACATGATGCATGGACACTGTCTCACTTGTTTTTCATTTGTAAGTGTGAGTTTTAAGTTCGTTTAAAAAACAATTTAGGCAAAAAAGTTTCCGCAAAATGGAAAAGTGAAAACTTAATTTGGGAACCATCACTATTGTATCTGACTTTTGCACGAACTAAGAGATTTTCGATTAAATGATATTCAAAATAATTTTTACACATATTTCGCAAGGTCTAATAGGTTTTCTATTTTAAGAATAGAATAAGAAGCGAAATTTGCCATTTATACATGATGTTCTTTTTTTAAAATCGTCTCCTTTGATATATATATATATTTAAACTAATTATAGGGCATGATTCTGGAAAACTCAGCTATGGATATCATATATAAGCAATGAACATCCCATCTCACTTATGGTGAAATATTTCTCAGGCCCATCTCATAATATTCAAAGTCAATATTAGGAAACTATGAAAAATATACCGATTTTAGGAACAAAATGTACTTTAGCGCACGTGATTTAGAAATAACGCAGAAAAAAAAAATTTTTTTCACATTGTGTTGTCAATAAATTTTGTATGATTTAAATGTTATTGCAACATATATATGCGATTTACATTTACAAGATTTAGATTATCCTAATCCCGTAATCGCACAGTTTAATGTCTTGTATATATACATTTCTCGGCGCACCGGAATTATTCGTACCAAGATGACGCACAACCTCAACCCGGTACACATATTATGTTCAGGTTGTGCGCCCACTTGGTACGAATACTTCGGGAGCACCCATTTCTCAAATTGAATGAGATATCCATCAACGGTATATTTTCGTTTCCTGCAACGCTGTCAAGCTTTCATGTTTTCCCATCCGAGTAAAGTTGATTTCAATTTCCGTTGAAAAACTTCCACCCTGAGATTTTGCCCAATGTTAGGCAACGTGCACTCACTCAGTGGCAAAGTAGAAAAACCATAAATGAGCAAGCGACAATCGAATGTGTCAAGAAGTTCTGGATTCATTAGGATTATGGTTGTGAACTGCGCTTCAGCAAATGTCGGTCAACACAGTCTCGGAGCATTTTAAGTCACGATGAGAATAAATTACATTTGAATTCCTTAGCAAAAATATTTTTGACTCCATAAAAAATGAATGTGAAAAAATTGGCGTTTGCTTGCAAGCTGTGTTTAGTTACTTATAAAATGCGACTTATTAGTCTGCTTCGTGAGATCACAATCTTTGAAGAATTTCACTTATTTTCTTGGTCCAATGTCAGCAATAACATGTTGGGCTGAGAGGTCTGCCTTGCGCCACTCTGTCAGAAACATATCTTATCCGTAATACGTTTAGTAAAATTCATTCACTACAAATCTTATTTATTAACTCACTAATTTCATTTAACAGGAACTGTTGCCGAAGCGATGCGGAGTTGGATTTTATTTCCCATAGTCCGGCATGCAACCATAAACGTTTGATAAGAAAAAATCCCCACAAATTTAATATTCATCAATATAACGGCAGGCATCATCACCATAATAAGCAAAATAATCAGATTGGGGACTCTAAGAAAGCTTATTTATCATCCACTCCCAATTCACCTGCGTTTGTCTTCCCTCAAAGAACTGTCAATAAAGAAGTCAATGGACATACAACAAAAGTCTTCAAACGCTTTCGATTGGCTAAGGGTGCAAGCGAAACGGAAGAGTTTATTCACAAAGGCGCAGATGACATGAGCATGATGTCGACAACATCAGCTAAAGTGTGCTCACCTGTTTAACATCCTTTTGCAACAAGTTAGAAATCCGACTGTGCAGTATTATTTCAATAAAAATTCAAAAATTTTCACATTTGACAACAATTGTCGTTTTTCATTATTTTAATTAGTATCTCTGAGAATCATTTATACGCAAAACACCATGTTTGGAGCTCAATTTTATATTATTATTGTATAACCACAATAATTAAATGCATTGATCGATTATAAGTTTCATTGGTCTATTTTAATAAACTATTGTTTTTTTTTAGTTTTTGATATTTATTTATTTGTTGTTAGTTGGTTAGCGATAATTATATATATATATCACTTTTTCGTTTATTTGTTTGCAGGAATTTTCTTTTTTGAAATAGATTTTAATGACTCTTGAAACAAAATCGTGACTCAGGAGATGAAAACTATATCCCGAGGAGTAGCCATGATTTGGTACCTTGATTTTCAGCTTCATATTATAAAGTGTTAATTAAGCAACTTTTATTGGAATCGTTACAGCGCAAACTTTTGCCATTAAACGGCTGTTACGTCACCATTTTTTAAGATTCTAAAATTTGAGATTTGGAATCGAAATTTTTAATAAAAGCTACCCTATGTCCCACCCAAAAACGTGGCTTTTTGAAACAAGAACACAAATTTGCGAACCCAAAATCGTTTTCCATATAAGTGGCCACAATACCTCACTATTTTTATGCAAAATAAATAATTATCTGTTTCCGTCGTATAATAGAGAACTTTCATGCGATGGTTTCAATTATTCATTACAAACAGTATCAAATTTCTTTTAGAAATCGCATAATAATGCAAAATTCAAAATATAATTATTGGGATAATCACTCAAAATGAATGACCCCTCAGTGTCGAAACTCAAACTACAATTCAAATCATATATATTTCAATTTTGGCAATAAATTATTATTCTTGAAATCTTATATTTAAACCATAGAGATTAAGTTGTGATTTACCACTCCCAAAGGGAGAATTATGTCATAAATATTTCAAACTATAATTACGAACTATATATTTTATTAATACACATTTAAAAGCAAATCGTATAACAAAATACAATGTATTGAAAAAGAAACAAAGGTTGATAAGCGAAATAAACAAAAAATTTAACTCGGATATGTGCTATAACACTTTGATATAATGGTAAAGAGAATAAACATAAATTTTATGTACATATTTATATATATATGTAATAAAATATAGGTATGGCAGTTTTAACGTAAACAAGCTTTCAACGAATAGCTTTTATGGGAAAATTGCTGCATTTAGAAAATATCGTGTCTAAATTATCTCACCAGATTATCCCACTTGTATGTCGTGTAAAACACGTGATGCAAGTAACACAAAAATTGGATAAGCGAGACAAGAAAGTGACGCGACATTTTTAAAACACCCGAGTATGGGAAAAGGACGAGACATGTGACAAGTACTGCATATGGGAACCTACATTTTTAAGAAAATCGAAAGATTAAATTATTTGAAGGCGAAGTGATATTATACATTCAAGACCAATGTTCAGGACAAAATAAAATGTATATACCCATTCAAATACAAAATCCTAGCACTATAGTGGTGACTGAACAACTACGCTATCATGTTAAGAACAACACACGTTGACCCTCTTAATCTTCTTGGCAATTTTGGTTTGACTTCCCAGCGATCTTCCTCTGGGTCGTAGGAAGATACTTCTGCTCTGTGTTCTGCAAGTTGACTCTTACAACCTCCCGCAACAAATATGTGTCCGTCTAATTCGGTACATCCAAATTCTCCGTCGCTCTGTTTTAGAGTTGTCAATAAAAATATTGAGAATTTAACAATGGTAATTATGGTTAAGTCATAATACACGTAACGTATGTATCACAACAAGGCCTCTGGCAAAGAATTAATTTGTAGAAATGTTGTGTAAACACTGCGTATAGTATTAAATAGCTTCGAGTTTGGAGGCGACGTTAGGTGTAAATTTTCCCAACTCCGTAAACGCGGGCGGTGGCTATTTGTACTAGTCCATGCCTTACTGGGAACAGAGAATCGCCGTCACTTCAAAGTCATATCAAATATTCACACATGCGAATACCGTGAATTATGGCCGCGTGTATGTTCCGACTTACTTTGATGCGCTTGGAGCATAATACTATCAAGTCATTCACTCATCGATTAGGATATAAATTTGGCTTTACCCAGAAGTGGGATAAATATGAAATTCTACAGTAACACAAATGTGCTCCGAGTATAAATTTTCATATAAATGGAAGCAGAGAACAGTGGTAACTGGTAGGCAGTGTCCTGCTATTGCAATATAACACCGTGGATGCGATTTCAATAAAACATCGTATTACCTGAACTGGTATCTTCAGCGCCACACTATGCCATTGATCATATTCAGGTGTATAGCATTCTATAGCTATGGACGATGATCTGGTGACACCTAAGGAATCATCTTCGCCACCTATAACGTAAATTCTGTCTCGTACTGGAGTCATGCTGTGGCGACTGCGGGCGCAACGCATCGGTGACATCGTAGTCCAGTGATTGGCAATAGCGTCCAATCTGAAAATTTCCTCAAAAGGTAGTTATGAAACCACAAAGATCAAGAATCAATGGGCATGCAAAACACGGTTGGCATGGTTGAAGCACGTGATGTACTTGACCCTTGACCCATACGAATTCTTGCTATACTGCACCATTGCAAATTTTTTGATGTTCAATTTGAAAAAAATTAGCTAGTTAATTTTTGTGTCATCTTTATGTTATTCCCGATTGATCATTGTTGCGAAAATAAACAAGCAAGTCCATGCTCATGGAAACATCGATTTCGATTCAAGCCTACTGTTGAATCAGTTCTTCTTATTTCACTTATATATAGTTCATTTCAGGATAATCATTCTCCATTTATATCAATTTTAAGTTTATAACGAGTTTATTCATATACAGAGTGGCCCAAAAGTAGGTTTGAAGAAGTAACTTTAAGCATATTTATGAATAATAATTTTACCAATCTGCATCACACAATCAGGGCAGGCCTTGCGGTGACCACATGCTAAACAGATTGCGCGGGATCCATTTTGAGTAAAAATAAGGATAATTAACGAAAATGAGGCGTTTATATTTTATCAACCTTTAACCAATTGAAAATAAGAATTAAAGTAATTTTACTTCAAGAGTCTTAAGCCTGGTTAAATTTAATAATTTCCGCCCAAGACAAGCACGGGTCAATGGAAAATTGCGAGGCGCACTGCGGCGCATAGGTTGGCCCTGTACATACTACATACCTTAGCATATCCACACTCGAATGCTTTCCCACAATTCCGCCATTCACATAAAGCATATTTTTGTGAGCACATCCCGCGTGTGAGTGGCGTGGTGTCTTGAGTGAAGCCACGAACTCCCACCTAAAAAAAAGGGACTGAGAATCAGAGAACACCAAGATCGCACCAAAAATTTACATCAGGTACCGATTACAATGCTAGATTGAAAAACATGTATGAGCAGTGGGATGCTATCACGTTAATACTTGAATAAGTGTTACCATCGTTTTTAGGCTAAAGCAGGGATGTGCAACCTTTAATACAGTAGGGCCAGATACAAATAACTCGGGCCGCACCATTATTTAATATAGGCTTTCTAGTAGTTACAGGTACAAAAAAAGCATAGGCATAGAATATTGATAACAAATTGGAGACAGGTATAACCTTTGCAACGCAAAGGGATCGGAATTTTTCGCACGTGCCAATTAAACTTAATTAAAACTCGCTTCGAGGCCACATACCATTCAAAATTGGCACTTTTTTGCGGGCCGCATTTTCTTGTGGGCCGCAGGTTGCACACCACTAAGGAATGGGTGTGAGAAATTACGAAAAAATTGTTCTCCTTTTACACTCAATGGGAAATCAGAAAAATTCTTGTCGTTCACGAGTAAATTTCTACTCTGCCACTGTATCATGGGATTCTGGCCTGAATGTACAAAAATTCTCTGGCAGTCTACAAGGTATTATTTTTTGAGTATTCTATACCTTTTTGCTGCCACGTTGAATTTTTCAACAGAACTTCTGACTATTTTACCACTCCTTCCACCAAAGACAAATAAATAGTCGTTGAGAGAATCCAAATGAAAGAAAGATCTGAGAAAATAAATGCTTCCTTATACTGGTGAAATCTTTTTATTTTTATTATAATATATTATGATTGAGCCCGATTCTATAGCCACTCTGACAGTAGCGGGAAGCGTCTATTCAAACGAAATTTATCTCTGCTACTACTATAATATTAACAACAAGAGAGCGATGCTCAAATATGTGGACACGAAGATCGCACATCGGTACCGTTCAAGCCTTGACCGAGCATCGAGTTTGCAAAATTTGCGGTGGAATACTGGCCTCATAGAACCAAAATAAATGTAAAATATAAAAATAATCATTTTTTAGCGACTTTTCCACTTCTTGTCCAATAACTTCGTATTCATAATCAATCAATCAATCATCATTTATTCGTCAACACAATCAATATAAATATATCACGGAAATATGGCAAGATATACAATAAGTAAAAAAAAGAACTTCATATGTGTGACAGGAGTCGCGAGGGACCACGAAAGGTCTTCGAGCAGCGACACCTACATAAGTGCCATTGACACACCGTATAGGTTGTCAGATAAAGTAATATCATACATGTTCACTAGTTTATCTGGAGTTTAGGGATTTCCCTCATCTATCTATTTACACATCGCATAAAAAAAACTGCAATTTAACTCCATTGAAGATTCTCTGCTTGTTCTGAATATATATAAATTTGAGTGAGTTTTTGCAATGAACAAGTTGCCTTTTTCATGGAAAATTTGGTTAAAAAATTAGATTAAAACTCACCATAATTTTGTAATGAGTCATACAGGGTGACCCCCAGAACAGAACCCAGGTTATTTTGAAACATATTATAGAGAAAACATAACTTTTGTGCAAAACGTCCTAGATTATTGAAACTTTTGGGTACAATCTTACTTGAAAAATAGGTCAAGTGTTTAAGTCTTAAAAATAAGTTTTCTTCATTTACGTGGGTACTATTTTTTGGATCACCCTGTTGCTTATTATAACACATAGCACGAAAGTGATTATGTATACGTATAGCACAATGGCGTTACATATTGAAGCAAAATTGAATAAGCAGCATTCAAACTCCGTCAAAAATTATCCTATGAATCCTATTCTTTGACTGCCTAGGCGGCTGGTCCCTCAGCATTTTTACAGAGTTATTTCTGTCTCTGCCCTCGTCTAACATTGTCTTACGTAAAAAACTCACCTAAATTTGTAGCCATACCTGCTGTGATTCATATCTGGTTGCACCGTCCACTCATGTCTAGGATGGGGGTCATATTTCCATAGATTTGGGATGCTATGACACCCAGAAATAGTGGTGTCTTCCCCTCCAGCAATATACAATGAATTGTCAATTACAGTAGCACCGTGGTGAGATAGAACAGTTGGAATACGAGAAACCTCATGCCATGAATTTCCACTTAGCTGAAGCACCTAAAATAAAGGGAGTCTCTATAATTATAAAGTAATATTTTTATTGAAATTCCAAGCTTCTTCGACTTATATTTTTGCCTTATCAAGTCAACAAAATTTTCGATTGTCTATTCAATATTTGTTCCAAGTATGTAACTGTGAATCTTGAAGATAGAAAAATTATTAGGAACCAGAGTAATCCGGTTTAAACATCAGACTTCAAAAGCAAAATTTTAGCATACAATATGTTTTGAGCAGCTTGCAATAAATGTAACTTACCTGCGCTGACATTTGATCAAACAGTCTTCCTCCGCAGACGAGTAAGCAAGGTTGTGTGGGAAACACAGGTCCATCTCCAGACCCGTTGCTGGACATGATATCACCATTTAATTCATTGCCATCTTCGTGGCCTTGGGATAATGTTCTTTGCCTGAGTCGTTGGAGAATTTTCTTTTTGTCGGCACCAAGAACTTCTTCGATGCTGGCTAATGTTTTAAAAATTAAAAAGCAAATTGAAAAGAAAAATCCATGGAGGAGACAGAAATCTAACACGGCCACATGCGGAACTAAAGAGTCATAAAAAAGGAATTTCCCTAAAGCGAGTAATTCAAGAGCAGGGATGGACATATCGCCCCAATCGCCTTTTGGTGACCTCCTCCAAATGGTCTGTTGGAATATAGAGCGGTAATAGTGACATCGGGTTTGACTCTTATGGCAGCTACACAAGATATTTACTGCCAGTGGTTTATATAAAGACTTACTTGTTCCCACACTATAGTTCTAAAACTGCGCGTCGTGATATTTCATTAATTCGCTGCCAACAGGCGGTCCTCGGACCACAACTCGCACCGCTAAGCTATTTGTGTGTTCCTTGCCAACACTTATATTTTTTCCCATCAAGCATAAAATCCTAAACCGACAGTTTATGTTTAAAAAAGCGCTCACATCCGTAAGAATACATAATGTTTTTTTGCTCTTGTCGCTGCGTTCAATTTTCGCCGATATGCCCTTTATTACTGTAAGGTTTTTCATTGTGCGAAATTTTTAATTCGTGTACATGAGAAAACTAAAATTTTTGTGTGGCCGAGCTAGATGTCTAAAGTTGGATATATGGCCGACCCATAAAAAATGTTGCACACAACTGTATTATACTATGTGCTCTTGGTCTACGATAACCTCGTTGCATACTGTCACTATTTCTCTAGTTCAAAATATTATACATGGGAATTTGGGAAATTAATATATGTACATAAAATGAAGAGGATGTATATAAAAAAGTTGGGTGTCACTGAATAAGAATACAAAATAGCATTAATTTATTTAGTACTTAGAATATAATTGTTGTTTAAATTAAAATCTAAAGTCTATCATTAGTTCTTGGAAGTTCCGTATTTTACTCCATTATATTCTATTTTTCAATAATTAGATACAATAACAGAATGTCGTACGAAATCATATGGCTATTTAACCGTATTGATGGCACTCAAATGTAGGCTATATTATAATAAAACAAAACTATGAAACCTTAGTACATATTTACGATTTTAGGGTATCTAGCTATAGCAGCGTTTCCCAACCTTTTTTTTGGTCGCGGACTATTTTCTCACCGGCGAAAACCTTTGCGGACTCAAGCTGCGTTTATTGCAACCGTACTCTCTGTGAAGAAGCAATAAAACCAAACATAACAGAATTTTAACAAATTTCAAAATCGGAAATTCGCCGCAATTTACGCGTTCATTAACATAGCCGACTTTATATTAGTAAATCAAAAATACATATTCATCTCCTTGCTTTATTACTAACTTAATTCTGATAAATTTAATCTGCGGTTGTGTTGAGGAAATAAAAGCAAAACTCTCAGAAAATACCATGACAATCCGTGGACACAAGAATGCGTGGTAAAGTGCCCGATTATATTTTGTTTTGATTCGTATTTTTGTGAATTCGACAAATCTGAGCTGTTCCTACAACACTTACGGCGCTCCAGTAGGCTACTGTACGTACCAATACGGAGGCAGTAAAGCAAAGAATCCTAAGGGAAAATGCCCCCCTGGTACGTATACTACGGTAGCCCCCGAAATTTTGCGATTTGCAATGTCTAAAATAGCGTTTTTAATCGGTCGCGGACTATCATAAAACAAAACTCCGTTATATTTTTAGTTTTTTGTATTGCCGCTTTTCAATTCAGAAAATCAGGGTTGCCACCATTGACACCCACCAGAAAAAAAAATTTATTCCTCGTTGATTTTCTGACTCATTCCAACGCTCCGCGGACACATTTGAGACTGAGCTATAGCAATGTTTCGTTTTTCCACATTATTACGTAACAATGGCTAAATTTTCTCACCCATGGCCTGTCTAGTGGTTCTTAAACGTTGGGGCGCGCCTTCACAAGGGGAGGAATAGACAATTTTTTGAGGGGAAGTGAAGCCAATTTAAAGTAAAAATATTTGTTAGATTCGATATTGCCCGTCGTATTTAGAATATTTGCATTTCTTTATTTCCCCTCCACGTGTTTCAACGTGTTTTTTGAATAAGACATATTTTCGCCCTATTGTCTGTCATTTGTAGCATATTGTTAGCTACTTATTGTTGCGGTGGGGCGCGAGACTTGACAAATTCTAAAAAATGAGCGCGGCTTAAAAGTTTCAGAACCCCTGGGCCCTATGCCAATTTTAACAATGCATTTTTAATACACTCAATAGTGAAAAGAGTTCGACATTACTCATCAATTGTTTATCTCCGGAAACAAGTTCATGAGTGATAACATATCCCGATAACGTAGTCTTGGGTATCTTATGATAATGCAAATGCCGTAACAATTGTCTTGCGTATTCTTCTCTTTCCTTGTGGTTCTGTTACAAATATAAATAACGGTCTGTTAACTTTACTTAGCATTTATATGGTAGGCATCTGAAATATGTGTTCTGGGTCGTGTAATGAATATTTTTATAGGTCAGTATGGTTTTGTGCATACATTCCGTCTGTAGTGTTTCTATTATTGCCATCTTGAGTATATTTCGTATCATCACGAGACGAATAAACGCACATAAATAAATATGCCCTAATTTGTATTTAAATCTTCAACAGTTTTATGACTGCATGGTTTTGGTGATAATAAACTGTGAAGTCATCATATATTAGATTCTTTGAGAATTCCGCGTTTAAAAATGTAATCAATTGATTGAAGTATCAAGATGAAATCAATGTGTCTCTAAGTTTTCTCGAATAATTTCTACATGTCTACACAGCCTCTTCACTATCGAGTCGAGTATTATCCCTGCAGTAACTCATAGCATTTAGTTCAGAAACAGGTATAGTTAGATGTAATATATGACATGTTATGAATTATGCCACCTGAAATAATATTTCTGGAATAAAGCGCTTTAGAATATAGAAATCGTGACGCGAAAAAACTACGCAATTTTTATTTTATTTTTAGGAGTAGTTATAAGCATCGAAAATCTAGAATGCAGTGAGACTTCAATAACATCGAGTATATTTTCAATGTAAACTTTATTAAATGATGTGGAAATTCTAGTAAAATGCAAATAAGAGAATCCCATTGATTATAGTTCACAATAATTCTATTCATAGCTAAGATTGATATTTAGGTATAGTTGTATTATCATGGCATGATTGACTCTTGACTTACATGTTTTTCCCATTTTAATATTCCATTAAACATTTCAACTTCTGGTATAACTACTCCGTCCGATACACATCCCCGCCTGTTGTCTACAAGAATCTAAAAATAGAAAACAACCTATCATGCAAAACAGAATAATAACAAGCCATAATTAGCTCAGTAATACCTAACCATGCAAACTGTATCAAACCTCAACCTATCACATCTCTATTGAAATAGAAGCTTCTAAAATCCATAAGCAAAGTCCATACTTGACAAAGTCTGGCATAAATGATGATTTTGCTGCAATAATTGCAAATTTACAAAAAAAAAAATTGTTTTCATTTTTCTGTATCCTTCAACATATCAGGTATTGAAACTTTGAATAATCCGAAAAGATAAAATTTGACTAATTTGAAAAAATATCAAAAATGTAGGAGCCTATATTCAGTTTTTGTAGCTGGTTATCGTATTTAAACGTCCTGGTTTCTCTGGCATATGTTACCTATACTGAGCGACCGTTGGTCCTCTAAAATTACCTTTATACCGTACATATGAGATGGATCGGAAATTTTTGGAGCGCTCGGAACTTTCATTCAAAATCCGGCGAAAAACTTTAACTTACTTGAATTTCTTTTTCTGTCAATTGAACAAAAATAATGCTGTCCACGAAATCATCAAACTTTTCAATCGTACGGCGAAGAACAAATTCTCGGATATCTGTTAGTTCTAACTCTTCTGATAGTTGAAGTATAGGTCGGAAAAAGTCGATAATATATCTGTAAATAAAAAAAATTTCGGTAACAAGGAACAATCACTAAAAATTATGGGTAATGCGAGGTGTCTTGGAAATGTCGTGTCCCACTTACAAGTGAAGTGAGACACATGGGGCACGTAGGACAGGTGTGACTAGTGGAATAAATGGGACACGGCATTTTTGAGACACCCGGTAATGCGTGTAAATTGGTATGGTTTGGTTCAAAGTGTGACGGAATTAAACTATAAATCATCATTTTATTATCATTAGATTTGATAAAACGTGCCGAAATCATCGTATATCACAGAACTGAATTGAAATTGTTCACAAAGATTTGAAGGGTACTAGATTAATCACTCCCCCCTCGGAAAGTTCCATTATTGAACAAATTTCTCCACGTAACAATAATATTTATTCGTGAGCGAGTACTTTTTTAAATCACGCTTATTTCAAAATTCTTGTTTGTCTGTGATTTACTCAATAAATACATGGCAAAAGGTGATAGTTTCTGTTGAATGAACAGCATGTCACTAAAAACAATATCACGCATATTATAGCTTAAACTGTAAAGAAGGCGTGATTACTTCTAATTATGCAATCCCAGAGAAGAAGCTTGATATCAAGCCTCAGATCAGCAAATGATAAGACTTGAGGTCGAACGGTTCCATTTATGAACATTAAGATAGAAAGATTCAGGCGGTTGGGTGAATAAGATTGTATAATACACGATTATGATTTTAACTCATGTCATATCATTTGTCATCACCATAAAATACAAATACATATGTTCTACACTAGCAATCCAAGATTAAGTCATAAAATATGGTCAGTCCTTCCGAAAATAATACCGAGATTTTGTTCTCTGTCCCGTAAGTCAAGTCACGAACTAACGTTTCATTATGCTAGCACGGGGAAACGAATAAAATAACTAGAGTTTATCAAAGGAAATCGTTGAAACTAGAATAATGTGTTTTATAATAAACGTAGGCATCTTTTCAATGTATTTTGTATTACGCTAAAAATGGGGAGTGACAGGTAGCTCAATTTACTTTGGTCCTGTGTTCAGAAAAATATGACGATAATCATTCATAAAATATAAATACAAGGGACAAATTAGGTTACTATAACCTAAACATGACCGAAGTCAATTAGTCAGTCGTTTTTTTCCAACAAACTGAAAATACAGATATAAACACAAAATAGGGAAAAACATAAAGATGGCATTTCACAGTGAAGGGTGACGCAAAAAAACAAGGTTGATGATCACAACAGAAGAAAACTGGTAGTGGAACAATAACAGAATAGAACTCAGCTCATAGTATCGACGAACGATTATTCAAATTCGCTTTCATTTTATTTATTTTCTGTTCTCCAAGCTGACAAGTCAGATGACAACTGTTTAAATTTGCATGTAGAAATTGCATACTTCAGCACAAACCAAAAAGGGAAATGCCCAATGAAATCTGATCGTGGAGGAAAAGTGATTCAGAGACTCTAACATTTTCTGCAACACAATGAAGGTGGTTTAAAATCACTTATCATTTTGTCCAAATAATTGATTTTTGATTTCATGCTTTTATTCGAATATCCAAACGACTAAAAAAATTGGCGCTGGAGAAGTGGGTTTACCAATATGGAAGTAACTAATTTTGTTGGCCTACTTTACATCAAGTTGTGTAAAGTGACTGAAACCTATCGGCAGTTGTATATTCACTTGCTGGCTAACACAGACAGTCCCCGCACTCGTAATAGAAATAAATTAAGGAAAATCGGAATGAAATTGGCCTAAAGTACGATCGCAAGCATCCATTCAGATGTGAAAAGCTCTTGTAAAATATTATCAAATATTGATCAAGTTTACTGACCATTAGGTCACAGTACATGTGAGAAACTGCACACAGCAGAACATCGCAGGAAAAAATGGGATTGAAAAACCTTCCATTCCAAAAGGCATTGACCCTGTATTTCTGATTTTTAAACGTGCTGGCACGAACGATCTGTGATTTGTTTATCCGTTTGTAATTTTTATTCATTCCTTGTTTGACTATGGTTATCCATCGAAATAATCAATCTATTATACGCAGAGTGAATATGGATATATTTTTTTTATATTTATGTCGTTGTTGTTGTTTTTGTGAAAAAAATCGCTCTTCTCCTCAGCTAATAGGTCTATGTCAATGGATTGCAAGTTTTTAAGCATAAAAATGAAAAAAGTTGCTAGAACTACTTTAATTTTGTAATTTTCAATAAGTTTTTCTACTCCAAATTTAGATGGTTTGTATAATACACGTGCACGCCTCCCTCTGTATGACATTCGTTTCGATGGCATTCGGTAAAACTTATCATTTGTGCCAGAGTGCCGGGAGTCATATCAATTATTTAATTTTCGTGTCCATTTATTCGAGCTCTCTTGTTGGACTCGAAATGGATTGTTTTGTTATTATGTTGTTGTTAGTATTTTTCTCTTATTGTCATAATTACCTACAGGACCAATTGTTTTGCAAATTTTTATCGATTGACGATTGTATATTTCGCTAGATGGCTACTACTTTTATTTTGTTTTAAAATTTCCTGTGGGCTATATGGGATTCATTTTGTTGTGTGCGAAGACGACATCAAGAAATACGCGTCCTTTGGCGCTTTATATCATCTTTCAGTTGGTACACTATTTTAATTAATTGTTTATTTTTTATTTATTTATCAAATACAACGTTTCCCCGCAACCAGTTTCCCTCGCAAGTAATCTAATTGTATCAATAATGATAAAAGTAAACCACTTTCTAATTTCCAACAAGAGCTCCCTTATGCCCACAAAGAGCTGATAGAAATAGTCGATTCATTGCAAAATTCTAGGGTTTTGTAAATTGTATATCAGCTTTATTGTGACGTAAAACAGTATCGAAATCATAAATTTCAATTTTGTGACTTATACAATTTATAATGCATCAAGTGTCCAAGTCGGTAGTCTAGCTAGGTATTGCGTTTCGCGGAATTGAGCGATATTGGAAACACCAATCCCATAACACACCCACTAACAAGATCAAGGAAGTAAATATTGCGATCTTACGCAGGCAAAATGTACTAAAATATTTTGACCAGCTTCGGCCATGATTGGAACACTATTGAGTCCCCCAACCATTTTAAATGTTCACCGAACAAGCATGCTTGTATGATAATATGCAACAACAACTTGGCTGCCTCCCAAAAAGCAATAGTCGACAAAACACGAATACAAAAAGGCGCTATTCGCATATCGGCCTACTAATACTTCCGTTCCTCCCGCGGTACAAAGCAACCTTGGTCTTCTGTTGCTCGTTTACTAGTTACTGCAGAAAGTTTGGAATTTCCCTTGACGCGCGACACATGAAGGAATGGTATAAGCAAGTGGGCCCGTCAGGTTTGTTTTGAACTGATTAAACGCGAGTATTATGATTGATAAACCTATCGAGTTCGCACAGTACGTTATAAAAGCGTGATATGAGAATGAGTCAAGTTCACTTGGGGTCGCCGTGCGTAGTTGACCACAGTTAGGAATAGAAATGGATATATGGCTGCGACCATCAATCGAATGGCTACTCCGTCGAGGGCTACTACGTTTACGTATGTTTTTCATTTTTTTCGCTTCTTGGTAAATCTACATACGGATAAAAAAAATCACAAATTTTGAGTAGCAGAAAATATTTGTTTTTTCGTAATCGTTGTTTTCGGCAGTACAAAATAATTGAGGTAGATCTTGTTATTTTCCTATTCATTGATTCTCCTATGATTCTGTTTATTCTTGGTTAGGTTGGTTCAATTCTCAATATTTAGCGCAGTTTTTTTTTCTGAAGAAATAGTGTTTGTCACCTAATCTAACCTATAAATTTTTTTAACCTAAGCTAGGAAAGTTAAAGACGGGACAATTACAAAATAGTACATGTATTTTGTACATATTGCTTAGATATCCAAAGATTGAAAATCTTCATACAATGTGAAGTCCTAGTAAGGGAATCAACTGTCACGTCAATCGCTAAAACTGAATATTGTAACTTTTTCGTAGAGTACTATGATGCGATAATTTCACATTTAGTCTCTTTCGTGCATTTAAAAAAATTCTTATTGGCTTGTCCGCGACCAAGTACAGAGGAAAATCCGGTAAACATTGGCAAATGTTGTCACCTTATGCGAGGTTGGAAGCTTCAACGATCCAATCCTCAGTAAAAATTAAAAAAAAAAATGTTCTATCATGTGGACTTGATTATTCGAAACTTCAAAAATGTTCAAACTAACAAGTACTATACGAAAATACTTATTTATGCATAACACGTTTGATTTTGATAAAAGATTTTGGAATTCTCAGAACATGACACGAACGTCTGGAGGATGAGTTTAGTCATGGGTATTTAATAATCCATTATTCAATATAGCAAACAGGGAAAAGCGTATGACATATGTTTTAGTTTTGCATGAAAAGGGATTAGAATGTATTTGCAAGTGACAGCGCATTATTGTTTGCAGGCGTTTCCAGATGATCCGCATGCGACTGCTGTGTTTGGCGGATACTCGAGAACCTGAGCAAAGCAATTATGCAGACTCGCATCTGGGATAAGCGAAATACTCTCTTTCATTATGTTAATCAGGTCGAAGTCAGGTATAATGAGCCTTGATTCGCGTTTTGGCTGGTTACAGAATAATAGAATATAGTAGCGCGATTGTACACTGCGGAGGTAAGTTATAGAGAATAATTTGTAGTAAGCCTGCGCAAAAAAAACATCCACGCCACCGCTCAAAATATAAAAAAGTACGGGTAGAAATTATCCAGGTAGGGTATACAATACAGATCGCACTGGAATTTTTATAATAACTCCGAATCCTAACGGGTTAATTACGGCTTTTTTATTATAAAACTTGACGAAGGTGTTTTTCTCAAATCTCACATTTAGTAATAGCCGCGGGGGTTTTGTACAAAAGATGCCAGTTAGACTGAGTGGAATTAATCGAGAGTATATTCTGCGGAGGCGAGCATTTAAACGAGAATTGAGACTATTTATATCTATCCCTACTCCTAAGTGTTTGAAAATCGCTGCACTCGTTGTGGCATAGTCTCAGGAATGGAGGACAATTTTTTTTTTTAAATATTCGACTTCGGTTTAACAGAAATATTCGAATGCGTGGACATGGTTGGTATTTTTCAGGCCCATGCCCTTTTCGTTTTTGCAAGTTGTTGAACCGGGAATAAAAGATTTCTATTCGTAACTCCTCTCAAATGTCAAGCATAAAATGAGATGAATGTACAGGACAAACAAAGTTGGGTTGTGTACTTTCTGTAACCATTCTCAGTGTATTTCAAACGCAAAAATAGATATTTGAATGTAAAAACGCAAGAAGTACGTACATATTTTCCATGTAATGAATTATATTCAATATACTATAAAGTAGTGTTCTTGGTTTGATTACTTGCAAATATGAAAAATGCTTACAGAATGATTTTTCAATTGTGCTGACACTGAATTACAGTAAGTTCAATCGAAAGTGCTTGCGTATGTGTATTAGCTCACCGCTATTCACTTCATAGTATTGATAAGAATTATTAGAAACTGTACATTGAGTGACTCATGGCACAATGACAAACTCACGGAGGTTTATGTATTCAAAATACCTGCCCAGCCGTGTATTGAAAAAATGGAGTTTGATTTGGCGAACAATAAAGATTGCGATGCACTTTTGTGATGTCAAGCATTTGGATAAGACTGGTACTGCTATATAAATTTTATATTTATAAAACCATAATAATAATATTAAAAAAACAAGTGAATTGAACGCAATCTAACCGGGCCGGGCCACGATTTATTGACGACCTTATTTGGTTCGAGTTTATCGTCAGATTTGCCTGTGACTGTCTCATATCAATGAAGGCATGTAATATGATATAGGATTTACTTCTACGATAGATGATATGCAGAGGGGCATTATCCCATTATATTGGTCAAGGTGGGGAATTTGTCAGCACCAAAATAACCAATTGTATATGAAAATGTAATACAACACGCGTTATATAAAATATTGAATTACTAAATTTATGCAAGGTATTCCAAATTTATTACTTATAACAAAATAAGCTTTTGTTTTAGTGACCGTACATTTGAACCCACGTATATTTGAACCCTTGTGTATCACCGCGGATTTAATTTATATGCGGGTGCTAAAACCCATGGGTTACGGTTAGTTTGGGTTCAAATATCCGTAAAACAAAAAAAAATCCATAGGTGCAATAGCATGCAGGCACATCAAATGTAATGGAAACTTTTGTTTTAGATATAAAGTTTTCGCAACTATTAAATTATGATCGTTATTTCATTATAATTCTTTTTTTTCAAACATAAAAATGCAAAGTAGGTAAACAAAAATTACCCATTAAAAGAAGACAAATACGCTAATGATTAGATCTAAAGCGCAATTAAAAAATACTGACATTTTAAAAGTTAAATGCTTTAGCAACAAGGTCTTTCAAACCCAATTTTGTAATTAAAAATAAAAAATACATATCATTCTGAAAAGAGCAAATTCGAACGGGAACTTGTACTGTTTTCTTCGACTGAATTCGCAATCATAAAATATTTTTGCCAATTGAGCCGGTATTGAAACAGTAATTTATCACGAGAAAACAAACAGGAATGAGAGTAATCGAAAGCAATCAAAAATCAGCACCGCTAGCCGGTTTAGTTTTGCGTCGCTCGAGATACAAATGAATTTATATTGACAGTTTTATTTTGATTATCGCAACACAGCTCAGAGAATTCTCGAAGAACAAAATTTGTAAGAAATGATAGTCGAAAAATTCCTCAATGTGAAAGTTATATTCAATGTTCATTCATTGGTTTATAGTACACGAAGTAATAATAATGCAAATTATTTTTATATATATTGCAATATAACATCGTTAAATTTCAGAAAATCGCGACTCCGAGGCTAAGATCTATCTATATCGAATAAATTCGTGCCAGTGAGGAAAATACAATTGCTCGTATTAGTGCGATGGTAACATGCGTCGTCACGAATGAAATCAATACTATTATAGAACAATTTGTGCACAATTTGCCCGTGACGTTTTGCATATATGGATTTTGGATACCTCTCATATTGCGCTATTTATTGTATATATATATCAGTTTTGGTGCTTATAAGCAATGCGTATATATGTTTTAGAAGTAAAATGACCGCCATGTTGAGCCATACTGAATAACCATTGCGAAAAATTTTTTTTACGCAGATTAACGAATTAAAAATTCACAGCAACTGTCTCTAAAATGTTGGAATATAATTTTCAAGCCCCAGACATTAATGGCATGACATTACCAATGTTACCCATGGCCATCGGGTACGGCTTCGGTATTGATGTCAACGATTATGATATATCGAATGATGTTATTGTTGGAAGCGGTGCAGAAAATACTGCTGAAATGTAAGTGTTTGTTTGCTTTACTATAAATTAGCTAATGAACCAATCGCTTACAAAGTCTCAGTATGCAAAGAGGGAAATGTCTCTAAAATCTATACATTATTTATTATAGATTCCCTCTTATAATTTCTCCGGAAAACCTGGGGCTTCAACTCCAATTTTGTAGGATTTCAAAAAATCATCGCTACTGCTTGGAATTTGCACAGTTTGGTCTTGAATAGTCGCCTACATAAACATAATAGGGTACTCCCGAAGTATGTGAACTAAGATGGCGGACATCGGAACGTAGTACCAGGTTAGGATTAATGCATAATTTCTTTCCAATTTTGGGGACTAGCCAAGCGACTCCCGTAGTATTTGTACCTGAAATGACGGCCTAATCCTAACCTGGTACACATACTACGTTCCCTGTCCGCCATCTTGGTTCACATTGTCTCCTATAATTTCTCCGGAAAATCTGGTGGTTTAACTCAAATTTTGTCGGATTTCAAAAATTATCGCTACTGCTTGGGTTTTGCACAGATTGCTTTCAAATAGTCGTCGACATATATATAATAGTATTTCCCTTCCCTATACGTCTCTATATTTGTGCGTAGTTCTTTTTGTTTGTATGTGTTTGCGTTGCAATGTAAATAAATCATGCCTATAATCAAATTGTGATTCTTTAGTGATGAATATTCCACAACTATCGACTATCTATATAAAGACGATACCACAACAGTATCTATGATGAATGAGGATTGCAAAAACAAAGATTCCCCATGTATGACGTGGGTCTCAGTGATTTTCATTCTACTTTTTGTGATCGGGATTTTCACGAACATAGTGGTAAGTCACCATGTCCGGAAAATTCGCCACAGGAAATCTCTCTGCAAGAAATGTTGCCACAGGTATTTTCGTCGCATGAAAAATCGCCACAAGAGCATTTTGCGATAAAACAAGTATTTGTGACAAAAACAGTTTATGCCGTTAATAACGAATCTTTTTTAAATAAAAAGATACTTCAAAAACCTTACATGTTTTTATCACAAATACTTGTTTCACAGCAAAATGCTCTTGCGGTGATTTGTCCTAAGTGGCGAAATGTCGTGTGGTAAGATTTCCTACTACGGAATTTTTTGCAGCGAATTTTCCTAGAACCGTAAATCATAGCTTGGTGACAAGATATTTGACGATTACATGTTTTGCCAAACACCAACGTGCCTTATTATTGAACACTAAATGCACATATGGATCGTTATTGCTAAATTGTTGTCGCTGTTTCGTGATGAAATCGCTCTCATCCGAAATGGACTGATTGATTCCAAATATTTCCTATATTGTAAACGAGGACGCGACTAGATAGGTATTACTTCTATAAACTCCCTATATTTCACAATTTTTTTTATTATAATTAACGGGCACATTATCGTATGACATTCGATAAAATCTTAATATGAAATTCGGAATAATAATTTTTGTCGGTAGCCGTATTTGATAACTGTCATATTAAATAGATATATGATTATCTTCTATTAAATAGAATATTTTCATGTATATCGTGTATATCAGTACATCTGTAATATAAACCGGTCTATGTTTTTCACAGGGATACCTTCTAGCCGCTGCAAATAGAAAAATTGATCGACATTATCACAATTTTCTCCATATATTCCTAGCAAATATACTCTTACTCCTGCCCTTGCCCTTCAGCGTTGCTGCAAGATTTCATGGATCCTGGGAGCTTGGCAATGGTTTTTATAGGGTACGTTCTTGCTGGTACTACGTTTTAGAACACGAATAAAGGAGAGAATTGAAGATGTCCTGTCTGTCTGTCTGTCTGAGATGAAGCTGTTCAGCGAACCGATATTAAATTTTGAAATAACCAGTAAATAGCATTTGTGAACATTTTTAACTATGTATTGCAGTTTCTCAGCGTGGTAGAAGCTTCGGCAACAACAATTTTGGCTTTTCAGTTGATATACTTGATGCAAACACGTGCAGCGGAATTTGCGAGCACAGAAAAAAAACCAACTAAAGGAAAAAGAAAGGTAAATACAACGGGATATCACATCAGCCTACATAAATTAAATTTTGCACGTCACAACGAGCGACTTTCGCACTGAGCTAATGCCGGAACATTGGCACCGATCCGCCCCATTAGAAGTTTAATGGAATGAATGACATTGACCAGCTAGCTACCAAATATCTCACTCCATTTAATTTAGATTCAAACAAATTTAGTTCTATTTGACTAAAAAAAATTTTAATGGGTCAAAAAACTTATGGTTTTAGTTTGAAAAATAAATTTTCTAATTAGTGTAACCCTCAATATATTATATTCAGATTTTCTGCTACTTCTTCTGGTTATTGGGATTCTCTTCAATGTGGCCAGCAGCAATGTACGACGATGTTATGACAGGTATAGAAATTTTTGGTATTTAGCACAATTATTCATATTTAAATATTCGAGACAACGGGCAATTGCTAAAATTTTGAAAATTTAAAAAAAAAATTCAAAATAGCTTATTGGCTGTCAAAGTTTATAACCATATTATTCAAATTATTTCAATAAAAGGATATGGGATGAATAAAAATCCAAACTGTATGTTTTCTCCTCGTTTCACCAAAACCGTTTTATTCTTAAGTTTCGCCCTTTTGGCTTAAAACCCTTGTATTTGTGTTAGCGCTATTATTATACTTGAAACGCAAGTTTATTATTTTAATAACCCGAGTTAATGGAAATATTTCTATCATCACATCCTACCAAAAATATCTAACGCTAGACGAATGTGTGCACCCGGCCCGCTGAAAAACTTACACGGTTTCGCAGTTTTTCAAGACCAAGATAAAAGCAGCTGGGAATTGTGCAAATTCGAGTCTGATTTAATGTAAGAAAAGCCTTCCAGGGCTTACTTTCTTCTAGTACATAACATTCTTGCTCCAGTAGTTTAAGAGAATCATTGTCAAATCGACAACACAAACAATGAAACCAATTTAGCACGAAGATCCGTATTAGTTGATGCCCAAAAACGAAAATAATTCAATGCAAACTGCTTCATCCTCATTCACCAACTAATACAACAACATAATTTTAGCAAAGTCGCGTGTTATGGTCAATGGTATCTTATTGGCGAAATAATGTGTCTATTACAAATTTTCAGATGTTATCCAGAACCAATCAATGACACGATCTGAAGGAGGATCGATTATAATCAAACTAAATACAGTCATCAACTTCGTTATACCCGGAATGTTGGCCGTTTGTTCGTTAATATATTCTTTAAGAAAACACAAACAAACGAAAACTGCATCCATCGATATATCCAAGGTCTGTATCTAATGATATGATAATATTAGAGTTTTAAAAGTAAGGTATGTCGTCTCCTAATATATCTCTGGAGGTGACCGTACATTTGAACCCACGTACATTTGAACCCATGTGTATATCCGAGGGTTCAATCTATATGCGGGTGATGAAACCCATGGGTTAGGGTTAGTATTGGTTCAACTATCCGTAAAACAAAAAAAATTTCCATATGTGCAATAGCATGCAGGTGCAATTGTCATGGGTTCAAATGTACGTGGGTTCAAATGTAATGGAACCATCTCTGGAAAATCGCAGCGGGGTTTCACGTGTACTAATTGCACATATGTTATCACAGGATCAAAGCGGTAGCTTTTATTGTATAATGGAAACTACGCTACGCAATAATATTTTATACTTCGGTTCGATTCAAAAAAAAAATGCAATTCGATTTAAAAAATATTCCAATTTAGCCAGTCTTAGTGTGCAGTCTGAACAGCTCATTTCGTGACTGGATTATGAATCACGGAGAAAAGTTATAGTCACGGGGTTTGAAATGTCAAAAATTGGATAAGTTTTCTGACAATTGTGACTTGAATAAAGCCTAAGTCAATCCAATTTTGAGTTTATAAATTAAAGATCATGCAGAAGCGTGCTTGACCGTGACACAGGGACGAAGCACCCAAATCACAGTTCAAGTCGTGATTTCGGCTAAAAATACTGCCTGTTGCTGTTACTTCTGTGAATCAGTTAATCAATATTCTTTCTTTTAACAGAAAGAAGATATGAGAAACGATTTCAGAATGGCAGCATTATACGCCGGTCTATTCTTTGCCTTCTGGTTTCCCTGTCGTTGCTGGAGAATTGTGACGTCATCAAACTCCGATGTCAAACAATGTGATATTACATTGGACATATTTGTGTGTATAGGTATCTTGTACAGGTATGTCCATAACGTTTTTTTTTATAATAATAACTTAAGCCACTGCCTAAAAGAAAGATTAAGTTGTTGTCCCACAACCCTAACATAATATGCAATAAGTTCACATATTATCGGAAATGAATTAACTAATAATCTAAGAGTCAGAATCAGTACATACAGCGTGATTCAAAAATAAATAGAGCCCACGAATTTTATAAATATTTCTACGAACAAGAAGAAAATTTATTTATGATTGTACCCAAAAGTTTCTATTATCTTAGGATTATGTTCTAACGGGAATATATTCAAAAGACCCGGGTTCTGTTTTATTTTGGGGTCACCCTGTAGTTCAATATCGAGAAATATTAGTATTATTTATTTCAAAAAAAGTACCGATATGGTCTATTCCCTTATTGCTAAACAATGTAGAATTGGTGAACGTATAAGTATTTTCCGTGCCGACTTTGTAGGTCAATGCGGATCCGTTACGTATATCAAACAGTTACATGATGACCCATAAACAAAGATAATTTCAATCTTAAGGTTATTATGTATATCAGTCTCCTCTAGTGAGTGAGAATATTGAAAATGAAAGTAACAACAACAATACTTGAAATAGACTTTTGATCATAAGAATTGACACAACTTGCTATTCGTGGATATTTACGCAAAATATTTTTTGTAAGAGCTTATAAACACCTAAGTTCTTTTTTTTTTTCCTATAGCTCGATCTTGCCGATAATATACATCTCTGTTGCGACCCATCACAAGAATAAAGCAAAACTTAATGTCGACCGAGCATCAAAAATAGAAGCGGGAGAAATCGAAAAATTAACCAAGGATAAAGAAGATTCGGAAAAGAACAATAACGAATATATGAATGTTTGAAGCCACGTAGAAAAAACTACAGCGATTCTTTTCTGGAATGAAGACTGCATATTTGCTAATCGCAGGTTTCGTTACCTTTAAATTCAAATCTTTCAATTAAAAACTATCTCATTCAATTAAATTTTGGCAAATTTTTAAAAATTTATACTATGAAATTTAATTTTTTTTTTTCCGAAAATTTCGTGTGGAAAATTGAAAGAATTCGTATTGTGTCTAAAAATTTAACGTTGTTGCAAAATTATTTATCGCGTAAAATCATCCATTCAAATGAATTATATCTGTAGTGAAAGAAAACAATAATGCTGGCGGTAAACGCATCTAACTGCCAAAATCAGATATCTTAATTTGGAAACTAAATTGTCACCGATAAAAGTATCTTTCATATTATAAGTTTTCGTGCAAGGCCCGAGTATAAGTTGATGGCAAAGATCATCACCTTGTGAAATAACCGTCCACGCCACCACATCTATGTCAAAATCAAAACGTAACTGTGACGTAACAATGTGAACGCACTGGTGCAGTTTTTTATGTGAATATCCAAATTGCCGACGATTCGATTTCAGCGACAAAGAAAATTTTCAGCGTCTTTAATTACTCTTGTCAACACCTGCCATATTTTGCTCGTTTTGAGTTATTGTTTTTCAAAGTGGTGACATGATTATTAAGCAACTGCTTTTTTTATTATCGGATTTACAATAACGCTCACAATTGCTAAGTACGTTTTTGCAAACTTATATAACTGCAAGACTAATTGAGTTACACCTCTAAATGTAAACCACTGTATAACAGTTCCGTCTACCAAACCATTTTGTTTAGGCAAAATAATGAAGTGGTATCATCATGAATTGTATTAAAGTAGCATTTAGATAAAAAATCACTCTAACCCTTTTATAGTCACCTTTTATTGACTAATGACAAATGGTCAGAGCATGCGGTGTTAACAATGGCTAAATCTTTATCAAATTTGATTTTAAATCTTGCCAGTCGTATATTATGACATCCATTGGGTTTTTCAATATAATTGTAAATAAAATAAAAATGAAATTGTTTTCCTCTCTTTGTGTTTATTACTCGCATCACCTCCGACATTACAGTTTCATACGGAAAAAGGCGCCTATTTATGCATGGGCAAAAATACAAAAACGACTCGCCGAGATTTAGATCGTTGGGCAAAAAGTCTCTTTTAGCAACCGAACAAGTCGCTTCTAAATTTTTAGTAATTGAAGACATTATGTGTCTTCTAAATCAGGGCTTCTTAAACTGGGGGTCGCGACCCCGCAACGATTTTAGGGGCCTCAAAGAGTACACCAACTTCACACAAATGACTATATTTATCGTGATTTTTTAGACTTTTGATTCGAAATACAATTAGTGCAAACACACTAGTGCAAAACATGAATCCCACGATTTCGAGAGAATACATAGGATCAGAGAAGCGGCGCGCTTGCATAACAATACCGATTCTGGTCGTAATACACGAGAAGCGACGCGCTTTTCGGAACAGGAGGTCGCGAAAATTGTAATATATTGGAAGGAGTCGCGACTTTAAAAACTGGAAGCCTGTTCTAAATGACTATTCTATTAGGTAAACTTTCAACTTTAGGTAATATTTCTTATGGAGTCTCAGGCGCTTGGTTCACCCTGAAGGAGGTAGTTCTCATCGAGCGGTACATGTTTAAGTGACATTGTTTTTTGTTCCCATATTTGAGTATTGATTTATTTTTCATATACAGGGTGTCTATAGTATAAAGTCCTTTTACAATTTCAATTTTGTTATGAAGTCTGTTCTCAATATACAGTATCAGTAATTGTTTAGGTATTTTTTACTTCATTTAATACAGTGTGAAGGTCAAAACAATATATGGTATCGATAAATTTCCTTTGCAATTTTAAATTTTTTGAGACTTTATGGACACTCTATACATCCTTGCAATTCAGATCTATGTATATTATTTACAATCAGAAAAATACTTACAATAAAAAAGTTCAACATACCCGTTATGAAGTCCCCATACGCAATGCTTTTTCAACGAAGGTATTTTCAAACGTACAGCTGCCTCAAGTACATCAGGTATATCCTTGACTTTTAAATCAAGATCAGCGGTGTATAGGTATTTAATGACGAGGTCAACAATTCTTCCGGGGATGGGAAATTCAATTGAGAGGATGAGTTGATTATCCTTGGTGAGTTGATTTGCTGTGCCAGAGGGTATTACTTCTTTTGTCCCACTTTCTAGAAAAAGTATATGGGTGAGGAATACCAAATGCCCAATATTGATAATGAATATATATGTTTTAGGGCAGCGGTTCCCAAACGAGGGCCCCAGTTAATCCCAGAGTAGTCGGCGGGCGGGCTCGATGCTAGACGCAAAACTCATTTCACAAGAAAACCCCCCCTTTTTCCTGGTATCCACAGGGTGTTTTCAATTTTTTGCGCGTGACTTGTTCGGACATAATGAGATTTGAAATCTACCAATCAAAATAGCACTATAAATACCACATGAATGATAAACAGGAAGGCCATGAGTGCTAAAGGAGTCATGAGGCTTGAACAGTTGGGATCCACTGTTTTGGTGTAAATGCAAGTATCACAAAATCATATTTTGCTGCGTATAAACTGCATCCATTCACAGGCATTTATATAGAACCGGTAGGGTAATGTAACAAATAATGACATATGGAGAATAGTAAGAATTTTTAAAAATTTTAACAAAAAACAGTATGCCTATACCATACGCCAGTTATAAGCAGCTTAAACGATAATACCAAGCCATTTTCGAAATATGCAAATTAGACTGAAGAACGACGTGCAAAGCGTCAGCTGAAAACTTGCCACGCACTATGAGGCTAGTTAATAATGACGATTCGCTGGATGACGTCACGATATGTCACTTCCGAAAAATTCAAAGCATTAGAAATCGGCATGCTAGTCAGTACATGACCGTGTTAATTGATTCTAGTCATATTCGGTCGGATTCTATTTTTCTTTCATAACATGCTGAGTGCAATGACATCACCGTCCATTATTTTGCTAAAATAGCCCAGATATACAGGAAGAAGCTTGCGTCACCTGATTCACAACACTTTTTATATGTGCCGTGATACTCATTTAAAAACTCTTCTTTCGTCATCGCGAAACATTATAGGCATTTATGAGATGCCTAATGATAAAAAAAAAATTTCAACTAGAATTATACTCGCAGAAGTAGCAAAGTTCTTCAATCCCTACACAAGAAGTGATTCTTTTTATCGCTATATAGTTTGCCAACTAAGTTTTTAAAAGAAAACAAATGCAGGAATGCCACAAACTGGTATAAATATAATTTTATATTTTTCAAACGCAATGTGCATCGAAAAAGGGAAAATATCTACTCTAACTCAATTTAAACTGAAAATACATGGCTTGCATCAAAAATGAATCTATTAAAATCTCAAATGGAACTATGAGACTAAAACGCTAGATTCAATGAATGCGTCTGTATATGACATAGCTTACAGTGGTACACGCTATAGCATGACAATCCATTGATTTTCAGAGATTCTGAAGTACCTTTTGGGAGCGCCAACATTTCCATTCATGTAAAGCCCTAATGGACTAGTGCAAGGGGTGGCCAACCAGTAAGAGACCAAAAGGCACATTTCGTACTTTATTACCGCGAATAGCAGCATTGTAATCAAGAAGACACATGAACATCAGATATATTTTACTAATATTCAGCTCTGCTAGAATGCTAGTTTATTGTAAATGTCACTAACCAACATGATTATGACAGAAATTTACAAGCCATTCATATGTATGGAGTTAATTAGTTGGACTTCTTGCATTCCTTGGATTGAACAACCCTCTCTAAATTTGGCTTGCATGTCGTTGCAGCCAATCGAATCAGTTATTTTACATGTGTGTCAGTCAGAACAGATAAATTCTTTGATTTCACGTGTTTTAGGATGGAAAACACAGATTCGCAAATGTATGTTGACCCAAACGAGTAAATTGCGCGTTTGTCGCTGAACATCATTTTCGATACGATTACGACAGCTGTTGTAGTGCAGTAGACGCGCCTCACAAGTCACAACAGAGAATTTGATTGTGGCGTAATAATGGAAGATTTTATTGTCAAGTAAATGAAGGGCTATCTTCAACGTAAAAGAAGAATGCACGACGGACGAATCATAATATGTTTAATCGAAACATGATGAGTCGTAGTTATTTTTTCCTTAAAATAACCAAATCGAAAAGAGCGGCTTGCGAGAAGCTGGTTGGCACCCCTGGACTATTGTCACTACATTGGCTCAATTGTTTATTTAGGTAGGTTTACTGATATCTTCGGGCAAAGCTCTGTCTCACCTCCTGGTTGCTTGTCGGCTTCCAGCTTTTCTTTGCAGTAACCACTACATGCAGCCAGGATACACTTGTGCACAAAACAAGTTTTTTGCTGTCGAGTTTCTTTATCTGTAAATATACATATATATATAGAATGTGTATAAATAATACTCGAACTGCCTATAAATTTATTCAGTTCTATAATGATGCGCTAATTAGAAAAGTTAGTTTGCATATAATATAATTATAGACAGTTCTTGGTGGCGAAGCAAAAACGAATATTACGAACGAATATGGTGGGAATGTTCTGTGAAGGTATTTTACCCCCTTTTTTATAAAAAAAGACAAGCAATTCATTTCATCCGCGATTCGTGGTCATATTTGGATTTTAGAAATGATTATATTCTAGTTCATTTACAATTAAAACCGTAAGTATAATACGATAGTCTATTACCAATAATCATGTAAATTATGGTTGGGCAATGAGAAGATTTTCTGTAAAGTTTACTCTTGTCACCGAAACACTCAAAAACAAAAGAAGAATTACACGGTTATCATGATGATGGTATATGAATGTTTCTAAGTCTCGATTAGAGTGTTCCAAAATCATGAACTTATAGTTTGCTTATCCATGAGTTCGAATATACATCAATTTTTATAGTTTATTAAAATGAGACACTTATCTTACACAGCACCTCCTCATGGAATTGCATATAAATTGTAGGCAAAATGACTCTAAGATAAATGTACCGATTGGCTAAACCATCAAATTGGTATTTACAACAAAAAAATGTGGATACTGGATAAAATCATAATAAATAAACAAAATCTGACCCACAACTTGCAACTTCAGATCACAGAATTCATTATTTCTTTGAAAACTGGAGAGACTTTGCAGCATTGCACTGACGTGCTCCTTTGTGTTAGCAAATGGCATTGACAGAGTCTTTTCTCCATTCACATCTGTTCGATTTGAGACTCGTTTTGAATTTTTAGACGCACCCCCACCTAAAAAACAAAGATAGTATGCAATTGATTAAAGAAAATACCATTGAAGCGCAGTTTGTTTCTTTTCTCAAAATATTCACCATATACATAGCGAATATAGGCAAAAGATCAACTATAACACTATTTCTATCATTATCCAAAAGATCTGAATTTTGTGATTCATGAGTATTATCCCCCATCTGGAATAAATCAGGTTCTGCTGCGTATTTGAAATAATAGTGACATGGATTAGTGTGAATATATGTTTTCACCTAATAACAGAATAAAATATTTATTAAACATCGATTTGCCTTATGAAGGTTCTCCATATATATATATTTTTTTAAAATAGAGTAAAACAGGTTAACACTAGCGATAAGGTATCGTTAAAAAATATTCAGAGTTTTGATTAATTTCGTTGGATCGGATATAGAAAATTTCCATTTAACCAAGGTATAAATAGTTTGAGTCTTCCGTGATATTGGAAAAAATAAAGTAAATGTAGTTCCTAATAGCAGGATTATAATTTTATGAAAACGGAAGTGTGAGTATGGTATACCGGTACTATCGTAGTCTAATTCGCTTATTTTGCGTTGAAATTATGACACCAGGTAACTGCGCTGTGAGAACATATATTAACCAAGTTTTAGCATCGAAATTGAGATAATAAAAAAATGACGCGGTGCGACTTACCCATTGTCACTTTGTGTCCTGGATCCGTTTCACAAACAGAACGACAGCAGGGAACAGACCCCATCTATGAATATAAAAGCCTCTATTTGACGTAACAATATGAATTTTAAAGCGAGAATGCTGATGCCTTGGAGTTGGACGACGGACTTGTGTCTCAGTGGACAAACTGACATTTTTCGCAATTTCTAAAGCAATTTTATTAATTAGGAGAAGTTGAGGACCGATTTCAAAGAGGGTACACTTTAAGGGATCGTGAATGACACGAATACACACTTGAAACACTTAGTTAACACATAAAGCACCGTTATGAAGTCGTTGAGTGATTTGATAAATCACTCTATAGATTTTTTTTTTACAGAGTTGCTAGTAGATTACAGTACGTTAATTATATTGAATCACCATAATTGACGAAATAACCGCACGGCAACTTTTCTATTAATAATAAATACCTTGCAGTATAAAATTTCAGTGTCTACTTATGTCCACTTCACCTTCACGGTTTTATAATCTATTGCACGGGGTTAATTTCGAAGCTTTAGAGGAATGGATGCTAAAATATATAAAAAAATGTGGTGATATTGTCCTAAAGGTATTTAATCTCCAAGAGAGATGCCCGATACCAATTTTTTTTAGATAAATGTAACCGCAAGTTGGCGAACGTACCAAGCAAAATTTCAATAAGGGAACGCCGCATGTTCCTTTGTGCTAAAAGCGTCGGAAGTTTGAGGTCTGCTCGCTCAGCTGATCGTGGTTTATGCGTTGTTGATAGAGGTTACTGTCGAACGTTTCTGGCCAATACTTGAACACCATTATGTGCATTACCGGTTATCAGATATCTATGTAGTCATCGCATTGCAGTAGATAAAGACACATTCCTCGAAATTGGAACTCTAGTCAGGCCACACGCAAAAGAAATCGCTGTCCCTCGTGGAATGCAAAAGGAATGTGACGTGCGTGGGAGTTCTATTCACATATTTGCCGGTTTCATTTTTTCTCGGCCGGCATTGAATACGTAATCTCTCAACCTCGCCGTAAACCATGTGACAACGTGGTCCAGTGCAAAACTTTCTGACAAGGTCGCCAATAACAGCTGGCTGGGAGAAAAAATGTGAGTTTTTATTCTGAAACCTTTTTACAGTTTTTATTTTGCCCATAAAAGTGTAGGCTTGTAGGTTCTAAAAAGTATATTGACTTATTAAAATCGTTATAAATTTGTACTTGTGTTATACTTATTGTTGGTACCGTATCAGAGCATTGCTGTATACTGGTATACAGGTATAGCTGTATAGGCAGAGGCCTAATATTGATGTATTGTGTAATAAACATTGTAATATCTGAATATACCCTACAGATATAGTATCTTATTTTCTAGTGTTTCAGATTTGTTAATAAATCAATATAAGTTTCTTTGATTCATTATCATTTCAGCATTTGGAGTTATATGCAATCTTTATGTTCATGATTGACATCTTTTGCTTTTATTGAACAGTCCAGCAATGATACAATGGATAAATCACAGTAATTTCACTATTTTATTTTTTGTATATCTACATCTTTATTGATAATGATGATGATAAGATGAAGCTGAAATGATAAGATTATGTATAAAGATATAGGATGAGAAAACATTATGATTAGAGTAACAAAAAAGTTCTATTTAAAATGTTTTCAATAGTTTGATCCTGCAGTGCACAATACAATCCTAATTTTGTAATAATTTTTTTTAAATTCTAATACATTCAGACATTGTGATTTGGTTGCAAGAGTACCCTATTTCAGTATTTGCCGATACGAAGGAATGTACAATGAGACAATAACTTATTCAAGATTTTTATATAAATTTTCATTGAATCAAATTTACTCAATTAAATTTATTTACCTAATAATGCAATATCTATAGAAACATAAGATGACATCTAAATATTTTTTTAATCAAATCAATTATGATTATGATATTAAAGCAAGGCAGAGCTGTTTGCCTTTATTCCTATATTTTTTGCATTATTCAGGCCTGCGAACAAGGATATTTATTTTATTTAGTTATTTATTTTACAGAAACATGACTACTCTCTCCCAGCCAAATAGCAATGGTGCTAACAGCATGGTAGGATCACATAGACATCCGACATCACTACGAGGTCAGCCTAATGGTGACGGAGGGGATCCAGATGGCTGGAGTCTTTCAAATTATGAGATGGTCGCAGAAATTGGCGTTGGAGCGTATGGCATAGTCTACAGAGCACGAGACTTGGAGAATAACGGAAGGTAGTGGATATTTATTTGTATATATGTTAAATGGAGATGAGTATTATAAATTAAATAAATATGTATAAAATATTGGTAAAATAGTATTATTTGATCCCATATAGTTGACCTATTTAATGTAGGGCTGATTGCGCGCCCCACAAGGGGGTCGTAGACATTTTTTTGAGGAGGCATGAAACTAATTAAAAATGGAAATATCTGTTAGATTGATCTTGCCCGCCTTATTTGGGATATTAAATTTCTTCATTTTGGATATTAACGTTTCATCCACATATTTTCAACATGTTTTTTGCGTAAAACATACTTTCTCCTTACCATCTGTTATTTGTACTTTATTGTTAGCTAGTTATTTTTAAGGTGGGGCACGAGACTTGGCAAATTCGGCTCAAAAATTTGAGAACCACTGGTGAAGAGTGTTGGTTGAGATTTCCATTAAGATGTGATTATTTGGGATAAAGAATTCTGTCCTCGGATGATAGTTCAATACGAAGATATTCAATTGAATTTGCCTTTTTAAGTCAATAGCTTTGTTCAGATATCTTCCATATAATTAGTGAGGTTAAAAATTAACTTAAAATGGCAACTTTATTTTATTGAAGAAAAGATAAATGGATCTCTCTTTTGTCAGGTTCGTGGCTTTGAAGTGTTTAAGAGTACAAAATACAGAAGAAGGAATGCCGCTAAGTACAGTACGTGAGATTGCTCTGCTCAAACAACTTGACTCTTACGAACATCCGAATATTGTAAGGTAATTATTAAAAAGGCAACCACGTTTTTGTATGTTTCGTTTTGTTATTCATTTTTAGGTTTTGCGTGAAACAGCTTTTTACACAATGTGAAAAATTGTGAGCTGGACAGGAAATTAATATGACTAGATGCAGAGATTTGCAGAAAATCTATATTTAATACTATACGATTTTTTATTAAACAATAAACGAGAATATCGATCGGAGACCGAAGACTTATCGATCGAAGGTTAGGGGATCCCCCAAAACAGCGCTCTTACTCCATAGTGACACCATGTGTCCTATCACTAATTAATCAATAACTCGCTAATTATACGACATAATTCATCGAAAATCAATAGGCTTCTGATCCGAGCTATGATGAATGCACATGCAAAATTTGGAGCAGATTCAACCTCGCTTTCGTGAGATATCACGTGCATCTAACAGACAGACAAACAAACAAACAGACAAATACCTATCAACATACTTACCGATCTTGAGATCGATAAGTAATTACCTTACCTTATTTTTGTATTTCAAATAGTCACAAGCCAAAATCTAAGGATTTCTGTAAACTAATGTTTTCCCCGAATGAATTCGTTTTGCATATCACGATGAATATGCTAAATTTCACTAACTATCTGAGACATTTTTACCAATAGGCATTGTGTTAAATCATACTATGATCGTTGTTATGAGAGTCCCAATAGATCAGCATAGAAAACACAGAATACCTTGTTAATATTTCATTCCTTTAGAAAATTGGCAGAAAATTTGAGGTTAAGGTTTCTGCAATTGTATGTTTAATACTTGCGTAACATTGCTCGGATTCTTTGTGGCTGTTAATTCGGGGTCAAAAGTCTTTATATGTGTGTGTAATGGAATGTTGAGAGCACACCCTTCTCGCTCTAATTAACACTTGATTGTCATGCCGGTTAAGCACCTCATTGTTTCCAACCGTTGTTCAGAAATAAAAGGCGTTATGCTCCCAAGATTGATTCCATATAAATATATCTATAAGAGCCTGTTTATCTTTGGCCTGTAATTTTCTGAAACACTCATTTTCCATCTGAGGTTTAAGCGGTATTGATATCAAGTATACTTATGAATTCTTTCCATCATTTCCAGTTTTCCCAGATGTCACTAATTTGTGTATTTGTCAAAAGTCGGGACTTTTATTCATTTGTTATGAAGCTGACTGACAACAACCCTGCATTTAGATTTTTAAATTAAAAATTATAGGTTTCTTATAAATATAACAATATTTTTTAACAATTGATCAACATTAATGAAACAAGGATACCTAATTTTCATTCAACTGCATAATATCTTGGTCAAATGTTTGTTTTATTATTTAAATTTATTTAAATGCTTAATTTATCTATTCATTTCAGGGAAAAGAATTTATGTTAATAATTTCATATGAAATGAGTAGATGAATTAAATAGCCTATTTAAATAAATTTATATAATAAACAAATATTTGACCAAGATATTATGCATTTGAATGAAAATTAGGTATCCTTGTTTCAATAAATGTTGATCAATTGTTAATAAATATTGTTATATTTATAAAAAACATAATTTTGAATTTAAAAATCTAAATGCAGGGTTGTTGTCAGTCGGATCAAAGTTTTGTGGTAAATGTCTTAAAATTTTCTTGACCATATATATCCTTGAATTGTATATATAATATACATTCATGATATCTTATCAGGAAAGAGTTTCACATAAATAACAATAAACTGTATGCGGATTATATCATAGAAATACATTCACAGCGAGTCTTGCAAATTCCATTAATCCATTCATAAATTATTTACTCTTGACATACTATGCAAAGCTAACTTTCAAAGGCCTATTAAAAATAGGAACCTAAATTTAGATAAACTACTAAATTTTAACCGCGGTATTTGACGTGGGTGGAACAAAGTTTGCTCAGTGCATGATTTGTGTGGGCGAATAGAATACGGTATTACGCATTATCCAAATTCCTTTGGAAATATGCTATGTTCCCTTGAAAAGAAATTTATAAATATGAAGTGTTTTTTGTTACGTGTATGATAAAAACCTCCAGGATATGCGATCTTTGACATTTAATATGTTTATTCATTCAAGCCTTTAGTAAATGGTCTATCAAGACGTAAAAACCAATCAATTCAAACTTTAAAAATCAAAGCATTATTCGTGGAATAGATGTACTTTGAGATGACTAATATAAAGATTATCATTTCCATATAGGAAAATTTTATTTAATTACAAAACAGTTATTGCCAAATTCATAACTACTAGTATTAAAAAATTATGAGCTGATCAAAGTAATATTCAATTTGGTCATCATGATTTCATCATGTATGATTCACACCAAAAGTATGAATTTTTCAAAGAAAAACCAAGCTTTAATATGTATTGTATAGCACATAACAACAGACATTACCTAATTTTATTCTGTCATCTTGGGAATTCACACAGACATAATGTTGTAGATAACTGATCAAGTCAGATCAAACAAGCTTTAGTATAGAGTTCAAAGGCTTACTCTAACCGCATTATTAAAAAAAGAACACTTGGAACTGATAATAATGGTCATCAATCATAACTGACGCCACCAGATTCATGGAGACATTGTTCCTCGTTAATTTTTATATTCGGTTTTATTGCTTTATTTTCAGTAGACTGCCTGTCTATGTTTGTTTCCCGGTTTCTATAGATATATAAACACTCAACTTGTAGTTGTTACGAGAAATGTTACATTACAAACATTCTGAAAATTCTCTCTCAAGTAGTTAAGAAACCACCAAGTTGCAATTCCATTTACATGATTCATTATAATCTTGCGGTATTCTACAGACAGACGCATTTCTTGCTGTTAAAATAAATCATTTTCCACACTTCGTGCGGACATGGACAGTTTTATTTCAATGATATATGTATACATTTTTGGATAATTTCGAAATTTTAGGGTAAATGAAAGAGAGAGCCAAAACCGAATGAATAATTTTCTGTTATGAATATACTCTGTTATTTTTCAATATGGAATATCAGATATATTCTGAATTTGGTAATAGTCGACAAAGAAAAATGAAAGACAATGTTACATTCCATTGGATTCAATTTGGAAATGCAGGGAAGTTATTTAACGTCATATTGCTCAAAATGATAATTTCTCAAATATAACTATTATTACTCCTAATATTCTGCATATATTTAATGTCAAATCTATCCACATATTGGATTCCATGACATACGAGCTACATCTCTAGTACATAATATAATGAAGTATAGGCAATTGGAATTCCTAAATCAGTAAGCGGCTCTTACTCCTTTGCTGGTCTGACAGACTTGGCTATGATATTGTCACAACTCACAAGTAATAATAATTTTTTTACCCATGGTGGTAGTCTGGTAGATTTCTACCTATAAATAATTGTTCGCACATGGCCTTGTTTGGCAGAAGACTTTGAAACGATCTAGAAAAACTGAATCCATGTTTATTGAAATTTGTCTGTTCAATGGCTCAAAAATTATTTTTTCCTATAAGCTCCTATTATTTTATTGCAGCAAACTGATTATAATAGGGATTGTATGACAAAGATGTAAAAATATATGTGAAAATAAATTTTCATTTTCAGATATGTATTCTGAGATGACTGTTTCATAAATGTTATTAAAAAATTTATATTATATAAATTATATAAATATAATATAAGATATAAATTGTTATATAAAAAATCATAATCCTGAAAACCTGGGACTTGATTTGACCCATAAATGTATATATATTTATTTATATATATTAAGTTTTAGGCAATGAAGGACTAAATAAATAAATTGCCATTAGGGTTTTAAAAGGCGTCACGTCACCTTCCACAGTCTGCAAACATACTCTGTGATCAAACAATATACAAGTTTGCTCGGAAACTGTAAATGATAGGTATTTAATAATCAAACATAGGAGTTATCTAATAAGCAAACATGGGATAGACTCTTAAAATTTGACTTCTCCTTACATAAGATAACAAACATGAATGTTATCTTAACAAAGACCTTATTTTATTGATCCATTTATTAGACGTTGTTTATCTAAAATTTTATCAAATATTTTTCACATGATATAAATCTCGGTGAAACTGGGGATACGCAAATGAATCAAATATTTGAATAAATACGATAGTAATTTTATCCCGTACCGACATGAAAAAAATTTTGTTTCACAATAGGATATGCTGGTTTTTTGTGTGGATTCCAACCTTGGTCAGATATGGTCAAGTTCAGCTAACTAATAATCACTATACATGCATTGGATTGTGAAGAAAGCCTTGTTAGCTTATGGTTTTGTGAAACAAAATGACGAATCCTGTATATGATCACCCTCCATGGCAGGGGTTCTAAAACTGGGCTGAATTTACCTCTTAAATGTAAATTTTCTCTACTACATATATAGGCTTTCGGTTTACCGTAATTTTATTGTGTGAACAAATGTAGCCCTTAGCACAGCAGATTGCATCTTTGTTGAAATTGTCCTCTGCGATTTAATAAATGTTATTATGATGAATATAAAAGATAGCATTACTTCATGCTATTTCTGTAGCTTTATAAACTTAATATAATAGATCTTATACTTCCATAACTCTACACTGAAATTCTGTATTCCAAAGCCTTTTCCACCCCTGTGGAATAGTGTGCGGGCTATTACTAGCCCTATGTGATTCAAACTTACATAAAGTAAGTCTGAATTACTTTTTTCCAATCCTTATATCAATTTTGAATTCATAACAATATGCCACACTATTTTTATTTCATCACCAATTTTCACTTCTCAAAGTTTTAACAAAGTTGCAAATTCATTCTGTGTTTGTAGTCCACGGTAATGCCATGAATCAATGTATACATCAGTCTAAAAATAGAAATAACGTATTTCAAAATATTTTCTAGCTTGACCCTTAGTTGGGTTTAAACTAAAACCTGATGGATCGTGTGCAAAATTTTTATCCAGATACAGTCATATCATGTGTTAACATACAACCAGGTCAAAGCAGTGTAAACAAAATTGAAGGAATTTAAATTCGTTATTCGTCTCTTTACATTTCCTGTCTATATCCTCACTCATTCAAGTCAAATTGATAATATCCTCCCAGTCTGAGTGATTTGTATGTACCTGATTGCTCTTTAAATTTTAAATTCAGCGTCCAAATTTCGTCATATTTTTTCAATAATGTTTGGGCATATTAAATTTGCGATATTAAAATCGCTCTTTATTCATTTGCATGGAGGGGTATTTTTAAAATAGATTTCTATAAATGCGTTTTAGTTTAGGTATTAAATTTCTTTTACTATTTTGACTCCGTTCTTCTATATTCATTCATCTTTCCTAAGTATCATATGCCCTTCCTCACTGATATTTGAATAGTGGTGCAACTGCCACCATTCATCCGTTCTCTTTTATACGAGTTGGTGTAAAATGATACTTTGTCTAATGTATATCGGTGCTATTTTGTTCTAATGTTTCAGACCTGATCATTTATACATTATATATATAAAGAGTATAGATTGAATATTTTCTAATATCCCATCTCCAAACATTAAACGAGGTAACATAAGTACAAACAGGATTTCTGATGCTGATTTACTGATTTCCGGTGATCTATAAGAGTAGAGAGAATGTCAAAGATATATATATTTTAGTTGGAAATGGTTATTACAGATCTTAGTTGTAGGAAAATTTACTCAAAGCGAGGTCGTGCACACATACTCAGAAGTAAAAGAAACTCATCTTTAAGTAAAGTTACTGACGACCCCCGAAGCGCCAAGAGATACTAAAATTCCAAAACTATTTTAATTATGATTGTCAGGAGATTTGACTCTGAACCCCATATTCACCATCTTACACAGGTTGCCAAATGTTAAGTACCGTATATACTTGAATATAAGTCGAGTTTGAAACTAAAAAAAATGCCAAACTAAGGGGACGGGGGCGGCTTATACGCGCATAACTCTCATCGCACTAAAACTCGAACCATGCTAAGTTCTCGCAATAAGAGCTGACACACACATGAAGCAGCTCTTGGTACGCTCTGACAGCGATAACAGTCTGTGATTGGTTGTCATACTCGACACACGTGATGCTAGAACAGCAATAACATGATTTTGAGACCCTTCTTACAGTTAATTAATTCTCTTCTGCAACCTTTTGCTATAGTACGTACGGCGTGTTACAGTTTGTAGGGTCTGCTTATATGCGAACTTTTATAAATTCACCGTTTTATTAGGTTCTATCATATGCGAGGATATACGGTATATACTGAAATGAAAATTCCATTTTTTCATGCTTAATATCTCTTAATAACATTCACTGCACTGGCCAATTACGCCAAGATTTGTTCAAATTCAAAGGAAAGATCTAAAACAATTCATTTTAATTTTCAATTGTAAACATATTTTTAGGCTCCTTGACATATGTATTGGTGGTCGGACATCTCGTGAAACAAGATTGACATTGGTATTTGAATATATTGAGCAAGACTTGGATACTTACCTCAAGAAAGCACCACAAGCTGGACTTGCACCTGAAGTTATCAGGGTAATATATAATTATCAAGAAACTAGTATTACCAATTGTATATACTGAACAACAAAACACCTACAAGTACAATATTTTTTGGAATGTTTTCTTATTCAGTTTTCGCTGTGTATCGATTTTCTGCATCAGTCTTCGAAAATTTCAATTTATCCAACATGTCGAACTTGAACCCAACATACTTTATTGCTATTTGTTTCTAATTTGGCTTTTTTAGAATAAAATTAATTCAGTTCAGTGATCCAACTTTTTATCAGTGGGGTGGGTTAGTCCTGGGGTTAATTCATCAGCTCTAGCTTAAGTTGATGACATACGTTCAATCTCAGTTTCAAGATTTGCAAGTATAATAGCTTCTTAATAAGTATAACAAGCTGCCACTTGTCGAGAGCAGCATTTTTGTGTTCTACGCAACACTGCTGTTCCGCAAGCTTCTTTTAGTGTTCGGTAGAACAGAGATCGAAATTGTGACTAAATTGGTCGTTATGTCGATCTCGGCCATGTTGTGTCAGCCTTCGGCCTAATTGTAATATCTACAACAGAATTTATTATTTTACCATAGGCTAAATTTTTTTGAAACCACCCTCCAATTTTACCTTCTAATTTCTTGGTGTTCCGCGAGGCGAGAAAAAAAGCGTAGATGTTCCGGAGCAAAGAAAAGTTTAGAAACGCTCTCTATTCTGTCCGTGGTTTATTTTCGTTAATTGGAATAAAAATAAAAACTAATTTATGTGAATAAAAATTTTCAATTTCTAGGATATCATGCGACAGTTATTACAAGGAGTAGATTTCCTACATTCAAACAGGGTCATTCACAGAGATTTGAAGCCACAGAACATTCTTATTACCAGAGATAACAAGATTAAACTGGCGGACTTCGGACTAGCTCGAGTTTACAGCTTTGATATGGCACTAACTGCTGTGGTGAGTTCCCTTTTTTTCATTGTTTATGAACACTTTATGCATCAGTATTGCTATTGCGATAAAAATATATTGGTAGATTGCTTATTTTATAGTTTTTATTTCTGATCTATAAATTTTATGGAAGTATGGAAAAGCAACTCAGAGCTAGGTACAGTTATGGTAGATCATTTGAGTTTTACTGACCAATAGCCAAGATTGGTTTCTGTGCCTTCTCTACCATGTCTGTCCATTTATTTTTCTCGTAATTTTGTTGTATTTTTTTTTACGGATTTTAACAGTCTATGGCTATTCAAAATTAGATATTGTCTATATCTAACCTTAAAGTTCCTTTTTGAATGATTTATATTGCAGTCAATCATGTAATATTTGCCCTGTTTTGACATGCTTTCTGACAAATTTACGATTTACATGTTTATCCTGGGGGAGAGGAATGCCGATAGTATAGCTTATTAATCGTATGGCGGGACATGGCCTCTCGTCCGATCAACAATCGGAATTAATGTAGTTGGCCAGGTACTTTTATCAGATGCACGGGCGGACTCGATGGTGAGGTGTAACCAGCATAATATGAACCACCCATCGGCGGCGATGAGGTCAGCAATTCTTGTGACATAATTATCCTCATGAGATTCGAACCTGTGAACCCAAGCAGGGGAATCAGAGGTGCGGTGACGAGCGTATTCTTAGCACGATGGATGGATGCATTTATAGACTGAATATGGTTGAAATGAATGCTTGTGGCTCTTGTTATGATATGGATAAAACTACAAAGCCATGCTCAAATTTATGTGAATCGATACTGTAAGGACTAAGAGTACAGAACTATGGAGCGGGATCAAGATTAGCCTAATGAAAAAGTGTTCCCCTTAATTAATATAGCAACATTTGGGCTTATAAGCCTTCTAGATGTCCCGACAATCTACATGGGATTTTTTTTCAACAAGAAGCCAATCCAGATGTACAATTCCTGCCCATAAGCAAGTTATGATATACTAATAAATACCACGGTATCACATTCGGAAGAATGTCATACATCATCCATTATCTACTATTTTGTATATATTCATGCTTGATCTGTTATAAAAAAACTTCTATTTTTAAAACTTAGACATTTTACTCTTTAATCTTTAAAATCCATGGTTTTAAAATGACTGTATTGTACTGAGAAAAAATTTGGAATGTGCGGAGTGTATTACGATAATTCAGTATTGGTGTCATTATCTTAAAACCGTGTCATCAAGGAAGTCATATAGACAATCATTATCTTGAAATTAGATCTGATAATTTCCGCTTAACAATATGTCGGTCCTCAACCCACTCATCCTGTCTTCATCCAACCACGAGACTATAGTCTGGTACTTATTTTTTAACTACTAACATAATACCATATAGTGAACACCGACAACCTTTGAAATTTAGTAGTAAATGTAGAATATAGTGAGCCAAAAATTGAATATCATTGCTTCAAAGACAAATGCATCAGTGTTCAGATATTTTATTAGTGATCATTTACATTCTTTTATTTGATAAATTACTTTTTTGTGGTTGTTTTATATGGACTAGGGCTTTTCCATGTATTGGATTAACCCCTATATGTCTCATCACAGAACACCTATTAAAATTTGTTGAAATTACCCCAAAATATACGAATGTCAAATATGTCTGTGTTTGACACTATGACAATAATATTGAAAAGGTACTAGGCCTATAGAACTGAGATTGCATTTCTCTCACAACTCAACTTAGTCGTGGCTCTTTGTTGCTCAATTGAATATTTGTGCGCGTATCCATTCTACTCAAGCAACTTCAGTTTTCTTATTCTTAATGTTTGTCAAAGCAGAAAATACTGTTTTACAAATGGGTGTTGACAGTATTCCACTCAAAGAGAAACTCTCAACGAACCCCAAGAACTCCCAAAACCCACAGAACCCAATTGGTATTTTGCGTAAACACTATTAAAAAGCACTGGTGAAAGCTACCCTAGATTTTAGGAACTACTAAATTTAGAACAGTTTCTACTCTTTCTGATTTTTGGACATGAAGTGACTTATGGATCGTTTTGTCATTTCATATTTTTCTCCTTGTTGTCGTGAAAAAATCACTTTTCCCTTCAACTACAGGAAAAAGTACGTTGAAATTTTCAGTGGTTAAAAATTGCTGTTGTCACTGGAAGGCTAATATTACTTACTGATAATTTCTGTGGGCTCGATGGAATTTGTTTTTCACCTTAAATTTTCGTGTGATGATGTCATCAAAATTTAACAATGTGTGCCATGGTTTTGTGACCGCATTTCAGCGATCTCATGATCATACTTCCGGCACTGTAAGAGATTTGATGCTTCTTCGTTTTGGTCTTTGTATCCATATATATATTAAGCTCTTTCGGTAATTACTAATCTTTATGTTTTAGGTTGTGACACTGTGGTATCGTGCACCAGAAGTATTGCTGCAGGACAGCTATGCTACACCAGTCGATTTATGGAGCATTGGCTGCATTTTTGCTGAATTATATAAAAGAGAGTGAGTGTGGTTTTATGTAACAATACTATAATTTTCTCTGAATAAAATAGGGGATTCATAAAGTATTATTTCATGTTGATGATTTGTTTTAATATGATATTTGGTTCATTAAATAACCAGTGATGCTCAAAAGAAATTGGGACCTCCTGAAGTATGCGCACCAAGATGGCGCACAACCTGAACTCAGGTTGTGTACCAAGTTAGGGTTCAGGTAGTGCAACATCTTGGTGCACATACTTCAGGAGTACCAGAAATTGAATAATTGGATTAGCCATTCTCTATATATATGACGAATATTTTCCAATGTAGAGAATTAATGAATGAACGGTCCATTCAGAACCTCTTTTATGGCGGTGTGTTGGTAATATATTCAAAGTTAATTTTTCATTACTTAAAATCATACTTTCCCAGAAAACAACTTTTCCAAGATATTTTAAAATTTAACATTTATTGAAAAAATTTATTTTCTAAGAATCATAGTTTAGTCCAGTGTTTTTAAACATTTTTCATAGCGATCCATTTGGCATGGCCAAATTTGTTTGTGGCCCCCAGAAACTAAAATAAAAATAAATTGAAATTTAATAATAATATAAAAACTGACAAAATAGTTCTAATAGGGTCGATGTGAATGCATATTTTCGAGCAAAACACCATATCTTAGATCTGTTTTGGTGATGGTGGGTCTCGACACTGGTTATGAATCATTCAAATTGATCGATAATTTGTTTTAACATAAGTTAGTGTCGGAAACGACTTTACTGCAAACCCCCATTAGAGCTCTTTTGCATCCCACCAGGGGTCAGGACCCCAAGTTTAAAGACCCCTGCTTTAGTCAACAACATTTAATACAACAAGTTTAAGTTTGCAGCAGTGAATTTTTCAATACTAAACTATACTTCGTATGGTCATTACTGGCTAAATATGCACGTCAAAGTATATTCGATTGTCCATATTGAAAATTATATTTTAGAATCTTGGCTGTATATCCATTTTTCACTTTTTTTACTTTTTTCTGCATTAATGGTTACAATTCAATATTTTTTAAATTTCAGTCCTCTATTCTGTGGAACTGGTGACATTCATCAACTCAACAAAATATTTGAGTAAGGAAATCTTAAATTTTTATTTCGGTTACAAGTATATCAAGTTGTACATCATAGAAGTTTAAGACTGACATCAAGGAATTTAGGGATTGTCAAAACCGAGTATTTCACTATCCTTGATACATTCTGAGAAAATATTTCCGTATATGGAATATAGATTACATTCTAAATTGAGTTCATGTGGAATATTGAGTAAACTGCTATATCTTCATTTTTATCACATCTAAAACAACATGAATATAAAAGTCATATTTCTCTCTGTGTTGTTTGTTATCAGTTGAGATATCGTACGGTTTGATCTGATTGTCTGACCTCTCAAAATCTTTAATTTTCAAATAAAAATATTATAAATTATTCCTAAATTTAAAATTTGGTATATTGAAGATACATCTCTGAATACTGCATTTTCTTAATTTTAATAATATACCAATTGTGCATGTATTATACTACATGTCAACAGCACTCGTCCAATCATAATCAAGCTCTTTCTGCAAGTGAAATTATGACTCTTTAGGACTGAATGAACATTGAGAAAGATTTTCATAGTGTTTTTTGGTGCTATGAAACAATGATTTACACAAAAAACTTTGATTAAATAATGGTTTATTAAATAATGGTATTATAATAATTAAGTAATGGTCTCCTATAGCCTATTAATTATTTAATTTGTATTATAAAATTTTCTTATGTGTGTGTTACATACTAAGATTAGATAATAGAGTAGATAATTTTGGTACATTAATCTATTTTTTAATCCAATTGCAGCTTTATTGGTCTTCCATCTGAAGCTGATTGGCCGTCGGATGTGGCATTACCACTTACTTCTTTCCGACATCGAATGCCTGTTCCTCCACAATGTATGGTACCTGAAATTGAAGGATTGGCATCTGATCTTTTGCTGGTAAATCTTCATTTTTGAACAATTTTTTTTCATTTTAAAATGGCTGTAGAGTTTGGCGTAATACACTCGATTCCAAACTCATATGAGTTATTCAATACATGGATTTTCAAACTGGGGGTCATTGCCCCCAAGGTGGGTCACCGAAGAACTCAATGAGAGTTGCGGTACACAATATGGTCAGAATTAGCCGTACTTACTCTTCTTCCTTTTGCCTCCACCTATATGTGTGAAAAATATTTTTCGACACTAGTTGTGTGAAAACTAGGTATCGATCACATTTGAAATCAGTACCAAGACCCACCATGACCGAAACAAGAGCCAAGATTTGATCTTTTGTGCGCAAATATGCGAGCATATCGGTCTCATTGAAGTTCCTGAGGGGAGCGAAAAAAATTTCACACACTGATATAATACACGTCTTCTGATTTCGGAGTGACTAAATTTTTGATACCCGGTTTAAAAAGCCAAATTTTGACAATAAAAATTTTGGGGTATGCAAGCGTTTCTCGATTACCGATTGAGATTGTTTTGTTAACTTATGCTCTGTCGAAAAAATAGATTATCACATTCACAATAAAGTCTGAAATTCAGACCCCCAGGTCCAAAGAGTTGAAAATTTGAGTCTCTACTGCAATATCTGTAAAATAAACAGCTCTGAATTTTACTGCGATTTTTTGACATAACATCTTGTTGGATTTGAATTTATATATTTGTGTTTGGTGGAAATAATACTGTTGTGTTTAAATTAATTCATCATTAAAATTCAATAAATTACAAAATTAATTATTCATGCCAACATTCAATATGTAGCCTATATATTGTAATAATAATATTACTGTTTTGTTCCCTTTTTACAGAAATTACTAGAATTCAAACCAGACAAACGTATAACAGCAGCTGATGCTTTGGAACAACTGTATTTTAAGGTCAGTTCTGTGAATTTATAACAAATAAAAAATTTGATAATAAACTTCCAGATTTCTATCTGAGGGTAATAAACTGGGGTGTGCAGTAATAAGCTGGAAATATTGTGCAGTCTGTGGAGAAATGCCAATTTTGCATGATGTGCGCCCTACGAAATGAGTTTTTAATTCATTCGGTATGGGAGAGTAATTCCAATGCCTTTGTGTTACGAATCTTATATCTGAATCCCAAGTTATTATCTATGCCTATAATTTACAATGCCTTAATTAACAGCTAGATTGTGCAAACAATGCATGTCACAAGATCAATAACCAAAATTTTTGTGTCTGCAACTACTAGAAAGCCTATGTTTAATGAAAGTGCGGCCCGCAGTTTTACCCAGTTATTTCTATCGGCCCCTCCTGTATTAAAGGTTGCACACCCCTGAGTTGAAATATTTATTTTGAGGACTAGCTTCACTTTGATTGTCTGATTTATTAATAGGGTTTATGATTTTTTTGGATTCTAATTTTTTAACAACCTCTCTCTAGTTCATCGCCAGTTTGAACAGAGATATTTAATATACCCAACAAAAGTGAACCTTACACAAATATATTTTTGTAGTTTTCTAAAAATTAGAATAAAAGACATGTTTGTTTCGGTTGTTTGTTTAATTTGTTTTAACGCTTCTGATTTTGAATCTTTTAAAATATATGTATTTATAAACACTGAAATTAATTGATTGGAAGACTCTTGAATTGTCATCGAACAAGAAATCATACATCTCTTATATAATATACAGGAGGAATTCCATCCCCATCATATTTCCAACATACGACAACAACCTGCTAGATTGCTACCATCTGATCTTTACACGACGAGACATCCATTTGCTGAAATTTTACCAACGTATGGTTTACCGGGATCTTCAAGAACCACCACGTCTGTATTTCATCCGACATCTTCAAACTCCAGTAAACCGTTTCACAGACTACCATACACGAATCGTATGACTGAATCTAGTTCGTCATCTAATTCAAATCGATATGTACCCAGGGTTTTGCAAGAGAATGCTTGTTCTTCCAGCAGAGGCGTGGATAGACCAGATGGATCTGGAACAAGCGGTTTTGATACTTCACATTCTCAGTTACACACTACGTCAAATCTACCTCCAGATATATATGTACCTACGTCAGGTACAGAAAGACCAATGAGTGGTGTTGCTTTTTCTTCGGAAAATGAACCAATGTCGAGTAATAGCTCACAAGCAACCAGACCTAAAAGAATTCCATTTGCTCCTCTGGATGTTTCAAGCGTAAGTAACGAAGATATGATCGTGAAAGGGCTTTTAACTCCACCTTCTGACATGGCGTCATCATCGTCCGATTTGGTGACTTCTTCGGGCTCGTCTCGGTCCTCGTCTGTTTCTGAGGACCACGATCATATCAGACTCGACACCTTTCCCAGCGCGACTGTTGACTTGCAACCTCCGCCTATTATCGGAAGTCAATCATTATCAAATATTCAAAACGAAAACTCTCTTTTTCCTACCTCTTCGACAGGTAATCAAACGTCTTTACACTGTTCATCATTTTTTTCCAATAATTCACAACAAAGTTTTATGCTGAACGTTTCGTCATCATCTGATAGTAATGTACAGTCTTGGATGCCTAACGTAAACCAAGATGAACAAGTAAGTGCCTCGGATTCACGTTTTTATTCTGAAGAAGAACAACGTAAGTTACGAGAGGAACATGTTAAACAAACTGATCCTGCATTACAAAATGACACACCACCTGATTCGCAATTATTTTACAATGAAAAACCATCGTCACCTCGTGATTAGTTGATATTTAATATAGGGGGAATGTATACTAAATTTGTGATGATTTCAAAAATATACTAATTAAAATTAGTTTTCTGTGCATATGTTGGTTGAAGCTTCATGGAGTTAGCAAACAAAATGTGTTTAAGACATGGTTCAGGACTATCAATTTTTTTATGGATGGAGCGGGCATACTGCCAAGGATCATGATTTGCTATTTATTCAATCGGAAATTTTCAGATTTCAATCTACTTCAGGGCTTCATTTTGTTTTATTGGCTCGGATAAAATTTTAAAAGTTATTCAAATTCAGTTTATAACACAGACATTTTTAACCCAGACCAGTTTGGTGTATTAAGTGACATTTGTTTCAACTATCTGTTATTTTTTTCTACCCAGTAATCGTTTATAATACACTTTAGAATAAATTTGTATCGAATATGTGTAAAGTTTCACCATTTTTTAAAACGTACAACAAATAGGTAATATTGAGATTAATTTCAATTCATTTTTACAAATGGTCAGAAGTTGGTAATGTCAGTAAGTCTCATTTCAATATCCACTGTTGTCCATTTTAGGTAATACAATTTAACTTAATCTTTTTAAATTGCTTGTTAAAACTGCCAACTTTTTGGATACTTGTTCTCCATTCCTTTAAATCACATCTTATTAATGTGAAACCTTTGCGATTTTTTGGTGCAATATATTTATAACAACGAACCTAACGAAACAATGTTATATGATGTGGAGGTGTATAAGCGACATATCACAATTTCATATTGCCTGAGGCACAATTTTTTCTTTCGTTTACCAGATGTACACTATTGAAGGCTCAATTCCACTTGTTTTTTATCAGTAAAACAGATTGTGATGAAATAATGCTGTTGCATCATTATCCTAAAAGTGTCTCCCGACTTAGGGGTTGCGACCCAAAACTGGGTCGCCTAAAAATCTTCTTAAGACGCTTGTTTTTCATCAAAAACATTTTATTTTTAGTAAATGTTATTGTTTATTTATATTTGGTATTGAATTGTATACATGGAAAGTATCACAGCGTAAGTACTTGCTCAGAAATGCTATTTTAACACGCTGGTATTTCCAAAACTTGTCGATGACAAACCAGCGCAGCTTTCTCAATTTGAATTCAAGTGTGTGGCTCTATTTCGATGATGGTGGGTCTCATTACTGGTTCCAAATCTTTCACTAGTCATAAAATGCAAGATGGACTATCCTAGAGGGTTCAATAACGTTTGTTCGAGGAACAAAAATGTTCTTTTTTAAACTGTTTTTCTCCTATTTTACTTATTTTTTTTTAGTAATCTACTTTTAATTTTCCACTTTTTCATGGTCCGTGAAAAACTAATCATAAAAAACTTGAATAGTAATTTTACATGGTGCTGCCTATTCATCTGTCCTCTCATTCTTTTTCTCAGGCCCGTTGTATGCCTGTCAATGCAAGACCCACTCACTTCTCTTTTCTGTTTGGCTATCATTTTATTTATTACTATTGAATTATTATTGCTTTTTTGGTTATTGTAAAGGCAATTTTCAATATAAAAGCATTTTAGTGATGCTATTTACATGTAAACCTAATGTATTGTGAAAATAAAGAAATTTTTGATATCAAAAATTTTATTCATGCCATTTCAATGATTATCGTAGTTATAAAATTTGATTGTTTTCAACAACTTTTGGCGTATTTTCACCCTGAAATATCTTTTTATTGTTGAATTAAATTATAAAGACTGCTTCATCCCAAACAGTTTAACAACCAACTGCCTTATTCACGTTGTTTCTTACATTATCATGGGTGATTTCTTTTATTAAAAGCAAATGCTTTTTATTTCTTATAAAGCTATATGAGGGTAAGAAGCTGTCACTAGCGTTTCGATCGAAATGTGTTCTAGTTTGAATCTAGTTTTAACTTGAAAATGGTTCTTGTTTGTTTTAATAGCTGGTAAATAGCTGATGGAAGTAATGGACGCCTAACCAATTACGGCTTCTTTTTCTATCCTTTTGTATCAGTGAGTCATAATCACTGATTGCAATGATACCGATGGTAGGAAGCGAGTGTTTGAAGGTCCAATACAGGGATGTGCAACAAGCGGCCTGTGTGCCACAACGTGGCCCACCAAGCCAAATTGTGTGGTCAATTCTAAGATTGTTCCTCATCAAGCACAAAATTCTAATCAGATATGTTTAAAAAGTCGCTCACATGGCTAAAAATACAAGTTTTTTGCTCTTGTGGCTGTGTTAAATCTTTCACCTTTATGCCCAGTGCTATTATCTCTGCAAGGCTGAGCGATAGCCACATTCTCTTTGCTTGCCTTTTTAGCGGCATTGTGTACATGGTAAAACTAAATATTTTTGTGTGGCCCAACTGGGTGTGTGTAGTTGGTTATATGGGTCACCTACAAAAAATGTTCTCTTATGTATCGTCTGAGGAAAGTCAACTTCCTCAGATAAGCAGTTCACAACAATGAAGCAGCACATGCCGAACTACGGTTCCCGTACATTTGAACCCAGGACAATTGTGAAATTTTTTTATTTTGCGGATATTTGAACCCATACTAACCCTAACCCATGGGTTTCAGCACCCGCATATTGATTGAACCCGCAGATATACAAATGGGTTCAAATGTACGGTGACCCGAACTACAGCTCCTTTCTCTCTGCCATTAAGTGCAAAACTACTATGATAAGCATTGATGACTATATTGAGTGTTTTTTTTTCAAAGGGCTTGCATGACTTATTGTGAACTGAGGAAGTCTGGACTTTGATTGTATGAAATCATGAAATTTTTAAAAAGATCATTTCCTCACATGCTTACACTTACAATAGCCAAATTCAAAGACTGAATTTCGGTTTCATAGTGATGTAATATAAATATCAAGATTTTGTGCCTATTTGATATTCTTATTAGAAATGCCTTTTAATCCAATGGTGCCTTCTGCTTTTAGCACTACATGCCTTATGGGCTTACACAACCGTTTTTTGCGGTTAATTTGTATTTTATTATTTAATTTTTCCACAGATTTGGGTGCAAGGGTCACCCACATATTCATTGCTCTCCCTGCCTGGAGGCTGGGCCTCATTTTTCATCTTATTTATTTTTTATTATTATCATTTACTTGTTGTTTAATGTATGAATGTAAATAGCTGTCATAATGCCACTGCTCAATTCCTCTGTCGCATGATGCCATTCGCAAAAGTTTTTCCCGTTTATCATGATTTTAACAGAATAATTCCTACTACCTGTCTATTATTGTTATAAAGCTCTTCGGTGTAGACATGTCACACCTTTACACACAGTTTTTAAATTTCATATTGTAACAGTATGTTGCATTTGCAATTACGTTGATTGATGACCTGAAGTCTATGCCTATTCCAATCTCCCCAACATAAGATTTTAATGTAATTTTTGACTCCAGCAGCGTTGTCCGACATAATTCAACACCCCAAGTTTGTATTTGTTAGTAGTAAAAGTGTAAGATGGTATTTTCATACCTATCATGGAGAGATAGATTGCTTTGCCAACCAGAAAACAAGCATTGCAACAACAAAATCTGTACAGAATACACAAAGGTATTCGGTATAGACTGGGAGAGCTATACAGTCATCGTAGAGTCAGCCCCCCCCCCAAAGGGAAACCATACTGAAATGACCTATTTGTGTGTCAAATTGCAATATATATATATGATTAAAATGTGCATTGCTCGTTCGATAATAGAAGAGCATTTAATGCAACTTTGAACTGGTTTTAAATACAGAAAGAAATTTTCAATATTTTTCGATGCTCGCTGAATGAATTTTAGAGCGTTTTCAGTGGAATATTCAACTTTTTATTAAATTTAGTCCTCCATAATAATAAAAAGTGTAATACTTTGTCAATGCCTGACTAAATATGTTTTTCTCCTCTAAAATCGAGGAGAGTCCTTTGGATGGTTAAAATTCTAGTGTAATTTGCTTCAAAATCTCATGCAGTTGCATATTATTTTCTGTACACCAAAAAAGCTTTTAATAAATGGAGTTTGTTGAGGTTTTTAATCATTTTTATTACTTAGCAATGTTAACTGACGAAACAAATTACCAACCTATTTTAAGTACCTGTAACTAATCTGGACACCCCTGAAGGCCATTTTTACATTACATCGCTCATGTAGAAGCGATGTAATTTACGCATTTTCAAGCATATTGCGATGTCGAAATACGCTTTGGTTGTGGCGTGATATTACCTTTTTGGCTTTGGTACTTCACCCAATAGGCGAAGCTTAGAGGGAGGGGGTAATGGGGTACATATGCCCCCGGGCGCCAAGGTACAGTACAGGGGGGCCAAATTGGGGCTTGCAAAAATTTCACAAGGGTAAAACGAGAATATCGGTCAGTGACCGAAGACTTATCGATCGAAAGTTAGGGGATCCCCAAAACAGAAACTGCGGTTTCGATTTGAAAAATTCTGCAAACCCGAACTGGATTGTTTTGATTAGTTTTCAGCCAATATCAAAAATGTAGGAAACAATAGCCAACTCCCCATGTCGTCGTCGAACTACTACCCGAGGAAATACTTTTATGAAGAATTTTGGAAATCCGAACTGGATTGTTTCGATTAGTTTCCAGCCAATAGCCTATTTACCAATCCTATATTTTGTGTCAAATACAACGGCTCTAACCCGGGTTGCGACGGCTATTCAAACACAGCATAGCGATATTTTGGTGAGAAATTCTGCAACCCCGAACCTGATAGAGGGATATGGACATTGCTTAAAGATTAATCACGAGATACGATCTAGCGGTGTGTATCCTTCGCTCTGACTCAATAGCATGAAAACTTGCGCATCGGACACGCACACACACATTCAGGGCGTCTCGAAAATCTCTAGCTTTGTAAAAATCCAGATCTCTTCATCACTAATTAATTAATAACTCGCTAATTATACGACATAATTCATCCAAAATCAATAGGCTTCTGATCCGAGCTATGATGAATGCACATGCAAAATTTGGAGCAGATTCAACCTCGCTTTCGTGAGATATCGCGTGCATCTGACATACAGACAAATACCTATCAACATACTTACTGATCTTAAGATCGATAAGTAAAAACAGTCACAAGCAAGATTGCACCGGCGGCAGACACTTGGTCAGACCACTTACGTCGACTGCCGACGTCATCAGGCACATAGCCCGCGCACGGTCAGATTTCCATCGTAATTACATGGCAAAAAAACAGGCCGGGAAACAAAGCAAAATTTGATTTGGTAACGTTAGGTAACAAAATGCACCGGGTTAATTACGTGGTTCTCTATCGTTAAATTCTTTGCCTGCGCACTCCGATGTAAGTTGATATTAGTTCTGTGCTGGAGACAAATGGCAACGGAATTTGGTTGAATGATGTTAATACATGTTTTGAGTAATACGTGGTTTTGTATTTCGTGGTTGTCATAGTACCGTACTTTGCGACAGAGTTACATGAAATATATTATACTGTGCCAAAAGACCCCAATGCCGTTTTCGACAATTCGTCGAAATTGCACATATTTTGCAAATTTCTACGACACCTACATCAATGGCCACGAACTTTTCACCGAAATTGGAGATTGCAGAATGCTGCTCAGCAACAGAACTGAAGGTCAACCAGAAACTCCTTTGGCTTTGGAGGTGGAGGTCGGGGCGCCAATTTTATAGTTTGCCCCGGGCGCAAAATATGCTGGCTACGCCTCTGACTTCACCCACTTTGCTATCAACGTAACATCTGATATATTTTCACAGCCGGACATACTAGTACAGACTCGTTTGGACTTGGTGCAATAGAAAAGTACTGCTTACGCACTTCGGAAGTTCATTGACGCTATTTAAGGTTTCCGAAATAAGTACCGGTACTCGCTTCCTGACTAATGGATGTATGACAAGCTATGAACAAGTATATTATACATTTCCATTACAGAAATTCGCATTAAATAATAAAAACACTCTTCAAAACTGGGCTATAGGGTCGAAAAAATTCGAATTCGAAATTTTGACTCCGGATAGTTTGAAAATGTTACTCCGACTCCGCAGTCTTGGTTTCTAGTCCTTATCTCGAAAACGTTACAAACGTAGCCAAGTCGGGCTACCTCTTTCACATTATAATGTATATGTAATATAATAGCCTATAACTGAATAAAAACTGTACAGTCAGATTATAACTCTTCTAGTTCCCATTTCCCCGCGGTTCTAAGGGCAGTTCTTTTCACAGTGAGTTGTGCATTTCTATTAACATCAATAACTGTCTGTGAAAGCATCCGAAAAACGAAGGAATTTTCCTCTATCTTGTGTGCAAACAAAGCACTCGCGTTTCCAGATAAATTCCCGATTTTGAGTCTTTTTCCTTGTACAATCACGACGCGGGAATCGGAATATCGTAGTTCTGCAATGAGACGGGTGAAGAAAAAATTAATTTCACATTAGTTTTGCAGAGGCGACATAAAAGGATACGTAATACAATTTGAAAACAGGTTTCGTGACACTGCAAAAAATAGTAAATGCAGTATATATATATATTATACAAAAATGTGACATGAATAACAACTTTAGCATAGGCACTATCCTTAATAGCTAATCTCAACCGTCACCCGTTCAGCGTATTGGATGGCCACCGTGTGAAACCGTGGTACACAAACTAAGTTCAGGATGTGCGCCATCTTGGTATCATACATAGCAAATTTTTCGTATCCTGAAACGCTTTTTAGACCCCCAAAGTCAAGATTCATGAAAACTTCTGAAAAATACACCACAACTATTGCCCAGAATCATCCCTGAGTCCTATCACAAATTGTCAAATCACATGTGATAACTTAAACACTTTATTTGAAATATTCACAGAAACAATTCAAACAACTATTGATGCACACGCACCCATGAAACCATTAAGTCGGCGCGAATCGAAACTTCTAGCCAAACCGTGGCTCACGAAAGGTATTCATGTCTCCATTAGGAAAAAACGTAAAATGTATAAAACGCACTTTAAAAATGGTAGCAATACCCAACATAATTTATACAAAGTTTATAACAATTTACTTAAAATCGTAATAAGTAACGCAAAAAAATCGTATTACTTCAGAAAATTCAAACACATTCGTGGTGACATCAAATCCACCTGGAAATTGATTGGTCATTTAGCTAATATCAGACAAGAAAAAAAATGTTCGATCAAAGAGCTAAAAATTGACAATGGAACTAAAGTATGTGATCCAATTTGTATTGCCAATTACCTTAACAATTATTTCACCACCATAGGCCCAAAACTGTCTGAAAATATTCCCCATTCTAATGATGCATCAAAATTCTTCCAGAGCTATTTATATTCGCGTCAACAATATGTCAAAATAGGATCAAATTGCTCCGAACTTGCAACTGTACAATGCGGAATTCCCCAGGGCACAATAATTGGCCCATTATTGTTCGTATTATTCGTCAACGATCTTCCTCATGCCACCAGATTATTGGTCAAACTCTTCGCTGACGATACCGGGTTATTTGGAAGTTCAGTCTCGCCAAATGACTTGCAAATACACATGAACTCTGAAATGCAAAAAATTGCAACGTGGATGACTAGTAACAAACTAACTATAAATATTGAAAAATCCAAATCACTTCTAATTAATCCCAAAAAAAATGAAAGAAGTGTGCATTTGATTAAAATTACTATTAATGGTATATTACTTGAGAATGTGAACTCATACAAATACTTGGGTATACACATTGATAACCAGTTAAAATGGGCAGCTCATACTAACTACATTGCTGGCAAGCTTGCTAGAACAGCAGGTATATTATTCAAACTTAAAAAGTTTCTCACCCCATCAGCTATGCGATTAATTTATTTTTCTCTCTTTCAATCATATCTTCAATATGGTATCGTAGCTTGGGGAAACGCATCTTCCACACTCCTTCACAGATTAGAGGTACTGCAAAATAAATCAATCCGAGCAATAGGCAATGCACCTTTACGATCCAGACTTGACCCATTGTATCACAGGTTAAAAATAATGAAACTTTGCCATGTCCATAAATTTGAGATATTGAAACTTATGCACCAGTACTTTGACGGCAAACTTCCAACCGCATTCGTAGGATATTTCACCAAGCAGACTAATGTTCATTCGTATTACACAAGATCTGCTTCACAAGCTTCCTTTCATGTACCGAGATACCAGTCTGGATTTCATGGCCTTTTTGAACGAGAAATTCCCGCGTGCAGATAAGAATTCCTGGCGTGCAATTATAGCTCACGACGTGCAAAACAACTGCACTCGCGTGCAACTGACTTTGACATCAGATACCTCTCAATACATCCGCGTAAAATTACCGGTATCGGATAAAATATACGTTGAATCAGAGAAAAAATGGACGTTTGACCTTTGACTCCAAACATTATTTCTACAGTTTGTCGCTAATTTTGAGAGTGTTTGTGCGACTTTGGATACCGGTACTGTTCAGTACATCCGCGTAAAATTATTGGATAAAAAATACGTTGAACCAGAGCAAAATGGACATACTTTGTCATTAATTTTGGTAGTGTTTTTACGTAGAATTAATGGATAAAAAATACGTCAAATTAGAGCAAAATGGACGTTTGACCTTTGACCCCAAACATTATTTTCATACTTTGTCACTAATTTTGGGAGTGTTTGAGCAACTTTAGATACCGGTACTGTTCAGTACATTCGTGTAAAATTATTGTATGAAAAATACGCTGAATCAGAGCCGTACTTGGCCATTGGTGCGGAGGCGATCTTTTCGTCCATAACTATTCTCACGGGATTCCTATTTCCTATCATTCAACACGATATGGACCTTTCCCCGAGCATCGACTTCCTTGTTTATTTCGTGACATTGGCCAATCAGCAAGATGCAAAAAAGGACGTAACAATGAGAGGAATTTTTCGCGGGTCAAAGGTTGGGGAAAGGTCCATGGTCTTTTTGCTTCGCAATATTTCGATCAGACCAAATCTTGCAGGCTGGTATTTGTCGACAATTGTGGAGTTATAATATTTTGGCATCTTTATATTACTGGATTATTGATTTTAAAACCATTTAAACCGATTTACATTGGTGAGCAATTGCAAATTTTCGGCGTGCAAAATTGATTTCGCTCGCGTGCATTTTTGCAGAGCGCTAGCGCCCTCGGGCGTGCACCTGCCATGGAATCCAGTCTGGCCGAGATACACGTCATGTAGAACGCAGAATTCCATCAAATACGTGGGTGTAAAGTTATGGAATAATATATCAGGTGAAAAGAGATCACTATCCTATCATGGTTTTAAAAGGGAACTAAAAAAGAAATACATTGATGACTACCTTTCTTTGAATTGATCACCAAAAAATCACCTACCGGTACCTATACGGTACTACCGGTACTGCGCTTCTTTGCAACTGACCCGAGTACTTGATTAAGTCTATATCATTAAGCCATGTCATCGGCTTACCTGTCCGCTGGGTTAAATATTCGAATCCTGTCCCTGTACTCTGTCGCAGCCAAATTGACTATAAAGTGTTATAGTCACTTTGGTCGCAACGTATCAATAACGTACCGTTATTCTACTCTGCCAAACAAAGCGCACTGCGAACGAATCAGATGTGCGTGAAGTCGTAATTTTTGAAAACCAAATTTTGGTTAAAGACCTTGCGTACATCATGTCAGGGGATACTGAAAGATCCAGTCTAAAGGGAATTATAGTTAATCGTTATATTTTTTTTACTCCACATCGATATATAACATATTTTATGTCTTTTCGTGCAACCGTTTAATTCATACAGTGCATTTCATCTTTTATAAATTTGGTCACTGATTTAAATAATAAAAAAACATGCTCGTAACCAGGATGTTATGTTTTTTTTTATTTTAAATACTTATGATGGATATTTGGTATTTTTCGTTTTTTGAAAATGTTCTTTTTTTCTTCAAAATATTTATTTTGAAATGTTTTGGTGTTTCATTAACTTTTTAAGCTATTAACCTGAATCAACAAGCGTTTTAGGTGTCGCTGCCTGAAGACCTCTTGAGGTCCCTCGCGACTCCTGTCACACAATTTAAGTTAGTTTCCACTTGTATTTGTAATTATTTTTTTATATATCATACCATGTTTAAATTGTGTTGACGAATAAATGATGATTGATTGATTGATACTGATTGGTCGCCTTCACTGTCGCTTTCATCTGACGGCATCTGAAAAAAAAATACATGTGAAAAAGAAAGGGAATATTTCAAGGGACGTTTTAAAAGTAGGCAACTAGGTATTTCCATAGTAATTCATACCGATGTTACGAAATCGCTGACTCAATGAATTACAATTCAAAAGACCAGGGACATTTTTATTGATATTTATCATTGGTGTATTATCCATAGAAATCGAAAAGGTATAATGTGTCGTAATTTCGTCAATAGATTTCTAGTGGTGTCAAGCATTTTTGTACTGACATTTGGAAATCGTTTTAACAATATATCTAACAGTAGCAATACTAACAAAAACAGTAATTCAGCAAAACGATTCTTTGACCCAGTTTCTGTCCAATGATAATATTAATTCAACTAATATGTTTGTTGTAATCATATCTTTTCTATCTAACAGGAATGAAGGGCGCTCCAGAAGTATGTGTATACCAATATGGAGATAACTAATTTTGTACGCCCAATTTACATCGAGTTGTGTAAACGGACTGATCCCTACAAAGTGCCTAAACCTACTAAAGTGCAACAACATTTTTTAGGTCCAAAAGTCCCCATAGAATGCATTGAAATAGTTCGTCACATTGAAATGTAATTATGCAAATGTAACTTTCATTTGCTTCATGCAAGTCTTATGAATGTTGACTTTATCATACTGAACATTTAACCTGTAATGACTAATCCGTAATATTGTAGCATTGAGATCAAGTTCAAGGAAGCTACTGGCATTTTCTCCTATGCTGGAAAATTGTCCACATTCGAAACAAATGTATCAATTACGAAATCGGGTAAATTTCATTATCAAAGTTACTTTTAATTTACGACTACTAAAACTTTAGGTCATTTTGTATTTTTTTTGCTGCATAAGAAACTAAAGTCTGGAACGGAAACACATTACTTATCGATCTCTAAATTTTGCATGTGCATTCATCATATTTTGGACCAGAAGCTTATTGATTGTATGAATTATGTCCGCATTTGCCACTCCGCATTTGGGGTCTACAGTCTCATTGAGATCATCTGGCATATAACAAACATGCTTTGCTGCTGTAACAGCGTGAACGAGAGTTTCGATGAACTGAGGTCGTTTGAAACAATAGAACTAGAAATACATTCGAAGCTGTTCATAAATACATTCAAAGCTAGATATATAATAGAACTTTTTTGATTGTAAACATATATGAGTATTCATCAATTCAGGTATTTCAAGCTATCCACCACAAAAATAAACTTTGAAAAATAAATGCGATTTTGTAAACGTACATATCTTAGCCAAAATAGAAATTGGTTCAAAGTTGGGAGAAATGTTTTTAGTTACACACTGTATGCAATGTCATTGGAATTTTTTTTATTCAATCATTGTCACATAGCCTACAATTGAACAAATTAGTTTCAGTTCAGAATGAATAGAAACTAACCCATACATAAAAAACAATAAAGATATAAAAAGACCTGCGATTTGATATCAATATAAAAAAGCGACGTAGCCTACAGTTGCAAAATAAATTCTAAGGCGACCAAGCAGTATAGTTGTGGTATATACTTCTCTGCATTTTTACCGGGATACAACAATATGAACAACGGTATAAGGATAAGTAAGTGATAAATAAAATATTCAAATGAGTCAATAGTAATCACAAGCATAAATTATGTTAACGTAGTTCTTATTGTGAGTAATAAACCTATATTCACACTTTTTGTTTCCAGCGTAAAATATATTTTGGAATTTTATTATTCATTCCATTTCGATTTTTTCAAATTACACTGGCAGAGAATTCGACGTCATGTGATGCATTCGTGATTAAACCCCAAGCTGGTTTCAGCGTTACATTTTGCGAATCGCGGACAAAACAAATTTAGTAGTCTAATCTATGTGTAGTATTAGCAGAGATTGGATTTGATTAGTTTTATTTTTTCTGAATAGACGTTTTCCTACTAAATAAGTTAGGTCTGGCAACGAGATTTAACCGTAGTCGTAAAAACCTTCTCTCATTGGTACATAAGGTTGATAATTCACGAGGGTCATCCGCGACATGCCAAAGACACGGTACTCCCGAAGTACGCGATCCAAGATGGCGGACACCGGAACGTAGTATGTGTACTAGGTTAGGGTTAGGCCATAATTTCAAGTACAAATACTACGGTAGTCACTTGGCTAGTCCCCAAACCCGTAATAGAACTGAAATAAGGAAAATTCGAATGAAATTATGGCCTATCTCTAACCTGGTACACATACTACGTTCCGACGTCCGCCATCTTGGTTCACATACTTCGGGAGCACCAAACACACACGCTTCACACTTGCAAAAGGCTCAGCGATATTTCACGCCGTGGCCAATGCGCTGAGCGGGTGACGGACTCATTGAGTGAGGGTTTTCATTTTTTTATTATTATTTCGCGCGTGGATATTTGCTATTTAGGACAGTTGCCCATGCTAAAGTTGTTATTCATGTCACCTTTTGTATATTGTATATTATGAATATATACTGCATTGAAGATTTTTGCAGTGCCATGAAACATGTTTTCAATCTTTGTATCACGTATCGTTTTATATCGCCTCTGCAAAAACAATGTGATAATAAAATGAAGCCATTTTACCCTTTCCATTGCAGAATTACGATATTCCGATTCTCGTGTCTTGATTGTACAAAGAAAAAGAATCAAAGTCGGAAATTCATCCCGATCTGAAAATGCAAGTGCTTTGTTTGCACACAGGATAGAGAAGAATTCTTTCGTTTTTGCCGTGAAGCGCAACGCAAAGTTCTATTACGTTACTCTTCCTCGAGCTGATAGAAAGAAAAGAAGACTTACGTTGAAATCTGGAACACATCCATCTCTAATCCAAGAACCCACCAATGACTATCGAGTGATTTCGTACGAATACGATGAAAGTAGTGGGTCATATTTTTTACGCCCCAAACACCGCACGCTTTCACAGACAGTTATTGACGTTAATAGAAATGCACAACTCATTGTGAG